AACCCTCTAAACTTAATGCTTCACCTTCAATGTCAACAACTCTATCAACTAAAGCTGCTTTTGCTGTTTCAACATGGGCGATATATTTGTTGTAGATCATATCAAACTATATTCCAAAATTATATAACTGTTATAATTTGATAATTAAATATTAATTATTAAATAAAATTATAATCATTTGGTCAGGCGGTTAGCATTTTATCATTATTTACCATCATCATGGGTTCAAACCTGAGCTCTGATTTTAGGGTGAGTTTTAGTGGGTATTCCTCAACAAGAGGCGAGTCCCACACTGTTCCGTGGTGGAGAATAGGTTTCTCAGTTGGCTGAGAAGGATATTATAAGGAAGCCTGAATTCCAACATAGCGAGAAGCCTACAATCCAAGCGGTTCGTGCGTAATTGCATTCCTCATCCAAGTTCATCAAATACATCAACTAAAAAAAAAAAAAAAAGTCTATGTTTCCTACAAATTAAGCTTACTAGTAATTTTCTCATAACGCAGCTTTAAAACTGCATTGCAGATCTTATTGAGAATTCACTTTTAATACAAAGAATGAAGTATTTTTATAATATTATAATATTATTTAAATTAACGTCAAAGTGACGTGTTGAATAAATCGGCTTGAAAATGAGAATTTCGCGGGGTGGTACTAGGTTTTTTTTTTCCCTCATAGTTAACTTCGGCCGCGATAACGCGAGCTAACAAATTATACACAAATCAGAGAATAAACTGGGTATACTGAGCTAAGCTAATCTGCTGGGCTAATGAAATTGGAACAGTTAGTATGATTATAGCCTTGGGTGCTTGGACACCATGAATTATGGAATATTCTGATAAGCAAAGCCTCACAGATTCGGCTCATACAACTTTTGAGCTTATATTACGATGTTGAAGGTTATCACTAAGGCAAAGTTTTACGAAAGTTGGAAACATCTATGGAGAGACTATTCCGAGACATATGGACGCTGTTAAGGCGAGGGTAGGTGTAAAATAGGAACATTTGTTATCAGTATTTCCAATAAATAACTTTACGTCTGTTCAAGATGAGGCAGGTCAATCAAACAACATGATATAATAGAGTCAATACATCCAATGATAATCAAAGCATATCACTTCATTTTAAATATTACACAGCCAAGAACCCATTTTCATCGTAACCAGCGTAGATCTTTGCATCTTCTGTTAATTTACCACAATGAAGAACAACATCATCCACTAACAAGTTTAAATTTTGCGCAATCAATTGAACAGGAACACCTTCTGGCATGGATGGAGTGTTTTCATTAATGAATTCATAAATTTTGTCAGCAACAGATAAACCACCTTCAGATTCAGCAGGTCCACTAACAAATAATCCATTACTTGACTCATTAGGTTTGGTTTCTGATTTAACACCTTGTGCCTTCAAATGGCAATCAATTGCACTTAAATGATGATATAGAACTTCATTGAAATCAGTGATTTCACGGAATGTTGTATGTTGAATGTTTTTTTTACCTCCAAATTCTTTAACTGATCCTGTCACATATACATATTTACCATCTTGAAGGAAAGCATTTGATTCATCATGTGCGTTTTCATCAACCCATTTACGCAATTCAATAGAACCTGTACCGTCCTCAAGTTGTACTTGTAAATTGGAAGCATTGTCTGTAACTTTACGAATAACACCAATAAATGACACCAGATTCAATTCTAAATTATGAACAATAAATTCTCCGTCTTGGATAATTGGTTTACTATCGTTGATTTGCTTTATAGTAACTGGGGTTAAGCTGTTTTTAGTCTGAGTTCTTGTACCTTGAGATCCTCCTCCATTCGAATCAAATCCTCCAGATGTATTGTTGTAATCACCACCATTATAATCTTGATTGTATCCACCGTATGGTTGATATGCTATATTATTCATATCAGTATTCTATCCCCTTTAAATCAATTCATCCCACTTACTAGCCATTTTTTGATAGTTATTCTTGATGCTTTGTAGCTTGAGTTGTACGCGTTGTACTCGAAAACGAAAACATTTGAATTTGGTGGCAACCGTGTTTTGGTTTTTTTTTCGCGTATTGTTTTGGGTTTACCAAAAAAATTTCAAAAGGTCAACAAATTTGAAACTAATCACAGCTTCAATGAATTTTTCAGGGAGTTGGAAACTGGTTTTCGAGATTAAGAGTGTTATGTTCAGTTATGGCTTGTAAGATAATGATAATGACGGTTTTTTGCTATATTTAAAAATGAAAATTATAGCTAATATTGAATATTCTCTTCTCAAGTTACCATGGATATTCATCAAATTCACAATCGATATTAAATTCTATCAAAATCTATCTATTTACAAAGCATTAGGAAATCATTAGTTGGGCCATATCTGTTGAGCATTACTTTTTGTCTTCTGGTAAATAGTGTGTCTCCTGTGTGCCCGATTCTTTCTTTGGAGCATCTTTTGCATGGTGACCAATTAAACCCTTCAATTTTTCCGGAATATCATCGAAAACAAGATCATCTGTATTTGAAGAGACTGATTCACCTTTGGCATTTAATATATCTTGGATTGTGATTCTATCATCTGAAAAAATCTATAAAAGGAAAGAACATGTTAGTAAAAGCCCAATTTGTTAGCCTGTTCAAAGATTACTCACTTTTAAATGGTCAGCTATCAAATGTCTATTTTTACATCCTGGACAAGTAATCAAGACAGTACCTGAAGTGTAAGCCTGTTTGGACATGACATGACTAGATCTGGTATCACATTTTTTACAAGTAAATGCAATCATCATCTCTGGCTTATCAACCTTAAGCTGAGCAGTTTTGTTATCATTTCCTGCAGTTGAATTAAATCTTATACTAGCTGGTGTATTAAAACGTTGTGCAATTGGAGAAATGATTCTGACTATTGGAAGAGATCTTGGTGTGAATGATCTTCTAGCAAGTTGAGCTAATGATCTCTGAGCTGCTAACTTCGTGAACATTTTGAGTTTACCTTCGGTAACGATATAAGAAAACTGATGAATGATTCAACTTCTTCAGACTAGTAGAAGTGCACTTTATAATTCCAATTTTATTGAAAAGTCTTGAAGTGAACTTTCGGACCTACATTCGTTTTTTTTTATGGCAAAAAAAAGTAGTGGCCACTACAAAAAAAGAAAAATGAAGAATTTGAACATAAAACAACACATAAAAGTGAGTTTGAACGGGAAAATAGGTTGGAAAGTAAAGTTAGACCTCTGAAGGTGATTTGGGGATAAAAAAATAGCAAAAAAAACCACTGATTTCGCCCAGGATCGAACTGGGGACGTTCTGCGTGTTAAGCAGATGCCATAACCAACTAGACCACGAAACCACTTGGATGCGTTTTCGAAGGCGCTGAAATACCAAAATATTAAAGCCGCTTCGGTAGGGTAATGATTTTGGTCGCGGAATTTTTTGTATGTGTATAAGGAAAGTTTTGGGTTTTAAAAGAATTTGAGACTATTATTTCTACTTGTATGTTAATTAACGTAGCTCCTATGAGGTGGAATATTTTGCTTTAAAATGCATATTACTGTTTTGGGCTTTTTTACAGTATCGAGCTGAGAAAATGCTCATTGTCGTAAGATGATACCCTTGACCAACATTAAATATAGCATACCTTTATTGGTACAGATTTATGAGTGTATGGTTACAAGTTATCATAGATAGGGCTTAATGACTACATCATGAAGTTGAATTAAATTCTGAACTCGAATGTTACAGCGAGCGACTTCATATATCAATTCATTCAGGTAGGCCATGGGCTGGAATAATCTGGCAGTCTCATGAACATTTCAGTTAGCTATAAATCCACCATCAACAAAGATAGAGTCACCAGTAACATAGTCACTTGCTGCACTTGCTAAAAACACTATAGGGCCTTTGAAATCAGCAGGGTTGCCCCACCTTCCAGCAGGAATTCTTTTCAACAGGTCAGCGTACTTTTCTTTGTCCTTTACAAGATCACTAGTCATATCAGTTATAATATACCCTGGTACAATTGAATTCACATTGATTCCCCTTTTAGACCATTCATTGGATAAGCCTTGAGTAAGACTGTGTAGTGCTCCTTTAGATGCAGTGTAAGGAATGACGTTTTGGCCTCCAATGAATGAGTAAAGTGAGGCAGTATTGATGATTTTACCTTTCTTCCCTTCACTTATCCAATATTTACCAAAAGCCCTGGAAAGTCTAAAAACAGAAGTGATGTTGACTTGTAAGACCGTATCCCATGCAATATCTTCAGTATCCTCAGCACCCTTTCTGTAATAAGACATGCCCGCGTTGTTAACCAAAACATCCACGGACCCTGTAGGTGAAATCTTCAACGCTTGGGGTAGAATTGTGTCAAATTCTTCGTTGGATGATAATTCAGCAACCACTGTACCAACTTGGGCTCCCAATGCTTGGAGTTTCTCGACAGCTTCGGAGGGATCTGTTGAACCCCTATGGACGATGATAAGATGAGCACCTGCCTCAGCAAGCCCCAGAACCATTCCTTCGCCAATTCCTCGAGTAGCACCCGTGATCACAACAACCTTCCCCTTAAGTGAAAATAGATCGGCTGACATTTCAATGGCTTTTGTAATACATTAATGACTAGAAAACAAAATCTCAAATTCTCAAAGATTTAAAAATTCGTGTAATTCTTTGAAGCCACTTTTGTTATCGCCGTTTATCTCCGGATCCACACCTTTCGCGAAAACTTGTTTGTTGTTTTTGTTTTTGTTTTTGTTTTTGTTTTTGTGTCAATTTGATATTTTTGAACACAAAGATCAAGTAAATTTGTAACTCAAAGAATTAGTTATTTGTCAGATCTTTTCCATAATGTCTAACCCAAGAGTGTTCTTCAGGATTCAAACATTGGTATTATGAGAGGTTACATTTCAAGCTTATTGGTGATTAGTGTTGTACTCAAGTTGTGTTATGGTTTTGTACATCCTATTGCCATCCATGGTCGTTACTTTATAGACACAGTTACAAGGGAGCCATTTTTTGTGAAAGGTGTTGATTACCAGCCTGGAGGATCATCTGCGGTGAATGAGCAACAAGACCCATTGTCAGATCCAAATGCTTGTGCTCGTGATATAATTTTGTTTCAAGAGTTGGGTGTTAATGTAAATAGATACCTTTTTTTTTGCCTAGTTGAATCAAAAGAGTATTGACTAACACTATTGTGCTACAGACCATCAGAGTTTATTCCATCAATCCAGATCTCAACCATGATCACTGTATGACATTGCTCGCATCAGCTGGTATTTACCTTGTTTTGGATGTTAATTCCCCTTTGGAAAACCAACATTTAAATAGATATGAACCTTGGACAACCTATAATGAGGATTATTTGGAGCATGTTTTCAAAGTTATTGAACAATTCTCTTCATATAATAACACCCTTGGTTTTTTTGCCGGTAATGAGATCATAAATGATAAGAAATCAGCAAGAGCTTCACCTGTGTTTGTCAAGAAATTAATCTCAGACATGAAAACTTATATTGCACAACATTCACCAAGATTCGTTCCAGTTGGTTATTCAGCTGCTGATGATTTGAGTTATAGAATTTCATTATCCAAGTATCTAGAGTGTTCAAATGAACGTTCAATCCAAGATGCTGTTGACTTTTATGGAGTGAACACCTATCAGTGGTGTGGTGAGCAAACATTTTATACAAGTGGGTATGATGTTCTCGTTGCAGATTACGAAGATTATGTTCGTCCTGTGTTTTTTTCAGAATTCGGATGTAATGAAGTGACTCCAAGGTTATTTGAAGAGATTGGTACCATTTATTCTAATGATATGATTGGTGTGTTTAGTGGTGGATTGGTTTATGAGTTCTCTCAAGAACCAAATAATTACGGCTTGGTGGAGATTAATCAATATGGGAATGTTGAATTGTTACAAGATTTCGAATCTTTGAAAAACCAATATGCTACAACTGATGTACCTAATGGTAGACAAGTTGCTGAGTTATATAATAGAGACGGTAAAAAGCAAAAACTAGGTGCTCAAGCTATCCCAGAATGTGATGAAGAGTATGATAACTTGGATATTTCAAAGACCGTGGATGAGGGCATTGCAGAAGACTTGATCAAAGAAGGTGTTGATAGTAAGAAAGGGAAATATGTTGTTTTACAAGAAGATGATTTTTACACTTCTTATAACATTACCAATGTTGATGGTACACCTTTCAGTGGAGATAAATATGTTAAAGTGACCACTTTGATTGATGGTATTACTGAATATGAAGCACTTCGTTTACAAGCGTTGGAAAGTGACGGTGAGTAACTACCTTTGTTTTATTATCTTTTTTGTTATTACATTTTAGATCTGATTATTATCCTGACTACTACTTGTGTTTTGTCTGCTACACTTAGTTGTTGTTACCAATCATGAAAGAGGAAAAGGATCGTCAGTTTTAAATTTTGAGCTTGAGAATTAACAATGTATCAAGATTGTGATGAGGAGGAACCAGAATTTTGATATTAACAAATTTCAACCAGGACGTGAAATGATTGATCAATCCAGTATGTTCTCGAGTGTTGTTATTTTTGCATTAATTACTGTTTATATGTACTTGTTCTGAGATTTGAAGGTGCTCATCCTACATGAAATTGGATTGGGAAGGTATATAGATTAGGATGGCGACAACGTTCACGACACTTCTTTTGTAATCTGTAGCTCCATTAGTTGGAGACGTGGCCAACCTGGTCAACCATCGATGTAGGCTCCTCATGTGTAGCTCCTCATGTGTAGGACTTTTATATGTAGGAAGATGAATGTATAAGCATTTATTCTATGTCTAGCTCGTTAATCCTAATTGCTTCAAGTATCAGCATCTAATGTTTCTTGAAAATAAAACTGAGCCATCTCTGTCCTTAACTTTAACTGAATTTGTTGATGTAAAGCAAGGTGCTAACAAACATTCCCAAGCTTCCTTATCTCTTGATTGATGAAGTTTATAATTTTTAAGCATGACAAATTCAACATTTTGGAATTTTGATAAGAAAGTTAAAAACTTGAACAAATTATTGTTGACCAAATGGTTTTCATCATTTGCAATATCTTCTGGATCAATGGGTTTTAAATTTGTAAATGATACATTAATTAATGCAATTTTACTCACAAATGGAAGTTTTTCAATAACATCAACAAATTGTAAATAATTGATATAAAACTTAGGAACAAACATTGAATTATAATAAGCAAAATTGCTATTGAAGTTGTCAACATTAATAGCATTAGCTTCAGTTGATGAATATAAACTGAACCCTTTTGAATTAAGATCTATTGTCAAATCTTTCAAAGAGGTGAAGCAATGACTCAATAGCAAATCATAATGTGACCTTAAATTGATTAGTTTCAAAGATTCAACTTGTTTAAAATATCCTCTTAAATATCTTGAACCATTACTTGCTATTGAGCATGATGATAGAGTGAGTGACCTTATAGGTGACCATGTTATTGGATTTTCAATAGTTAGTGCTTGTTTAGTAATTAATGGACCATTTTCATTAGAAACTGTTAGTAAATTTGGTTTCAGTAATGAACTTGAATCAATAATTATATCGGTTAAATGTAATTCTTCAATCAACCCAAACGGCCATAATAAATTAGGTCTTAATGCTATATTCCAGCCAGATTCTGAAGACAATGACAGTTTCCTAATTGATGGGTAATAATTATGTTCATGAGCATAAGTTTTCAAAGAGCTTGCCCATTCTGGGAATTGGAACCCTGGTGAAATTTGACTTAAATTGATATGATTTAAATTGGGTAACAAAGATATTATTTCCAACATTATACTGATATAACTTGAGGAATCTTTACCACCTGTTGAGTACTCAAAGCCTGCAATTGAAGTTGTTTCAATTTCTGCTGAATCCTTTTCAGGACGACAAAATTCAATGGATTTAACATACAAGGATAATTTATTTGTCTTTTTATTCTTTGAAATTGTCTTTCTAAACCTTATCAAAGCATCCTTGTGTGATAGTTTAACATCATGATATAGGAAAAAAGTGTCAATGAAATCATGAAGATATCGACAGCTTAAGCACAAGATTAACCAGTCTTTTGGGTCCAGATTCTGGACAATCTTGTACAGCAGTTCCAAAGGTAGCCCCAGCAACGTGTTTGGTGAGTATTCAATGGGAGCGTGGTCTATATGCTGTTGCTTCTTCTCAGCAAAAAGCAGCCTTCTCTTCTTGGTGAACTGTTGTAGTCGTTGAATCATCTCCATGTAAATAATTAAAATTTCCTCTATCACCAACTGTGGCTTGTTTGAATCTTGTACAGCAACCAAATCTCAAAAAACTCTTTGAAATCAGCAGCTTTCCATTTAATTGGGGAAATTAAGGTCTAGTATAGTTAAAGCTATTAAACTGGTTGAATACTTCAATTGATTTATCAAGTCGAAAGCGTTGCTTCTGTTCAAAATGAAATCTCCCTCTACAAAAAAAAAGAAACTCGCACTCGCCACGACGAGGCTAGTGCTGAGGCGTGAGCCGCACACAAACGTGGCTAGTGAGATTCAATATTTCAACATCAAAGAATACAAATTAACATAAGAGAATGGAACAAAGCAAAATTACTACAATCCTAACACAATTCCCAAAATAATTAAAGTACTTTTATTCAAAACGCAATCCCAAGTGTTAAAACAACCATAAATTTTACATAAATACATCTGTTAATCTAATAAACAAAACCCAAGATTTTACCAGAAACATGTTTTCTTCTAGCTTCTTCATGGTCCATAATACCAGCAGAAGTGGTCAAAATAACATAACCAAATTGTCTAGCTGGTAATAAGTTATCAGTCCATTTTTCAATATCAGCAATTCTAACATTGAATCTTGGTGAGATAACACCAACTTTGTTCAAACGACCGTTTAATTGAACAACAATTTTACCTGATCTGTGGTCATCAATGTATTCAAATTCACCAATGTAACCTATTGAAAACAGAGTTAGTAATTCTTGATAACTAGGTGGACAAATACCATTCCATAAAAAAATTCTAAAGTAGGGAATCATCAATGTAAAGGAGAAAAAGACAACCATTGAATAATTATACACCAATTATGGTATCCATCATTCAATAGCATAGCGTCAACTCATCCTTTCGTTGCTTTCCCGGACACTTAAAAGACAGAAAGGGACTGAACACCGATCAAACCATCCAGTTATCAGCCCGGGATCAAGACTATACATATGAAAAGGACTAAACAATTCCCAGTAGAATTTTGAATGGAAAGGCAAAAAAAAGTTGAAAAAGTAGCTTCACATACCATGTTTTTGGATAACTTGCAAGAATTTGATAATAACTTTTGAAGATGGTCTGATTAAAACTTGACGTTTACCAGTTTTTTCAGCATTGTTAATAGCATTTAAAGCATCAGCTAAGACGGAAGTTCTAGTCATTTCGAAAAAATCTAATGATAAACAGTTAGTAAACACATTTTTTCTCTTCACAATATTGGAAAAAAAAAAGTTGATTCATGTAAAATAAAGAGCTACATGAGTGTCCTCCATAATGAAATGGGGAGTCATGAGCACAGAAACTAGAGGTTCTAGTTCTGCTGAAGGGGGGTGTCAAGACTTGAAACAACGTAAACAAAATGTTCCACAGAACAATACAATTTTACTAATTGATTCAAGTGATTTGATTCCCACTTCAGATTTACCATTTATGATGCTTGTTCCTAAAGAAAACAGTTATTGGAAGAGGACATGATCATACAGCTCAATAAAAAACTTGATAACTTCAACCTATTCACATACTTGTTTGATTTGTGTTATTGGACGAGAAAGGTATATGTTAGAAATGTGAAAAATTTTTCAAGGTTGTTTTTTGGTTTTTCATCGACTTTTCGGTACTGAAGTTTACACAGGAAGCACAGTCACCGCGTAATTATCCGTACGCACAAAATATTTCATCTGTTCTGGGATATTACCGTTTTAGGAAATGGTTATGGCTCCCGTCCAGTCGATGAACTCAAATCGCTTCGAACAATTGAAGCGCTTATAGTGTAGACAAATCTTGTTTTAACGAAAGCTCACTGATCAACTAATTAATGGCTACAGATGAAGATAAAAGGGTATTCTCTGAGGTGAGTGGTATATTATGACATGCTCCAAAGTAGCTTATACTAACAGGATGATAGATACGGCCCTATTGTGTGAAGTTATCTCAATTCACTTTAGTTCCACCAGGCACTTTTGATCAATCTTCCATACAAGTAACTGAAGCTTTGAAAGATGTTTACACCCACTTGAGAGATTCAGTCAAGCCTGGTGCTACACTATCCACAGCATTGGCTGATTTCATATTCGTTCCTTTATCTTATTTATTGAAACAACCTAACCTTAGTGATCCTCAAATTGAATTGTTACTCAAAGTTTTAACCATCCTTATAAGGCATTGCTGGTCTCCTGCTGGATCAATCCCATATGTTCTTGCTAAGCAATTGTTTCCCTTAATTACATTCTTAACTGGTGGTAGCCCTAACGCTGATGACAAGAGTGAAATTGATGTGAAATCAGATGAACTAAAATTAGCTGGTTCCGAAACTTTACAGGTTTTTTTCAACTCTTTATCTAAACAAAAAGGTGCTAAGATATATGATTTTTTCAGCAATGTTGAAACGCTACCAGCTCTTGGTCATGCAGTTACTGTTTTGTTACATTTTTGTGAACATGGAAAATCAATTGAGCTTCAATTACAAGCTATAAGGACATTATGCACATTATATTTTGATTTGGTAGCGGACGGTGAAATATTGTCTTATATTTTACCTGGAAACGTTTCATCTTTGGCAAAAGTCATTGCTGCTCCTGGACTTAAAACACATTATACTGTTTTAGTTGAAGCAATAGAATTACTTGGAAAGCTTTTGGTTCTTGTTTATAATGATGTTGACTTGAAAACAAAAGTCAAAGAACTTGAATCTATTGAAGATATCATGGATAGCTCAGAAATGGATATAATAACTATTGAGGAAGCTGATTTCAAAAAAGTTCATAGAACAAACAAGTGGTTAAAAGCAACTTCAAGTCAAGTTAAATTGGCTCTACAAAATATTAAAAATGTTGGACCAAATGCTAGAATTGAAGTAAAAAGAGCTCTTCTTTTGTTTTGCACTCAAATTATTCAAGAATGCTTATATTCTTTGAGTAGCTCAATTCCTGTTGTTGTGAACATCCTCTCACTTTTATCAAATGATTCCAGAATAGAGATTGATTCAAAAAAGCTGATTGCTTCTGATTCTTATAAAAACCAAAAATTGTTTGATAAAGTTGTCTCAAATGAATTGAGCACTAGTATAGATAAATTTTCATCTGTTCTTCAATCCCCAAATGAAGAAAAGATTTTGTCTACAATAGGAGCTATTGACTTTACTATAAGGCATAGTCATGATCAAGTTCTTGCATCCAAACTTATCAATTTCACAGTCATGGAGCTATCAGATCTATTGAAGAAATCGCTTTCCAAATCCAAAGTCATCAGTGATTCAAATGATATATCGAATTTGATGTTGATTACAAATGAAACGAATGACTCAAGACCAGATTTTAAACAGCTTTTGGTATTTAGTAAAGTATTTTCTGAAACAGTGGAAACCAAGTTGGCTACTCTATTTACTATGATTGGAGGTCAAAATGATCCTTCTGATTTGATTGAAGAATTGTTAGCAAATGGAAGTGACACTTCAAACTATGAAAAAGCTGTTATTTTATGGGTATCGAAAAACCTTTTGAATGGTCACTTTGGAAATTCAAGAGAAAATAAAATTGTTGATGAATTTTTAGATTTTGATGAAGAGATTGAAAAACAGGAAATTCCAGAGATTACAAATGCAGTTATGGAATTCTCAAAGGGTATGCTTGACGAAACCTCGGAAAATCATATCAACCAAGAAGTTGAGTTGATCAATTCAATTGCAGTTGATGTTATAGGTGTCGTTGCATATCACATGAGAGAAGATTTTAGATATGAGTTGATAGATTATCTTTACCCTGTTGTTGACTCTATGGCTTCATTATCAGAAAATGTGAGAAGACATGCTTTAAACACATGTATGATCATTGCAGATACTCTTTATCATGGCTCTTTGTATGAAGTTGTATTGGATAACTCAGATTATTTAGTTGATGCAGTCTCAATAAGACTGAGTAATGCGATGACCACAAGGGCAACTGCAATCTTGGCTGTCTGTACCAAAATAGCTGGTTTCAAAATCATTGAAAGTTTCAAAGATGTGATCGAAATCATTTTCAGTTTGCTAGATTACTACCATGGTTATGAGGATTTATGTATTGGGTTCTTTGTTTTATTTGAGATCATTGCTGATGAAACAAGGAAAAAATATTTGCATGATTACGGGGTGGATAAACTTGAGTTTTTTGATAGCACCTCAACATTTGCACCATGGGGTTTGCAAAATGTTGAACAGTTGAAAAACTTGCTGGACAAAACTCAAAGAGATGTTTTGGTGGAACCAAAAGGAAAAGAACTCGAAGAAGATGTTGAAGGTGAAATCAATGCGCCAGATAGTGATGATGAGGATGAACAAGAACCAAGTGCTCCAGAATTATCAGAAAAAGAAGAAAAATGGACATCACCAGTCCCAGAAAATATTTACAAATTACTGCAGCAAATAATGTACTATGGTGAGCGTCTTCTAACACATCCATCTGCCAAGCTACATATTCAAATCCTAAGTACCTATAAAAAGGTTTTACCAATTTTAGCAACATCCACCAAGCATTTACATCCAATAGTTGCCTCTTTATGGCCAATTGTCTCAAAGAAGGCCAACGACAGTGATCCAAAGATTGTCATCCCAGCAGCCAAGGTTGTGTCACAGGTTCTGGAATATAGTGGTGGGTTTCTTTCATCAAGATTTGTTGATTTTTGGGAAGTATTAAAAAGCAACAAATTATTGGTTTCAGCTAAAACAAGTGTTTCAAGTAATAGCAAAGTTGTTTTACCTGGGCTGAACTCAAAGGCTTATGAAGAGTTGGTTGATATGTTAGTTACTGGATTGGATTGTTTGGGGAGATTTATTTCAGATGTTGTTGCTGAGGATATTGTCAGTAATTGTATTGGCGTTGTTCAAGATATTGAGAGATTTGGTATCAATTCAGATATTGCATGGAGCATGAAGCTGGAGAAATTTGATATTAACAAATCATTGAGCTGTCCAGAGTCATTTATCGGAGCACATGAGAAAGTCTATAAATTTGCAAGTATAGTATAATTGATGATTGACGAAAAAATTCATTGTTGTTGTCGTCAACTTAGATTAATCCAAGTGAAACTTCAGCGCGACATCACTGGAAACTTCAACTGTATTACAGCACGCTTAATAACTATCCGATTGCGAAGCACCAGAAATCAGATCTGGAGGTTAAGTACAGATGCTGGTAATGGAGGCAAGCCGATCACATTCAAATTAGATTTCTACGACATGTTAATTCAAGTTAAACGTCGGTGATAAATTAGTGATTTTCTGGAAATTTTTAAGTCCGCTAAGGCAGCTTACAAAATACACAGACCTCCGATTTCAATCAAATTTAGCCTAAAATCTCAAACTTTACAGTAAAATCGACTGGTTTTCAGGATCATGGGTTGCTGTGGGCTTTGAACTTGTCAAAAATTAAAAAAAATAAGGTGTTATCGCTTCTTAAAAGCTAAAAAATGACAAAACTGGCAAAAAAATTATATGGTCCCTAGCAGGATCGAACTGCTGATCTTGGCGTTATTAGCACCACGCCTTAACCAACTGGGCCAAGGGACCGAATTTTTCAAAAATTAATTTTCCGGGTCTTTACCCAATATAAAATCGCGATTATTACCCGGATTTTGCACAGTATATCAACTGCATTTTCCTCTTCTTAATGATGATTCGGTTTATTTGTAAAGCTAATCACATTATTCGTAGAGTCTCTAGGGTATAGGAAATGGCTGGTATCGAAGTTTGGGATTTGGCTGTGCATTTAATGCAGATGATAACTCTTTCTGATGACAATGTTCAGAATATCCGAGCATCTACAAACCAATATATAAACGAATATTTGAATATTTTTCTATATTGCTGTGTCCTCTCTTTTATGTGAGTAAACTTAAAACCACATTCCATATCAAGCTGATCAAACAATTGAATGGGAAAATTAAATGCTGGGGCAAGAATTGAAATGAAACGACTGAACATATTGGCCAAAATAGATATGAAACTTTCAAAGTTGTTATATACACCTAAGTTGTAAAATGTTAGATCCTCAAATTTAAACTTGATAAATTTCTCATAAATACTCACTGTTTTCATAGCTATTGATATATCTGTGTTCTCCCATAAACAGTTTAGAACGATAAACAACAGTTGAAACAACGGAGAACCAACCAGTTGGTCCACCAGTACCCTTGATAAAACGTCTGGAAGCTTATAAACCAAACAATCAATCCATAATGAACTTAAAACTCCATTTATAGCACCCCATATGAAGAATTTACCTATTCTGTCATAATGAACCTGTCTAAATAATTGAATGATTGATTGTCCCAGCGTTGCAGTTATAATCCCCAACAGTATGGAATTTAATAATTGATGAACATTATCAATGACTTCTCTATGCTTTATAACTATCAGCAAAGATATGAATTCAAAAATTGTGATGAATGATAATAATGTTTTGGATCTAGGTTTCAATGGAGAAGGTTGAATTGTGAGTTCATTTTTTTCCAAATCAAGAGGTGTTGATTTTATCTTTGGAGATTTTTCAGGCATCAACCACTCATATATATGTAATGATGATGGATTAAAAGAATATGAATATGGATTAAAGTCGGTTCCAAGATTTATCAATTGATGAGTTTTGATTTTGATCTTGACATTTTTTTGGGTTTTTTCGTCGAGTTTAAAATCTGGTATCTGCACTTCCAAGACGTGTCAATTTTATCTTAGGCTACATGCTGTACATGAAGAAGGAAAAAAAGTTGATATGTCCTCAATTCAGCACATTTTTGAAAGTTGTGGAAGTGATCTTTGCAAGTACAGGATTAATGTGGATTGAAGAAATTTCATGAATTTCAATTCCACTCAGAGGATAAAGCTTCTAAGTTATAGATCAAGACCAATGGTCGAGATCTATTATTAGGACGTTACTGTCAATGATGTATAAGCCCCTTCAGCTCATGAGTCAATATAAATTATTCAGCTCACCTCATCTAGGTTGGAGTTGATCAAGTAATAAGTGATAGTTCAAGTTTGACGAGTATTCAACTGTCGATCTTTCTTTTTGACAAGATACCAAATCCATGAATTAACCTTCAAGCTGCTCCATGAACTCATGATATATTTAACATTATCAGTATCCAGCTTGGTCAAACCAAGATGCCCATAATATCGTCCACTATACTCTGAGGCTCTGAGCATGTTTTCATAAATATTCTGTAGTGAATTTGCTGAGCTTATTGGAACTAGATCAAGCTCGTGTATAACGTGTCGAACATCACTCCTTCCCGTATTAAACTTGATTGAAAACGTACCAAGTTATAATTATACTCTGAAACGTCATAAAAGACTATTCAACCAAGTTCTAGTCCGTATACTAGTTAAGGATAACATATCAGTAACCCTTTGATCTCTTCCATCATTTCACTATAGCTCCAATCATTCCATCACCATCACCAATCTCACTCTGCCTATTCCACTCCCCTTACCTAACTCCAATTGATCAGCCCAAACGTAGGCAGCTGTGCTCTGTGTTTTAGTGTCTGTGGCCCAGCAGCCAATCAGAGGCCGCCAAATTCTGATGACCATGCCCTGTGCTGGGCCTACCATCCCTCTGGATTATGTCAGCTTTGCTGCTAAGCTAGGCCGCTTCAAAATTTATAAGAAAAAAGAATTTTGGTTCATCTGAATCAATTTTTACTTTCCCTTCCAAAGAAAACAGTTGAATATCACCAAAACAAGAGTACTATTTGTCCAGTTTTTTCTGTTCAAAAGGTTTTTCAATCACTAATAAAGGTTCCTATCATCAAGAAAAGATAAAATTTCCTTGATTGCTCTATAAATTTCAGGGGTGTTTTTTTTGACTCAATTGCAGACAGAATATTCATCAAATACATAACAACAACAACACATTACAACATATCTAGAACATCCACAACATATTCACAATAATGTCATTAGTTTCAATCAAAAACGGGATAGTTAATGCCTTTTCCTCTTCAGACTCCTCTAACTCTTCTCAAAAAAGATCATTGAATCCAAACGCTCCATCCTACAGTTCGATACCTGATAGAGGCGATGGTTTGAATGAAGAAGAACACTCCGTACAAAGTCATGGCTCTAGTATCAACTCTAAAAACCATGATAATGAAGGTAATGACACACATAACACAGCTCCAGGTATTTTGGGTAAGATAGATCCAAGAGTTATGTCTGATGCTGTTATTGGGTTATCTGATGGGTTAACCGTTCCATTTGCTTTAACTGCAGGTTTGAGTTCTTTAGGTGACTCCAAATTAGTCATTACTGGTGGATTTGCTGAATTGATCTCTGGTGCAATCTCAATGGGTCTTGGTGGTTATTTGGCTGCTAAATCTGAATCTGATTATTATAAATCTGAAGTCAAATCTGAGAAATCTAAATTCTATTCAAATATAACTGAAGTTAATCATGAAATTGAAGATATTTTATTAGATATAAATCCAGAGTTTAGTGAAGAAACTATTGTTTCTTTTATTAAAGATTTAAAGAAAAAACCAGAAACTATGGTTGATTTTTTGATTAGATTTGGTAAAGGTTTAGAAGAACCAGCTGAAAATAGACAATTCACAAGTGCTATAACTATTGGTTCTGCATATTTCATTGGTGGATTCGTTCCATTGATTCCATATTTCTTTGTCTCTCATGTCAATCAAGGTTTGATAATTTCAATAATAACGATGGCTTTTACATTATTCTGGTTTGGTTACATAAAAGCTCAAATTTCATTGGGTGATACTTGTTCCACTTTGAAGAAATGTAATGAAGCTGTTCAAATGATGCTTGTTGGTGGTATAGCTGCAGGTTCTGCTTGGTTCTTGGTTAGAGTTATTGGATAATAATATAATCATACCAACTTTCTGCATCTATTATCCTTCAATTTAATACTATTTGTATCATTATCAATCAAACCATCGTCATTATACCTTTTATAAAGGTTTTGTTTTTGCATTTTTTTTCCCACAACTCTTTGTGTTTTGTTTTGTTTTCTACTTGGTTTTACAGAGTTGAAAATCCTTTTGTTCGTTTGCATTTATACAAGAGTTTTTGATTTTAATTATTAAGAGAATATTCCATCCATGTTTATTCAAGCTGTCAAGCTACACCCAAGATCAGTAATCCCAATAATGTACATTAGTTATTTCATACATATATATAACATTTCGATAACAAGGCAATGATTTGTAGGTTTAATTCCCAACAACAGCTTTTAAAGTCTCCTCATCAAATATATTATTCCCATTTTTCAAAACATTTGCCAAAATTGTTAAACTTCTTTCGTTAAAATCTGGAGCTTTTCTAATTTGATCAATATCATCACCATAATTTTCAAACATTAAACTTAAATATTCATTTTCTAACTGTTTATTCCCTTGATTTATTATATTTTCAACTTGATTCAAATTTATATTCTTGTTATTTCCTTTATTTAATGCAGTACTTGTTAATTCAACTGTTTTCAATTTATTTTTAATGTTACCAAAACTTGGATCTTTGTTCAACTCTTCTTCTTCAATATTTATCTCAGTATCTGACAAAACTGCCATATCACCATCAGCATCTATACTTTCTTTATTATCATCAATTTTGTCTGGTTGATCATCTAATTCATTTTCACTTTCTGATGATGAGGATGAGGAATCTGAAGAATCTGAAAAATCTTCTGTTCTTCTCTTCTTTCTTCTACGTCTATTGGCTTTTGGCTTGGTCTCTTTATCATTCTTCGGTATTATCTTGCTCATATTGCGATATACTATTTGTTTATCAATGGAATAATTACAAACTAACCCTATAAGCTATAAAGAAGCTAGTGAAATAATTTTTTTTGAGTAAAAGTGTGCGCGAACCAGTGTGTGTCCGTATCATTTTGCATATTGGGTTTCCTCAAAAGCAAAACGAACTCGTCCAAGTGGTTTCGTGGTCTAGTTGGTTATGGCATCTGCTTAACACGCAGAACGTCCCCAGTTCGATCCTGGGCGAAATCAATTGTTTTTTTTGCCAATTTTTTAGACCCAGCAAGCTCAATTTATGCTTTTTTTAATTTTTTTTTATATCATTCAGTTCTAATTTTTTTTCTTGTTATAATAAAGCTAATTTGGGCGTAAAGTTTGGTGTTTTCGATTTTTTATGCTTTTCTACAGAATAAAACCAACCTCCGAAACTTTTAGTTTACTTGAAAATTTCATAAAGACCATACAGATGAAAAAAATATTTTGGAATTCGGCTCTAAAAATTACTTTTTTAAACACTAGAAATTATTCTGATTATTACCTACCTAGTTATCTAGCTCATGCTATATTAAATCATATGAATTTGTACTACAATAAATTTCTGAATTCCGGAAAGCCACGTGACGTATTCTCGGAATTTATTTTTTGTCAAAACTGTATTATGAAAACATCAACATGATTAAACATAACTTGAACATAAAGCTATAGCATTCTAAATCAATTAACTTTAATAATATGACAGAAGAAAGCCTTATATCTTCTTTATATCCACCCCCACCCCCATACTATAAGTTTTTCACCGATGAAAGTCTCCACAAATTCAATGAATTAAAATCAAAAACCCCATCCATAACTGAAGAACAATTACCAGATGAAGAAAAAAATTTACAATACCTTATACCCCCAAAGCCACCATCCGGAGAGACTTATAGATCTTTTGGTAATATTTGGCACGTAAGTAGTCAATTCATTTTGTCAATTAGATTTATATGATACTAATATGTGATTTTGAATTAGTTTAATGACAAAATACCAAGATTGGAAGATATGGGAATTGCCCAATTATACAAAGAATCTGATATACCCAATGGGGAAGACTCTAAATTTAAAATCGAAGAGTTGAAAAAGTTGTTAAAATCCCTATTGTTGAATTTTTTGGAAATTGTGGGTGTGATGAGTGTTTCTCCTGATCAATTTGTCGTTAAGATTGAGCATATAAGGACCATATTGATCAATATCCATCATTTGTTGAATGAGTATAGACCCCATCAATCTAGAGAATCATTAATTTTACTATTGGAGAAACAAGTTGAAACTAAAAAAGATGAAATCAAAGAGATAGAGCGTGTTTGTAATGAGGTTGAGTCCAAAATCAAAAATTTGGTTGAGTTGTATATTGACAATAAAAAACCTGAAGAGAAAGAGGGTCTTGAAAATGTGTCAAAAGAGGAAAATAAAAGTGAAGAAGAAAGTGTTCAGACTGATGTTGGTGCAATAAAGCAAGAGATATGAATATTGAATATTATACCCTCCATTTTAACTTAACAGTGCCCAATGATTCAGGAATATAATAAATTTAGATTATTTAATGTCTTTTTCTTTGCAAATTTTGGTGCTTTGTATTGAATTTTATCTTTTGGTGTAAATTAACCATTCGCACAAAATCTTCAAAGATCCGATTTTGAAAGCCACGAAAAAAAAAACCAGACAGGTTTGTACTTTTTTGGCCATCAACATCAAGCTTCATCGTGACAACCAACAACCACAAAAGATTTGAAGTGCTACTGATACCGTTGAAGCTCAAAAAAGATGTCAGATTTGATGGATGTTGATGTACCACGTATGTACTTTTTGTTGGAGATCCAATCTGTTGAATTGTGTAAGATTACTAACACCTTATAGCTGCTGGTGAAGGTGAAACCCCAGAACAAGAAGTAGTGGCACCAGAAACCACAAAGAAAGTTACCAAAACACAAAAGAAGAAGTTTGAAGTTAGAAAATGGACAGCTGTTGCGTTCTGGTCGTGGGATATCGTTGTTGAGACTTGTGCCATTTGCAGAAATCATTTAATGGAACCTTGTATTGAATGTCAACCAAACTCAATGAGTGCCACTAGTAACGAATGTATCGCTGCTTGGGGTGCTTGTAACCATGCCTTCCATATGCATTGTATTTCAAGATGGCTAAAAACTCGTAATGTTTGTCCACTAGATAATAGAGAATGGCAATTTCAAAAATATGGTAAATAAGAAAGGGGTTTATGGGTACCTCGCGTTTTTCACTCTTTTACTGAATGGTGATGATTCTTTTGGAGAAGAGCCGGATTCCAGGTGCTGGGGTGTGTTTTATTGATCTCTTATTTGAAGGTTGTCTTGACGGCTTGTTAATGATTTATTTGGTTTGTGCGTTATTTTTATTTTATATATTAAGGTGGGTTTCAAAATCTTCGTGAACTAGATTACACTATATTGTTGATGATAAAAATGTTTCATGTTTTATTTGAAGAGTATTTTCAAACTTTTTGTTCTCCGTAATATCTTTTGTTCCTAGGGAAAGTTCCTATCACAACACTACTTAGGCTTCTTTCATTGAATTCTTTAACAGCTGCTTTAACGTTTTCATCTTCATAACTATCTCCCCAAAATTCAATGAAGAAAACATATTGCCACAATTTGTTTAGAGATGGTCTTGATGTAATACTGGTCATATTTATATCATGTTTTGATAAAATATCCAAGGCTTTAACTAACGCACCAGCATCATCATGCTCCACAGTGAATGCCAAAAGAGTAATGTATTTTGTATCTATGATTTTTGTGTCTTTTTTACTCAGTATCAAGAACCTTGTAGTGTTTTCTTTGTTGTTTTCAATATTTTTGTATAAGATTGGAATATTATGAACTTTTGAGGCATATTCACTTGCAATTGCAGCACTTTGGACACCTTCATTAGAAGCAATTTCTGCAGCTCTCGAAGTCGAGCTACTATCTATTCTTTCCAAATGTTTACCTTCACTTATTAGCCAATCTGTCACTTGACCCCAAGCTTGAGGATGTGTCAAAATTTTATCAACTTGCGAAATGTCTTTAGCATGGGTTAAAACACAGTGATGAATTGAAACAAATTGCTCTGCAACAACTTTGAATGTCGAATTTGAGTCTTTTTTAGCAGGTATCAGCCAGTCTCTTAATAGATCATATGTATACATGACTTGTCCGTTTGTTGAATTTTCAAAGGGAACAACACTATAATCAACCTCATCATCGTTAACTTTTTGGAAACAATCTTTACAATTTATTAGTCTTGTCCGGTCAATTCCTGAATTTTACTCACCATTTATTGTCTTTTGAGGTAATAATGTAGTTTTTTCACCAAATTGTTGTAAAGCTGCCTTCAAACACCGTTAGTACAAAACATTTTCTCAGCCAATAAACAACCGTTGATGCTTACCTGATGAGTGTAGGTACCTTCTGGCCCTAAGTACGCCACTTTTATATCACTTGAAGACATTGTCAATTGAAGCTTTGAGCTGAATGAAGCAATTTCTTCTGATAACTTTATGTAAGGTCCCATACAAAATCTCGAAATTTTCGACGTTTATATTTTTCTTGCCTGTATCGGCGGATTCATCGAATCTTTAGCTACAATCCCAAAAATACACCAAAATCTAACTATGTGCTTCATTTGCTATGAAATGGGGAATATAAACATGTGATATGTGCTAAAGGTCGATTGGATCCTAGTTTTCCAAGGATTGAGCTTCAGCGACAAGTGCCTCGACTGAAAAATCCGAAGAACCAGATGTGAAATCTCTCAAAAGTTTGGTACGACGCTTTGAAGCCTCACTATCAGCTAAAGCACCATAGAATCTCTGAACATTTAATAATAAAAGTTGGGCTTCTGGTAATTTAACAGCCGAATCTTTCTCAACAGTACCATTCATCAATACTAACCCTTTGTCTTCTTTCAATTCAGTATGAAACATCAAAGAGGTATGTGGTCTAGCAAATTCTTTATGTGTCTTGAATTCTAATAATGTGGTAAACATACAATGGACTGTGTTTGGACCAACAAATTGCCATTGAACATAGTGTAGTTCAAATGCATCGTTTTCACCACCTTCTGTTTCTCTTGGAAGAGGTAAAACGAATGTTGGATTCTCTCTTGCATTTTTGTAAAGCTTATCAAAAACGTTATTAGGAACTATTGAGATCAATGAATTTTCTTTACTTTGAAATCTTGCTTTCCAGATATATTCCAATTCTCTTGGTGGTAGTTCTGATATTTTAGAAACATCAACGAATGAGTTCAATGTTTTGTATGGTTTTTCTGGTGTACCCTCCTTTCTAGGGCCTCTTAGTTTATCTTCATGTAGTTTTTTTTGTTGAGCCTCTAAAGCTTGTTTTCTTTCATATTCTTCCAACTCTTTTAACGGATCAATCTTGTTGAACTCTTTTTTAGTATCTTCAATTTTATCTTTTAGCTTTTCTTTCAATTCATCCACATTACTAGCACCAACTCTTAAATTCAATCAATTAGCAAAAATGAAAACTCAATATAATATAAGCGACAGAACTTACTCTTTAGCTTTCTTTTCTAATTTTTCACGATACTTCTCGAGTGGATCTTGAACTTTTGAAGATTTTTGGATAAATCTGACGTTGGAAACTGATGCGTTTCTGACTTGCTGAAATCTCCCAAAGGACTTGATGGAATTGATTGAAAAGGTTCTAGGTAGTTTCATATTAGAATATTGGGATTTAGAACATTTGGAAATTAGGTTGTAGGTTTTGCAATTGGCCTTTTTCACCATCCAAGAATCAAAAAATTCGCGAAAAGTCTTTCAAATCCGGGCGTTTTCACGTGATGATAAGGTCATAATACGAGGGTAAGCTATATTTAGAGTCTAAACTTTAATAAAACGGCAATTAAAATGTTGAATAAAAATATTGATCATTTGTTGCAAAGGCTGAGTGCTTTAATAGCTGGTTCCACGAATTTGTTAGTTCTCTCTTTAGTTTACGAAGGCTCTAGCTTGATGATCAACCTGGATCAGACGTGTCTATCAAATATGCTTGCCCGTATAGCACCACTATAAGAAGAACAATACTGGAAACTCAACTGCCTTCCAAGCAGAAAATACCTTTTCATTTTGCTTTGGTTATATGAATTCTAAGTTCCAATTCCTGATCCAGAATCCGCCTTTAATTTAATGTAACGCGAAAACACGCTAAATTTGGGACCTGGATTACATAATTTTCATTTTTATTTACATTTTTTTTCTCTTGAAAATCATATCGAGTTGAAACGAAATCAAATCAGCTTTCCTAAAACCCTTACGTCTATTGTTCTGTCATATCCTATCATAAGGCCAAAGACCGGATACGAAACCCTTCAAGCTTCATCTACATTGAATTCGTTACTCCAGAGATCTATTCTAGTTACAGAGTGTTGTCAAACCTGAATGGAAATCAAGATCGTACCGCGCCTTTCGGTTCAGAATTATTGAAAACAAACTCTTCTAATGACTGCTACAATATCACATTCAGCTCAGTTTGAAGCTAATGGAAAGAAACAGAGTAATAGCCCAACTAAGGTGCCCAACAAGTACTTGGTAAATAAACCTTTACCAATACCGTCATCGTCAAATCAAGGTGCCGATGGTGACACATTTGTTCATGAATTCAACAGAAATGATGTTAGAGAATTGATCCATACAATAACACAGGAGCTTAAAATTAAAGGTAATAAGACACCATTGGTTATATTGGCTTTCAGGCCAAAAGTTGATGATTCAAAACTTTCGTTTTTCTTGACTCAGGTGTTTCCTAATGGAACAAAACCTGCACCTATAAACGTTATTGAGAGAGCAGTGAAAAACACAGACGAGTTTACTTTGATGGCTGCTTTAAAGTATCTATGGACAAGACTACCCATGAACTCAATTATTGGCTGGGATGCCTATGAGACTTTCAAGAAATTGGAAGCTAAATCTGATTACCCCAAAAAGGCTTTTTTGGAATTTATGCCTCAATGTTTAACATCACCAGCTCATGCATCCATTGTTTATGATTTTTTGGACCTTCTTGTATCTTTATCAGCTAACGCTAAGGAGAATCAACTAAGTGGAAGAAAAATTTCCAAAATGGCTGGTATTTGGGCGTTTCATGGTCCTCCAAATTCTGCAAATTTAACCAAATCAAGATTGGACCCAACTGAAAATTCGTTTAGAGAAGGGTTGAGGGATTGGCTGCCTGCTGCTGATGCAATGTTTCATATGCTTCTTTCATTTTTGAGATCCATGTTGCCTGATGATCATAATACCAAGCTTCAATTACCAAGAACATTACAAGCTTTATTGGCTAGTAATTCTTACCCTCCACCTGATTTGACATATTCATCTTCCACATTGGTGAGCGTTCCACTTGTTACAATACGCTCAAGCTCACTTTCAAGATCGCCTATTGAACTATTGAACAAAATACCCAAAGTGTTACGTTTTGATAATCCAAATGATTTTGAAGCTAAAGAAGATTACGCACTACTGAAATCTTTGTGCAAGAATGATGCAAATATTTTGAACAAACTGTCAAATGAATCCAGAAGAATAATTGGGTTGTTGTGTAAGAAAGCAGATGAAAGTAATCTGAATGCTGGTTGGCCCGAGTATAATCCACCTGCTAACCTTTTGCAGAAACAAACAGAGGTTTTGGTTTCAAGAGTTTCTATTGATGATTACTTTATCTGGACCTGGATGTCAAGTATGTCCTTTGAGGAAACTGCAGCTAAAAAGAAGCTATTTGGTAGATCTTTAATTTCAGAATTTGTTTTTGATGGATTTAAGAAATGGATCATTGTTGAGGAACAAAATATTGAATCAAGTTTCAGAAATCATGAACCTCCTTTACCTGAGAAACCAAAGTCTCAGAAACGCAATGTTTCGGGACCTCAACCTCATTACACTTCATTACTAGGTGATGAACCTTTACCTGCTGCAAAACCTAGATCAAAGCCAAGAGTTCTACAAGAATCTCTTGTTCCAAATGGCATTCAACCACCTGTCAGAAAGACTTCAAGCTCATTGTCGCCTAAATTAGGATTCTTGAAACCATTGAAGAAATTTCACCATAATCAAAACGAGGAAAATGCCAAACCACTACCCCAGCCAGGCCTAAATCCACAACATCATAAACCATTACCAGAAGAAAGGCTGCAACATTGGGAATCGCCTGAGAAAGTTGAATCTTTGCCTGAAATTGAAACAAATCAATATAGATTAAGTATACCCCTTGATAGTTTTGGATTTGATGATGATTATGAACAACAAAAACCTGCACAGGATTCATTTTATCATTCTCAACAGCATCAAAATTATCCATATGCAACAACAAATGAATATCATACTACTGCACCACCAAGAAGAAGTGAGCAATACCAAGAGTCACCAACATATTATGATCATGATAATAGATACAATACAACCAATCAGTACGATCCCCAAAGCTACAATGCTTATGGTGAATCTGAATACAGAAATTTGAGACCACGGTCACCAAACAGAGATGTTGCACGGGAAACAAGAAATGCAATTGAGACTTTTGAAGCTCCAAGTTCTCCTCATAAAGAAAACGGTCTTCAAAATGGATCAATAGAGGATCTCACCAAGATGGTTAGTCAATTGGCGTATCAGGTGAATCAAGTTGAGTCCAAGATTGATGGTGGAGCCTCTAGACAAGGTTCTCCTGTTAGGGAATTACCATCCTTGAACAAACATGATCATCATGCTCAACCATCAGATGCCACTGTGTCTAGTTGTGAGTCATCATCAACAGTCTCAAAACCAAGGAGAAAACCACCACAGGAGAATAATGGCTACAAAGATAATGGACCACAGAATGATTATGATTACAGCCATCACTACCAACAACAACAACCACCACCTGCTGTCTATGGAACCCAAACTCCCCAAGTTCCAATGGGTAATACAAATAGGTATTCAACTGCTGAATCATTTTCAAATATTTCAAGACGATCAGATCACAGTCCAATAAGGCAACATCAACCTCCAACACCATTGAGCAAAAATGATCACGAAGGTCGGTTAAGAAGTGCTGTTACATCTGATAATACCGAGCGTGATAGTTTCTACAGTGCAACCCAGTCAATTGATCATGCTCAAGCTGATTTGAGAGAAAGTACCCCAACAACAAATCCAACCTCTGATGACTATCAAGACGCTGAAGATAAAATCATAAATGATGAAATAAAGAGGTTTTCAGGAGCTTCACAAAAGAGATACCCAGAAAGTATTATTGAAACTTATGCCGCACCATCTGTTCATCATGGTACTGATAGTGATGGTTCAACATTTACAAGCCCAACCAAATCAAACCAATCACCATATCAGAATAAAAGGTATAGTAATCCAAGCTCGAGCCCAAATAGATTACCAAATATACCTGAGCCGCTAGACACTAGTGACATTCATTACATACCCGAACCAACTGTTGACAGTGGTATTCCAATTCCAACACCATCACCACCAAGAAGTCCTATCAAAAATATTTCACCAGCCAGAGGGTATGAAAAAGATCAAAAAGTTGCTGCAGTTCAATATAATGGATCAAACTCGTCATTACAAGTTCCAGCAAACAATTATGCTCAAAGTGCTGAATCTTTCAACAATCAATTTGATGCTAGAAGATATTCACCAGATAATCGTTCTTATAACAGTCAAAATAGTGATGAAAGAAGCTCAATTCCTTCAAGACAAAGTCGTTCACAACAGGTTCCTGGAGCGAGCACATCATCCCAAAGTTTGAATTCCAATTCAAATTACCAACCAAAGGGATTAGAGTCTCAAAGCTACACTGCACCTCAGCATTACTCTACACCCCAACGCCAGAAAGCTCCACCTGCAACTTCACCATATCGCGTTTCACCACCTGGTCAACAACAATATTCAAATCAAGTTTCTCATCAACAAATGTATAAATCACCACCACCAAAAGGGCCTGGAAATTTTGGTACACCATCCCCTGGACATGGCTCAAACTTATCAGTTCCACAATCAGCACCACCACCAAGACAAAGATCACCAAGAGGTATGCCTATTGGAGCACAAAGACCTCAATCAGTTTCACCTGCTCGCAGTCAAGGTTTTTCAAGATCTCATCAACCACCACCTCAAGGCTATTATCCACCACCACCTCAAGGATATTACCCACCACCACCTCAAGGCTATCCTGGATATGGTGCTCCTCCACAAGGCTATCCTCCTCAAGGCTATTATCCACCACCACCGCAAGGTTATTATCCACCGCCTCCACAAGGTTATGGTTATCCTCCAGCTCCAGGTTTCAGCCATCAACCATCACCACCACCACCAGCCAATTCAACCAATGCTGCAACAAATGGTGCCAGTGAATATGCGATTGGGCATTTACCAACAGCAGGTGGTGTAAACAAGTTGCATAGAGTCAACAAGACTGATAAGAAGAATCTACGTAATGCTTTGACACAAGGTGATTTTGGTATTTGAATGTACAATTTTTTCATGAGATAGGACAATTGTTATATATAAAGAATAAAGAATAGTGTAAATATTGATCTATATATGTAGTATAAGTACTAGTGTTTGTATGAGTACCAGCTTCAACTTCTTTATTGGATCTTTGACACATTCTTTATCAGGTTTCCGATAAGGAACACGGAAAAAAAAAGACGCGTCTCATACACCTAAAATGGAGATTCACGTGACTTTTGTTTACAAATTCAAAAAAGATGCGTTTTTGCGAACAATTATAACGAAAACCACAAAACAGAAAAGAATTTGAAAGCAGAAAAATATTCGCTACGCTATATATGGTGATTGAAGGGAACGAATTTGCTATTTTTCATTCATTTTATCAATCATACATTATCAAAGAGCAGCACACATTCACAGAGACATTTATAACTTGATTACAAAATGACAGACCGTGAAGCAGATTCTCCACAAAGAAGAGCAAAGTTGTTGTCACCACCAATCTCTCCAGAGGGAAAGCTTGCTGCTCAAAAGAGAAGGCTGGATGAAACAGAAGCAAGTTCAACTCAAGCCAAAGATAGTGAATGGATGGAAATTAAACCTCAACCAGCCAAAAAGAAGCAGATTATGAATTTCCTTGGTGCATATAATTTACCACAATTGAAAAAGAATTCAACCAAGAGCAAGCCATCCAAGAAAAGTCCACCAGCTCCATCATCATCGTCATCCTCCTCCTCCTCATCAACACCTTCTGATAAATCTGAAGAATCTAAAAAGGAAGAAGAGCTAAACATTGAAGAGGCTTCTGTCGATGGGTCTCAAAAGGCTTCAAAGAACTCAACAGAAAATGTGGCTAGTCGTGAATACGATACCAGATCAAAAAAGAAAACATCACCTTCCACATCTACACCCTCCTCATTATCATCATCAGCATCCACTTCAGAAGCTAATACAGATGAAGTCACAGATTTGAAAGAGAAGCTAGTTGAAGCAAAAAACAACGGGGAAAAGGGAGAGTTTTTGAGATTGAGTACAGTCAGTTTGATTCATGACCTTCCACTTGAAGATATTCCAAATTTTGAACCAAAGATCGAACTGAATGATGAAGAATTTTTGAAAATAATTAAAAAACTAGGATTGACTTATAAGCTGGAGGATGGTGAAACAAAGGAAACAACAATAAAGAATGTTCTCAAACTAACTGATCAACAGTTTATTGAGACAAACAAACGTTTCTTCGCTGAAAAGGCCAGAAGAACATATAACGAGCAAACATTCAAGAAGACAGATGCACAAAGAGCTTGTAAGATTGATGTGAACAAAACTTCTAAGCTTTATGAAATTTATCAAGCTTGTGATGCTCTTGATGATGATTTATTCAGATACTGAGTATCTTTGGTTTCCTAGTTGAATTGTGAATTAAGTGATTTGGTTTTAAGTTTTAATTGAATTTCCATGAGCAGCTGTTGGATAGTGAACATTTTATTATTATTATGGGAATGGGTAATTTAGGGATAGTATAGGAAAGGATAACAGGATAGTTGGAATTGGGTTTTTTGAATACTGACGTGTAGTTTGTTTTAGTTTCTCGAGGATTTTTCAGTTTTAGCACGATGATTACATAACACTGGCGAAAAGAAAAAGTTGTAGATGAAGAAATCAAGAACACGAGTAAACCTCACAATTTTACTATCACAAATCACTCTTTAAAATGGCAAAGTCAATGATTGTTACCTTGAATGTCCCTAGTGAATCGTTGAGGAAGTTCCCAGCTGCAGACTTCACTCCAAAAAAGAGACGGAAAAGCTCAACTTCCAACGCCCATCCAAGTACAAATATCGCAACACCAACTCCTGTGAAGAAAGAATCAAGTTTAAATACTCCAATACCCAATTCCAGAGGTAGTACTCCATCAGCATTAGAGGATGGTAGAAGAAGAGCACGCGGTGGCCGTGGTGGAGCCAAAGGTTCCAAAAGATCATTACTATCGTCTCCAGCCCCAGAAGGATCAATCAAGCAAGAAACTCCAAGTACAGCGCCAGCGACTTCTTCTACTAGTTCAACAAACCATCCAACTGTGAAATCAACTCTTTCAAAATCAGTGGGAACTGGTGGTGGATCTTCAGGTGCAAATGGAGATGATGATAAATTGGATAAATCAGGTGCACCTGTTAGAAAATGGACTAAGAAACCTATAGATATTATAAGTTTCACTGGCTATAATATTGAGTTCAAAAGTTGGACCGGTGCTGCTAAAGGAAAAGAGGATAAGGTTGTAAAGCCAAAAGACGAAGAAGGTGAGAAAGATGTTAACAAGGGTTCATTCAAAGTTCAAATAAAGCTGAATAATAAGGCATTAGATGTGGATGAAGATAACGCTGGGGGTGACTCAAGAGACCAATCACCTGCGTTAATGGATGATGCTTCTTCCATTGTGACTACACCAGAGGGCTCTAATGCCATGACACCTGTTCCATAAACTATTTGGCTGGAAATATAAAGAACACGAGAAATTTAGAATTGATCTCAGGAACCAGGGCTGATGATATTGTCCCTTGAAAAAGTGATATTGTGACCTCAAGAGTTGAAAAACCTGCTCTTTCCATCCTATCGGTGGATCAGCTGAACAAAGTTTAGTTAGGGAGGACGTGCAATAACTTTTGGCCTTTAATGAAAATGCTTATGAATCCCACTTGCAAAATGTAGAAAAGGATTCCAAATGCCTTTCAGTGTCTTGTTTATGAGTGATAGTCCCAGTGCATTAGAAGTCTTAATCCAGAATCTTGATTTTGGGGGTTGGATCTTGGAAACGTTAGGCAATATTGCCATAATTGTTCAGTGGAATGAGATCCTTCACAAGTTACAACTAACATCATCGCTGTTACAATGCTCATCTTACGGAATTATACGAGTGAAGTTAGCGACAATTTGTAAACGGCTGCAGTATGACAAGCCGTAAACTGAGTTAGCAACAGATGCGTAAGTCTGGTGGATCTTCAGACTCAAGTTTCAACTTTCAACTACACTAATTACTTCAGTACGCTCACCTCAACAATCAACTCCTATGCTAACTATCGAAATATAAAAACAAAACAGAAACCACCTTCCTTCAATACCCATTCTCTTCATCATCACAAATCAAAGTCTTCTAGAAGACTCAGCTCGTACATAATTCCACCTACAAGCCAAAAGAATCCTGTCAATTGATTTCTGAAAGATAAAAAAAAGCTTGAATTTCCTGAAACGCCACAGTTTTTTCTCTTCCGAAAAATCAGGAAACGACAGTGGCCAAAAAGGAACCAATACACTTATTCTTTCAAGGACCAGGTCAATGGTTATCTTATGCCTTAGATAGAATCCTTAATGAGCTCTTCATGATCTCAAGGAATTTCAATTGACTTGACCTTATCTCGTTTGACTTACTACTGCGTGGACGCACCATCAGCACAACTCTGGCTGATAAGGTGAATTGGCCCTGATTTGAATAATCTATCGTGCATCCTGGATAATTTGAAATAAGCAGGATTGACTGGCTGATATTTGATTCCAATTGGCCTGAAGTTCCCTGAACTCACCGTTTGAAGTTAATTTACCACTTTGAACTGGGTTTGCCCTCCATATTTGGATTTGATTGCCATAATTAACTCATATGGCTGCTTCCACTTCATGTACAATAGATCAGCCATTGGAATTGGATCTAAGCTGCCACTGAATCACATCATCATCAGAATCGGTCACAGACAATAGAGATTGCTAGCAGGCTGTTGGTGTATAAGTATCAAGTGAATTATCCTCATTTTACATATAATTCTCATAATGAGACCCTTTCACACAAGAAAAGGATATATACCAGTACCCAGTGAAGGTGAACCTTCATCAACTAATCATCAAAACCAATCAATAGAAATGGGTATCTTTGGTAACAGGTCTAACAAAGACAGTATAGTCACTTCAAGTGACGAGGTTGAACTTGATGGGTCGCAATACAGAATAGATGGTCAAGATAAGAATAGAACAGCATCAGACATTGAACATAACATCCCCAGCGATAGATCAGCTAAAAATTCAATTAAAGGAGATGTTATTGAAATTGAGAGTGACAACCTATCTTTCATAAGTGGTGATATATCTTTGATGGACAATTCTCCATATCCTGAAGTTCGTGAAGTTGTCCCAAATACAGATGATCCTTCAATTCAAATAAACCATTGGAGAACTTGGGTACTAACTACAATATTTGTCATTGTATTTGCCGCTGTTAACCAATTCTTCTCATTACGTTATCCAAGTTTAACCATCAATTTTCTTGTTGCCCAAGTTGTTGCTTATCCAATTGGTAAATTCATTGCCAAAATTATGCCAGATGTGAAATTCAAATATTCTTGGTTCAACCTAAATCCAGGCCCTTATACAATTAAAGAACATGGTATTTTAACAATCTGTGTTGCTTTAACATCATCTACAGCTTATGCTATGAATATTTTAATTTCCCAAACAAATTTCTTCAATAGAGATTTTGGTATAGGATATGAAGTTTTGTTAGTCTGGACAACCCAATGCTTGGGATATGGATTAGCTGGACTAACAAGAAGATTTATTGTTGACCCTCCAAGTATGATTTGGCCACAAACTTTGATCTCAGTCTCAATGTTTGAAGCTTTACATTCTTCAAGAATTGACAAGACCATTGTCAATGGATGGAAAATTTCAAGATACTATTTTTTCTTGATTGTGATGATTATTAACTTTGTTTGGTATTGGTTCCCAGGTTTCATCTTTACAGGATTATCTTATTTCAATTTTATTTTATGGGGCCCATTAACTAGACATAATTTTGTTGCAAATTTCATATTTGGTGTCGTTGGTGGGATTGGTGTCATTCCAATCACATTTGATTATACACAAATTTCCCAAGCAATGTCAGGCTCTGTTTTCGCTACGCCATATTGGGCTATTGCAAATACTTATGCTTCAGTTTTCATTTTCTTTGTTTTATTGTTGCCGATCTTGTATTTCACAAATACTTGGGATGCTAAGTATTTACCAGTCATTTCAACTTCAACTTTTGATAACAGACAAAAAAAATACAATGTTACCAGAATCCTAGGTGATAATTTCGTTATTGATAAGCAAAAATATAGGGAATACTCACCATTATTTGTGCCCTTTTCATATTTATTAAGTTATGCATTGAATTTTGCTGCCGTGGTTAGTATTTTTTTCCATTGTTTTTTGTATCATGGTAAAGATATCTATCAAAAAGTTAGGGATTCAAGAGCAGGCGGTCAAGATATTCATAGAAGATTGATGCAAAACTATAAAGAAGTTCCAGATTGGTGGTATGCTGTATTGTTTGTGATCTTTTTAGCCTTATCGTTTGTTACAGTCTGTCATTGGGATACTGGATTTCCAGCATGGGGGTTAGTGATTGCACTGTTGATCAGTATTGTTACTTTTATCCCTGAAGGTATTATCGAAGCTTTATCAAATCAAGAAGTTGGATTGAACATTATCACAGAATTAATTTGTGGTTATATGTTGCCTTTCCGTCCAATGGCTAATCTATTGTTTAAAGTTTATGGGTTTATTGTTATGAGACAAGGTTTAAACTTATCTAGGGATTTGAAATTGGGCCTTTACTTGAAAATTGCACCTCGTATGTTGTTCTTTATCCAGATCTATAGTACATTACTAGCTGGTGTTACACAAGTTTTGGTGCAAAGATGGATGAGATTTCATATCAAAGATATTTGTTCAACTTCCCAACCTGATGGATTTATCTGTGCAAGTGGTCGTACTATAACAAACGCTGCAATTATTTGGTCAATTCCACAGTATTTATTCACTCCAGGACAGAAATACTCTCCATTGTTATTATTTTTCATTATTGGCCCAGTTTTCACTATTGGCGCTTGGTTATTACATAAAAAATGGCCACATAGATGGATCGGTAAGATTAATGCTCCATTATTCTTTGTTGGGCCTGGTAATATTCCACCATCCACACCATATAACTATAGTTGCTATTTCGCTCTGTCTTTTCTAATAAACAAGGTTAAAAACAGATGGCCAAGATGGGATGCTAAATACAGGTATGTGATGGGTGCAGCAGTGGAGACTGGAGTTGCTGTTGCCGTTGTTATTGTGTTTTTATGTGTTCAATACCCAGGTGGTACCCTAAAATGGTGGGGGAATACTGTTTACCGTGATACTATCGACTTCAAAGGTACTCCATTTTATACATTGGGTAAAGGTGAAACTTTTGGACCAGATAAATGGTGGTGATAATATACGTACCGTTAATTTAATAATCTCAGAAGCGGAAATGTGTTGTATTAAAAATGTACATAAGAGGAATCTCTTTTTTTTTAAAGACTGTATTGGAATTAGAAGAATAGAACGATTGAAGAAACTAGAAGTGTAGAGTATAATAAAGCTGAAACTGATTTGTATGACAATTTGATTGAAACAGCACTTGATCTGCTATGGCTTGAAGAGGATGAGGATGATGAAGTTGAACCTGTTGAGGAAGAACCACCACCTTGAGAGCTTGAAGATACTTCACCAGAAGTGTTTGCTTTGTTAATATCAGCAGTGGAGGTCCAGTTATTTGATCTTAATGCAGATACACTACTATCACTAACTGTTATACCATCCCAACAGTATTCTTGGAAACATCTTGAACATTCTTCAGATTGTGTTTGATTGTTACGTTCTTGTTCACGACGAATAATTGCACAAGAAACACATTTCTGCCAATCTTGATCAATTGTTAAGTTATATCTTGAAGCAACTTCATAACCGTTTTGAATCATTGAAAGTTTTTCATCCTCATCATATTCCATTTTGAAAGTTGATGTGTTTGACCAATAAGTGTATGGAGTATTTGCAATATAAACAACTAATGGAGGGATTGTAGTTAAACCTGTCATGTTTGAGGCATTACAACCGAAAAATGTTGGTTTTTGAGTTAAATTGAGACCAATAAAAGTTTCTTTATCTGGAACATATGGGAATGAAGTACCATTACCTTGAACAGAGAATTGACGTTCATAAGTTGCGATTAATGAAGCACCATTGGGGAAAGAATCATTAGTATCAGCTGAATTATCAAATGCAAAGATGATGTCAAGATCACGTTCCGGTTGGACTAAAGGTGCTAATGGAACATTTTGTAAATCTTCACCACCATCACATAGGTATAAAGTTTCATCTTCAACAATTGTGCGAACTGTTGAATGATTTGAATGATAAAATGGATTAGGATTATAAATTGCAATATCATCGAAATCTTCACTTAAATTTTGTAAAAAATCTTCAATTAGATTGTAAACTGCACCTTTGATACCTGTTGTATTCAGTTGTAAAAGAAATTGGTTGAATAAGGAAGATGAGGTACCCAAGACGAACCCAGCGTTATCAAAACCCATAATACATTGATCAGCTTGAGGAACACCATTGTTCACTTCAGTACCCAAATATTTCAAGTCAGTGAATGCGTAAACAGAAGGATCCCAAGAGCCCATTTCAAAAGGATTAAACTCAAAAACGGTTGAATTTAAGTTAACAATTGTGGAACCTGGTGTTCTACCATCTGCAACACTAATTGGGAATGGCATTTCAGCATTTTGGAAAACTTCAACATCTCTTAATGTAGAAAAGGTTAACCCAATGTCACCATCATTTTCTCTGCCAAAAAATTGATAAGATAGAGCTCTTCCCCAAATATCTGTTAAAGAAGTGTTAAAATGGGCATCTCTTTTGGCATCAATAGCATCGTCAATTTCATCCCATTGATTAAAAGTTTTGAAAATATTCCAACCACCACTTGCAAAAATTGAATGCTCCAAGTTCCAAATAGTAGTATTTCCAATCAATTCTTGAACACTTGTCCAATTGTTCAATGCTAGAGTACCAGTCAACCAATTACCACCTGATAGACCGGATAAATAAGTTGCAGATTGTAATAGCCCACCAAGACCAGTATCATTTGCACCATGTGTTCTATCATCTAAGGCACTAATTTGACCAGCACCACAAAGCATAGCTCTATAACCACCACCAGAGAAGGCTAAACCAATATTAATTGAACCATTAACGTTATCAAAGAAATCATCAATGTTGAAATCTTGTAAATCGGCTCTCTCCAAGAATTCTCTTAGTGCTTCATCTGTGATTTCATGTCTTTTATCTAACCAGTCTTTCTCATCCTCACTCAATGAATGGGCTTCTCTAACCAAATTTGAGCTTCCTGAAGTACTTCTCTCGGGACAACTGACATTTCCTGGAGCATAACCACCTGTCGGAGAGTAAGCCGAAGCTAGAGCGATAGCGTTTGTTATAAGGAAAAGAGTGTTTAGCTTCATGGTTAACCTCTTCTGTTAGCCATTGATTGAAAGAGCTAGTTAACGAGCGAAGGAGCAAAATGATTAGTTTTATAAAAAGTCAGGTTCTCTTTATAACCAAGCCTGTTTTTTTTTGTTATGCATTTCGTTTTTTTTTTGAATCCGACATGCCGCTTTTTTGGAAGCTGCAAACAGCCTGAAATTGGCCCGAAAGCTAGGGTTAATTTATTACATTAGTGAATGAATTCTGATTCAAAGCTTTCGAGTTCCAAGGATTACGATCTGGCTCTATGTTCTGCTCGGTCAACCACTTTGTTCAGCTTGGTTTGGATCTTTTTGACCGGGGTTTGACCATGATGATGTAAAGCGAGATCTCGAATGGATGTTATGGGAAAAAGCTGTAATTCGAATCAAGGTATATCCAAAGCTTAGCCTTCTCAAGAATAGACTCTCTACAATGGGGAACCAAAGGTTTTCAACCTGTAAAATGAAGAGGATAAGGCTTTAAAGTGGTCTCTTGAAATTTGATTCCAGAAGTCGCTTTAAAATAACCGAAGATGGCAGTACAGCTTCACACGCGTGCTTGCACCCTGAAACCACGCCCAAAGTCTATTAAAGGCTTGAAGTTGAGACACCGAGCGATGACTTTGCTAGTGAGCATGTCTACTTTATCAAGCTCAAAAGTACTATTAAAAGCATCAAGCTCCAACGTGTTTACTTATGATAGTGCTGTGCGTTATAAATGATTGTAGATCTGCTCAATCTACGTGAACCATGGATTCGCTTCAGAACCAAGTAAAGAGCTATACACTAATATTCAAGAAGTTTTTCGGGAAATAACCATTTTAAAGCTTCTATAATGCTCCCAGAACAAATTTAAACCACCTTTCTTCACTTTCTTCACCTTTATCCCACTCTAAATGCTCAATCTCTGGTTTGTCTTTATTTGGTGGGTTTTTCTCAAAGTGTCACCGTTATTTGGTTGCAAAAATAGCAGAATGTGTCCCTTACCGATAAAATATCAGTCAAAAAGAAAAAATTAAATTAAGCGCGTTTTTATTGTAAAGGTACAAACTTCAAAGTATTGGAAAGATAGTGGCTCAGTGATTGCTTGGTGATAAAGAATGCTTCAGGATGTTTGAGAACAAGGTATTGACGTCGAAGAAGTCTGCTGTGAAGAAAGAGCAGTTGAGATTGTTGAAAAACTATTCAAAGCTGCAAGAGAGAAAGAAAAGAGCACTAGTGGAAGCTGATCCTTCATGTAATCAATATTATGAGGATTCTGTGGATTTGAAAAGAATAAGGAATTTTGCTCCTGAAGACACTTATGAAATATGGATACAAGAACCTCACTTGAATAAGAATTTCAGAAGATTTAAAGGTGGGAAGAATAAGAAGCTGAATAAAAAGACTAAAAATGAACAGGAGTTTGAACAACAACAAGAAGAATTAGAAGAGGAGGAGACTGATAGTGAAGATGAAGAACTCGAAGATGTAAATGAAAGTGACAGAGTGACAAGAGCAAAGGCCCATTACATCATTCAAAAAAATGGTCTTGAAATTCTACCACACATAAACTCAGATCATGGGCTAGATAACTCATCGACATCTTTCCCCCTTTACAACAATGTATCATACACCAAAAAACATACAATGGTTGTTTCAAAATTACTACATCTGAACATACTGAGGAAGAATTGGCAAGTTGCTTATAGATGTTTCAGTTTGCTTATAAGGCTTCATCATGTGGACATAAGAGCAATATGGGCATTAGGTATTGAAATACTCACCAGACTAGCCGAAGAAAAGTTTTTGAAAACGCAGCCCGAAGGATCTGTTGATGAATATAAACTAAGGACAAACTTTCATAATACTGAAATTTCATCACAACTTGAATTATTCAAAGATGAACAATTTATTGCTTGGTTACAAACATTTTATCCTATAAATTGGGTGCTGAATCCCAATACAAATTATGTTCAGTTACCTTATAGAGTTGGAACAAGGGATACACCACCAGTTTATATGGTGAATCTAATATGGACTTTGATTATGAAGCAGAATTTTAAAAAAGTTAATGAAAAATTATCAGAACTATTGTTACAAGCACCTTATCTTGATGATGGGATTTATTACTTCTTACAGGGGTTTTCATATCAATTGGAAGCTTCGAATCTGAGCAAGCTACAAACAGTTGATAGTCAACAGGTAGAAAAATTAATGTCTGATGCTAAGAAATTTTATCAAGATGCTAAAGAACGCGATGCTGTCTTCCCTGAAGAATTAATTAATAATGATTTGACTTTAATTGAAAAAAGGGTTGCAAATAATGTTAAACTACAAACTAGTGATGAAGAAGGAGAGACCAAAGATTCAACCTTATCTAGCGCAGAAGAAGAAGCTGGAGATTTCACCAAGATTGAAGATGAAAAAGATTTACCAAATGATTTTAATACACTTGAAAGAGAAAGAAATCCAGATAGTGAACAAGAAGATGACGATGAAGATGATTATCGAAATTCAAATTCATTTAGTAACAAGTTTGATAATGATGATTTAGCTAATGATAGTGATGATTAATGTTAAATAGATAATTTATGTGTTTTGAGTTATGTCGATATATGTACACTTTGTATGTTCATAGGTTCATTAAAATTAAAATCATACACATCGTGACACTATCAATCTCCTTATTCAATATTACCAGCCCCTTCATTTCTCTTTTCAAGCTTTTCTTTCATCTCATTTGAATCAGCTTGTAATTGCTTCATTTCTTCACGAATTTTTTGCAACTCCAATTTTAAGGATTCATTAGAATCAAACCCATCAGAGCGAACACTGTTATCTTCATCCTGTTTTCCGGTTCTTTTACTAAATTTCAATGGCTCTATTTTTTGTTCTTGTGATATTTTTTTGATCTGTGCAGTGACACTATCATTTAATTTAACTTGATATTCATCATTATTTGGTGAGGCATTTGATAACTTCAATAAGGTCCAATCAGGTGGAACCAATGAATTTGGTCTTAATCTTAAAGTGTTGTCTTCATTATTTCTTTGGGTACCTGTTACAGTAGATGTGGAGGTAGGACTATTGAAAAATCCAGCTCCATGAGGTAAGTGTTGATTCATGAATGGTGGTGGACCTAATGGTTGAGTTCCTCTAGCTGGGACTTCATGCTGAGTATCCATACGGTCATTGTGTTGTTGGTGTTGTTGCTCTTCAGCATTGTGTTGAGTTTCATTGGTATTAAGATTATCATTTCCAAACACTGGAGCCCTGCATGTTGGACATTGCTGCGATCTTTCAAACCAACCCTTAAGGCATCCCAAGTGGAAAACATGTCCACAGTTTAATCTTTTTGGATACAGACGGGTGCCCTTCTCAGCACTTGTAGTGTCCATCTCATCCATACAAATGATACATAGATTATCCCTTTCTAAATCTTGTGGGGTAGCATCTGCCAACTTTGCATTTAATTCCTTTGCTGCCTTTTGATATCTAAGGAATGATCTGATATCAGTTAATAAACCAAAGATGTTGAAGAAAATATCTTTGAATAAGTAAATTGGGTATCTATATGGGCTTAATAACGTGACCAACAGAAAAATGTGAATTATAAGCACCAATGATTTGTGGCAAATCTTCAACAGTCTCATATATAATGCTTTACTCTCCATAACATCTTCATCTGGGTGTTGACCTAAATAAACAAGTTCCCATGTGTTTAAAACAACTTTCCCTAATTGCAATAACAAGTCAAGAAACAAAACGGCAAATTCAAAACCAAATGCAAAGTAAACATCTGGGTTATTACCAAATGAATATTCAACACATGTATAAACCAAATTGAAATCAACATATAGTAATGCCAATAGAGTAAATGTATTTCTTGTTTTTAAGGCTTGTGATGGGGTTGTAGCTGTCTGGAAAATGTGATCAAATCTATCCTCCAATACCCAATGGAAGACCTTCATGAACAATGAAAATAAGGTAAGGATACCGGGTATCAATAAAAAGTCATTGCTAAACATAGTCAAGGCAATCAAGCTATTCAACACAGTGAATCTTGATTTTTCATAAATATGTTCAATCTCTATAAGTCTCAACTCTCCAAATAGCACTTTTTGTAGCGCTTTCCCTATTATTGCAGCCATCACCACCAACCAATTAGCCAATACTATAGTGCTGACACCTTCAGAAAGTTTAACACCAACTGCGAAAAATGTTGGACTTGATTGAATGATCGGAAATACCACTCCAATGGCAGCAACATTACTAAACTGCAAGCATATCAGTTAGTATTTGACTGTGGATACTCAAGGTAGGTCAACTTACCAAGCAGTAAATCATGAACTGTGCCTGGTGTGACAAGTTCATTGTTGGGTCTATTGGGAAATGTGTACTGCTCTAAAAATCCAGCCTATAACTTTCAATGAAACTGATCCAGGATTTGTATATTCAAGGCAAATGGTACACTTAAAATTGAATGTGTTGTTCACTCAAAAGATCGTTTATCAAAGAAATTCGCGAAATGGCAATTTCGTACACGCGCACGACTTTCGCGAAAATCAGATTCGAGTTTTTGACGGATTCGAATCATCGAATCAAGACACAATTTGATCCAATATTTCAATTTCACACTTTGAAATAGATCCAAAGGTACATTATAATCATATTATTCGAATGAGTGGGATAGGGTTAAAGCTAGGGTCACTTTTCATTCGTCAAATCTCGAAACCTATTGCGGTATGTGTTTTCCAAGATCAATACTCTGATGAAGAGGTTAATTGAAGTACCAGTGACTGACTTTTGAGTTTCATAGAACATTTTGAAAGCGCAAGCTAAAGAGCATGATACCTTCAAGAAAGCTTGTATATCCATAGCACAAAGGCTACATCGTACTGATGTGAACCTACGGATGAAGTTGATGGGTGAAAAGGGGGCAAAAGTTCGACCATTGAATGATAAAAAGGCTATTGAGAATGGAGCAAACTTTCTTTCAGAAACCTTTGTTTTGTAAGTTTAGTGAACTTTCGACTTGCATTTAGAATTCATTCACTAACTATATTTTCCCTAGTGCTGTTGCTGGAAGTATTATACTGTTTGAATCATACAGACAACGTCAAAAGGAATTAACCAGAAGAGAAACAGTAGCTGATGATATAAAGACTCTACAATATGAGATTCAGTATTTGAAAAGAAAATTACAACAATATAATGTTAGATTAGATGATTATGTCCCACCAGCCGATGTTAAACCAATTGTCTTAAAGCTGGATCAAAACGGTAATGAAATTGATCTAGACATAGCTATGGACAAGATAAAAGCAAAACTTAAGGAGATAGAAGGCTCAAAGAATCCAGAGCTCAAGGGTGTTGTTTTAGAACAAAAGAATGAACCAACCAACGTATCAGAGCCAAGAGTGTTGAAAGATACTAAAATCGAAGCTCAACAGAAACCACTAGAAGATCAGAAATAGAATTAGCTGAATGCTACATGTACATAGAAATCATGATTACATATATTCCTTTACATTACAACTATACCAAAGCACTAGAATACAGCATATTTCAAAATAGAAGCCAAATATTAATATAAAATTGTACTTTGCCTAATAGTGGCCCTAAACCAGATTCGCGATCTTCTGTGTGTTTCCGTTTCCCTGGAAACCTCAACGCTAGCCTAAAAATCAAAACAAACGCGATTTTTTAGTTCACGACCATAAACAATAAGTCATTAAGGTGATTTATCACTACACAATGCTTTGGATATCAAACAGCTTTATAGGTATAATATACAATCTTTGGATAATTTACACAAACCACTTTTCTCATGGAATATTAGTAAAGTGGAAGAAAAATTGAATAAAATGTAATAAAAAAAGATGGCTATAATAAAGTGGGCTCATTAACAATCATTTTAGCAAACAACCACCAAAAAGAATCAAATAAAAAAATAATAAGTAGTATAAAGAAAGGTAACCCTAAGAAATTGTGACGCCTTTCTTCTAACATAAAAATACATTGGTTTTTCCCACCCTCACTCATGTGAACGACACATGATTAAAATCATAAAGTAAAAAAAAAATTAACACACCAAAACACAGCACAACCGCAACCAAAAAAATATTATACAGAGTAAATCTCAAACGTAATTAACCATTCTATTTGGTTTTCTTCTTTTCAACTTTCAATAAAAGAGCCTAATAAAAGGTTGTTAGTAAGTTATCTCGGAAAGGGAAAAAATAACAAAATCAAAACAACATACCTTGTTGATGTGTGGCAAAACACCACCATAAGCAATAGTAGCCTTGATCAAAGTGTCCAATTCTTCATCACCTCTGATGGCTAATTGTAAATGTCTTGGTGTAATTCTCTTCAATTTCAAATCTTTGGCAGCGTTACCAGCTAATTCTAAAACTTCCGCAGTTAAATATTCTAGGACAGCAGTTAAGTAAATAGCAGCTAAATAAAGCAGTTAGTACTCGTGAATGTAATTGATATCAAAAAAGTAACTCACCTTTGGCACCAACTCTGATTTTACTTTGGGCATTTCTCTTCAAGAATCTTTTAACTCTACCTACTGGGAATTGTAAACCAGCTCTTGCTGAATGAGATTGAGATCTGATACCACCATCTTTGGCACCGGATTTACCTTTACCACCGTGAACTTTTCCTGACATTGTATGAATTGATTAAAATAAACGTTTCGTTGAAAAAAACTTGATGTTTTTCGATGTTTGTTTACTTTGTTGTTGTTGTTGTTGTTGTTGTTTTTGTTTATGTAAAAAGAAGTTTGGAGGAAAAATGGTTTTTGGTGGGAAAATCAAAATCGGAAATCAGATGCGATAGGGGACACACATTAAAGAAAGCACGGGTAACTGAATAAATAATGACACGCGTTCTAATGACAGAGACTACAATCATCAAAAATATTAACAATAGAATTGTAAAGTGATATGTATATAATTGAACTATTTACAAGTCTTGAACCACTTTAGCTCTCCTTTTTTACTAATTCATCTCTCATCTAGAACATACCTGGCATACCACCTGGGGCTGGAGCACCACCAGCTGGAGCAGGTTCTGGAATGTCAACAATGGCAACTTCAGTAGTGGCTAATAATGAAGCAACACCTGAAGCATCAACTAAACCACTACGGACAACTTTTAATGGATCGATAATACCAGAAGCAATCATATCAGTGTATTCACCTTTTGATGAATCATAACCTTTGTTGAAATCTTCACCAAAATCATCAATGATTTTACCAACAATAACTGAACCTTCTTCACCTGCATTTTCAATGATTTTTCTAGCAGGTTTAGTGATGGCTTTTCTAATGATATCAATACCTAATTTTTGATCAAAGTTTTCAGCTTTAACATCTTTCAAAACTCTTGAAGCTTTTAATAAGGCAGTACCACCACCTGGTAAAATACCTTCTTCAACAGCAGCTCTAGTGGCATTTAAAGCATCATCATAACGATCTTTCTTTTCACCAACTTCAACTTCTGAAGCACCACCAACTTTAACAACAGCAACACCACCTGATAATTTGGCTAATCTTTCTTTTAATTTTTCTCTTTCATATGATGAAGTTTCATCATTTGCAACAGAAGCTTTGATTTGATCGATTCTTTCCAAAATGTTTTCTTTCAAACCTTCACCGTTTAAGATAACAGTATCTTCTTTGGTAATGGTGATTGAAGCAGCAGAACCTAATAATTCAGGAGTAGCATTTTCTGGTTTTAAATCAATTTCTTCATTGAAGACAGTACCACCGGTTAAGATGGCAATATCACCTAATGTGTTTTTCTTGTTATCACCGAAACCTGGAGCTTTGACAGCACAAACGGTAACTTGACCTCTGATTTGATTTAAAATACAAGCAGCTAAAGCTTCACCATCAACATCATCAGCAATGATTAACAATGGTCTTCTAGTTTTAACGGCAATTTCAAAGACTGGTAAGATATCATTAATTGAAGAGATTTTCTTATCACTTAAAAAGATCCATGGTCTTTCTAATTCAGTTTTACCAGATTTTCTGTCTGTGATAAAGTATGGAGAGATGTAACCTCTATCGAATCTCATACCTTCAGTGACTTCTAATTCATCTTCTAAAGTTTTACCTTCTTTAACAGTAATGACACCTTCTTTACCAACTTTTTCCATAGCGGAAGCTAATAATTTACCAATGTGAGCATCACCGTTAGCAGAGATAGTGGCGACTTGAGCAATTTCTTCACTTGTTGTGATTTCTTTCTTATTTTTTTGTAAGAAATCAACAACAGCTTCAACAGCAGCTTGAGTACCCCTTCTCAAATCCATTGGGTTACAACCAGCAGCAACATTTTTAACTGATTCAGTAAAGATGGCTCTACCTAAAACAGTAGCGGAAGTAGTACCATCACCAGCACTTTCATTGGTTTTTGATGCAACTTCTTGTAATAATTTAGCACCCATGTTTTCAAATTTATCCTTTAAAGTGATTGATCTGGCAACAGTGACACCATCTTTGGTGATTTTTGGGGAACCAAAGTCTTGCTCAATCAAAACATTTCTACCTTTTGGACCTAAAGTGACTGAAACAGCATCAGCTAAAGTTTCAACACCTTTTAATAGGGCAGCTCTACCTTCAACACCGAATTTCAATTCTTTGTGTGATAAGTTTCTGACTAATGAGAGAGCTTGTCTCTTAATGACTGGACGAGAAGCACGCAACATGATGATTAAATGCTAGTACTTATTAGATTCAATTAACTTGTTTTGACGTTAAAAGTTGATTACTAAAAGTGCTTTAAAGGGAGATTTTATGGTGATATTTAAATCGTTTTTGGTGGACGTTTGCTAGAATTTTCCAAGAAGGCCGGTGTTCGGATGTCGATGGTTGGATCTTTCCTTAGGATCGTATTGGGCTCTCAGAAAGACACGCAAAAGCGGATTCAATTGGCTGGAAAATGGGTTTAATTGGATTAAAGTACTGCCTTTACTTACAAAGCACATTATTAGAGATTGAAACACTTGAGCTGAAGCATACTGGGCCCAAAAACATTTTAATTCTCCAGATCCAGCTCATTTTTTTCATCACCGGCGCGAAAAAATCCAACAGACAGCCAAAACTTGACTCGACATGAACTCCAGGCACTAATTAGTTCCACACTTATAGACCAATCCAGACAAGGATGCTACCGAATTGTTGCTAGTTGATTATCCAGCTCCAACTCAAAATACGGTCTCAAACTTGTTAAAATTCCAGCTTCATCAGCAATTTGTGTAGCTTAAGGCTGCTGGTCACAGTAATCATCGGACCCGTGGTAGTAAAATCCGGTTAAAACAGAATATCTGACTCAGCGATTACATAACATTATTTTCTTGTATTTTCCGGACACTACTTTTATAACATTTATGTTGTTATCAGTGTACTCTTCAATTGAAGAAACATCGATTAAAGACTTCAGAATGACAGACTTTGATGGTATGTTGGAATTGAATATTACTGAAAGAGTTTCAGACTAACTTTTCATAGGCTTCGCCCCAATAGAGGCTATCTTTTACTCTGTTTTTCACCCAACTGAAGGTACAAAAGTGTCTCAACAAGTCCCATTAGGTGCGATAGTTACACCACCTAAATCAACCTCTGATGTGTTAGCGGAACCATTATTTGACTTCGATCTGGTAAAGAACTATGTTATCCCCAAGGCTCAGCTCTGCAACAGATTGGTGACGTTAAAAGTTAACCAATATAGAATTATTGGATACCCAGTGACAATTATTGCACCACACTATGCAAGAAATTCATTCAGTTTTAACTTCTGCTTTGTGTTCCGCTATGAGAGTGACACGACTCCATATGAATCAGCTATAAGGAGACTTGGAAGGATGTTTAAGAACTTGGAAGAGCAATATCAATTATTATCCAGAAAGGAAAAAGACCGGCTATATTTTAAAGATGATGGAAGAAATGCAAGCACCAATACAGCCATCACCAGCCCACCGATGACAGAGAGCTTCAACAATGATACAAGTAGCTTGGGAAGAGCTAATTCTGTTGACGTGAGCACATCCGCCAGTGTGATTGACAAGTCTACCGCAACTTACAAACAGATTCTGAATGACTTGGACCATGACACAGATTCATCGACCCCATTAGGCATAACAAGAAAAGAAGGTTATACCATTAAGTTGGACTCAATTGAAAGTTTGATTCAACAAATTTATCAAGATCTTAATAACTATTCTGAATGTTTGATACCCATTGATTCTGGTAATTCTGTTGATATTAAGCTTTTCCCTCTACTTCCACCCCCACCAAGATTAAACCAAGAGGATGTTCCTATATCAACGGTTCACCTAGAAAGTATGGTTGATGTGAATTGGGACCCAACAATGCTTAAGATACTGCCATTCATCAATGGTATAAATTCAATTAAAAAAATTAGTGTCTTAGCCAATTCTGATTATAACATTGTCAAGCAATGTATTCAACACTTAATCTATTACAAATGCATCATTATTATTGACATATTTCAATTTTCCAATATTTATGCTCCAACATCTGATATTGTTTTGTTTTTGAAAGATTCTCACATGGCCACAGAATGTCAAGCGTATGTGGTTAGTCCTTCGATATTCAAAGATAAACCATTTGAATCTGACAAGTCAGCTGATCAAAAAACATCCACAAGGACAACCAAGACACCAAATAGAAAATCTTCAGGAAAGGATGTTTCATCAGTATCATTAGTTGGTGACTCTAATAGATCGAAAAGAGAAACAGTTGTGTTACCATCAAAAGCTAAGCTTTATTTTCTTTACAGATCCTTACACCAAGGACAAACTGTTAAAAGCTGGTACAAAGAACATGCCGAAGCATTGGAACATATTGATATAAGGAGATTCTTATCATTTGGTGTCTTGAGAGGCTTAATTTATAGAGTCCATTCCTACCCAATCATTGATTCAGTTTTATTAAAAGAAGAACACAGTCAATCAAAGTCATTATTTTTGCAAGCGTATAATGACAAGGATTTGGATGAAGATAATGAAGATGATGAAGGCGAGGGTACTAATGAAACTGATGCTGTTACGAATTTACAAACTGTCAAAGCTGCCTCGTTATTCAAAAGAAATACTGACAATGAACTAAGTGAAGCTGATAAGAGAAAAACTGCAATTATTTTGAAGAATTTGAACGATATCAAAAATTTTGATGCTGTTTGTACTGAACTTGAGATGGATAGAAAATCCGTGGAAACTTTATTAAGAAAAATTGGTCATTTTAATGTTGTTAATAGCTAAAATAGATTTTTAGCACAGTTTATCATATGAAATCTACGTCCCCGTAACAAAATGGATTATGTAATCTACTTATCTGGTTTCCCCGACAACGTGTTTTTTTACGTTTTCAATTTTTGTAAACAAAAAAAAGACGGTGTATACAAAATGAAAAAAAAAAGAGATACATCAACTTTACCAAAGTAATCAACATTTTCAAGGATCCGTTCGTGTACAAAACTCCAATTATTCCATTGACCCAACAACTACTGGAGCTTCTAAGTAAAAGGTTACCAAGGGATAGAAGTGCATGATGAGTTCAGAAAACGAAAACATTCAGGTTGTTGTGCGGTGCAGAGGTAGAAACGCCAAAGAAACCAGTATTAAAAGCACAGTCGTGGTAAACGTGGAAGATGAAGAAGGTTATGAAGTTGCTTTGAATCCTTCAAATGATACAGGTGTCAGTGCTCAATTGAACTCCAAAACTTATGCATTTGATAAGGTGTTTGGTCCAATGTCAGACCAACAAGTAATATTTGATAAGGTTGCAACTCCAATGTTCAATGAATTTTTAAAAGGGTACAATTGTACTATGCTTGTATATGGTATGACCTCTACAGGGAAAACTTATACTATGTCTGGTGATGACAAACTAGTTGACGGTGAATTAAGTGACAAAGCTGGTGTGATACCTAGAATTTTGTTCAAATTGTTTGGAGTGCTGAATGAATCCAAAGAACAACTAAATGAAGATTACATTGTGAAATGTTCGTTTATTGAAATATATAACGAAGAATTGAAAGATCTTCTCACTGATGAAACCAACAAAAAGTTAAGAATATTTGACCAAAAAGCTGTTCCTGGAAATGCAAGCCCCATACCTGGTCAATCAAATAACAAATCAACTATACATATTCAAAACTTAGAAGAAGTGATATTGAGAAATGCTAATCATGGTATTAAGACGTTACAAAAGGGGTTGAAGATAAGGCAAGTTGCGGCTACAAAGATGAATGATGTTTCAAGTAGATCGCATACAATTTTCACATTGAGTTTATTCAAAAAGATCGGTGAATCTGGCGACCTTTTCAGAATATCTAAAATGAACCTAGTGGATCTTGCTGGATCAGAAAACATTAGCAGATCAGGTGCTTTGAACCAACGAGCTAAAGAAGCGGGCTCTATTAATCAAAGTTTGTTAACACTAGGGAGAGTCATCAACCTGCTAGTGGAAAAAAATCAACAACATATTCCATACAGAGAATCAAAATTAACTAGACTGCTTCAGGATTCATTAGGTGGTCGTACTAAAACCTGTTTAATTGCCACCATTTCACCAGCAAAGATCAATTATGATGAAACGTTGAGTACACTTGAGTATGCCAACAAAGCAAAGAGCATCGAAAATAAGCCTCAATTAGGATCTTCCATAGGAAGAGAGATATTGGTGAAGGAATTGAGCATAGAGCTATCGAAGGTGAAGTCAGATTTAACTTCCACGAGGTTGAAAGATGGTATTTATATGAACAATGATAACTATGAGGAATTTATGAATGATATTCAAGAATATAAAACTGAGATCAATGAAACCAAAAGAACTTCGGAACTCCTCAGGAAGCAAAATGAATCACTAAAGAAGAAGACACAACTATTGGAATTTCAAAATAATGAGTATATGACAATGATAAACACTTTGAATGCTACAGTTGAAAGCTTACACAATAAAATTGATAAACAGAAGCAGAATGAGGAAAACTTGATGATGTCGTCATCCAAATTCAAACATATAATTAACAGTATCAACTCGAACTTGATGATTTTCAAAAAATATGAAGGTGATGCCAAATCAGAAATCAATACAATCAATGAAGTCTATATACAGAAGATTGTTGAGAAGATTAAAAATACTATCGAGGAAAACTCCAAAAGTCCTAACATTGATTCAATCATTCCAAATATCCAACATGAATTCCATCAGATGATAATAGATTTACAAAGAGCAACATATGATGCGTGTAAGAATGTTAGTGAATCAATTTTATCCAAATTCCCTGATTTATTTGATGATTTTGAAGGCAATATTGAAGAACTACGATCCTTGATAAAAATATTTGAGGTCAATGTGAGTGAAGAATTCTCAAAGTTATCCAAGCAAAATAACGATTTGAAATCAACACTTAATGAAAGTTTATTTAACAACCACGATGAATTTCTAAACTCTGTTGTCAACAAAGCTAGTGCACAGATTGAAGATGACTCGAATGACTTGTTGAACAAGTTCGTTGAGTTGATAAGAGAAAACAATTTTAAACAGCAAAAGGCATTGGTTGATAATATTCGTTCATCTGCTAAACATATTGTTTCCTTAGAGAAAGCCCAACTTCAACCTGCTCAGACCAAATGGGAACATGCAACATGTGAAATCATCAACAAATGTGATTCACAGACTAATATGTTGGTCCAACAGCACGAGACGAAACTGCATGAAATATCCAATTCATTAAAAGAGACCAATAAATTCACAACCACTTCCAAGGCTGCTATTGATAACGAATTAACAAAGATCAATCAATTAACTTCAGGATTTCAAAACAATAGTAAAGTTAACTTAAATTTGACTGAAATTAAAAGCAAATTTGAAGAACTTGAGACCCAGAAAATCAATTTTATTAATAGTTTGAACTTGACTAAAGATGATACATTGAAGATTCGCGATCACTTGATTGAAAAAATCGTGAACAATGATGAGATATCAAACCTTGAGGTGAAAGATGTTGATAAAGTTTTGAATGAATTAGATACAGAACAGAAAGAGATCAAAAAAGCATTGTTACCAACAGGAAAAACTCCATTAAGACAAACGTTAAAGATACCGAAGAAATTAGATGAAAGAGCAAGTGAAGTATTAAATAGATCACCTCCAAAATTTCAACTGATAGGACAAAGATTTAGTGGTGGAAGTAAGGATTTAGTTGCTGTTGATAATAAGGAGAATACTGTTTCTAATAAAAGAAAGTTTAACTCCAATGGCGCTAGTGAGCTGGACTCCAAAAAGATACCCAAGCTAAGTGGAGGAGGCAGAATACCATTGAGGAGACATAAAAGCTGATAAACACAAAATAATCATATCAGGAATAATAAGTAATGAATAATAATGAGAATGTAATTTTAAAGTGGAGGACTTTAGTGTTTTTATAAATAGACAATAAGTTAATAATATATCGTAAGTATAATAATCTACAGCTGCTTAATACCGATGTAATAACCTGCAACAGTAAATGATTGTATAATCTCAGTTGGTAATATACAAGACAAAAAATTAGCCATTTGGGCTTTTCATCCTTTTTTTTTCTGTTTTTTCAGCTTTTTTTTTAATTTCGGTCATGTTGCAGATAAAACCATTGAGCTATAATGGTTTGATTGATGTAAGATACTTTTCATCTCAAATCTGATGCTCCACTTATGGATCTTCTGAATTGATCTAATGAGCCAGATGATCTTGTTGATGAAGATGATGATCTTCTTCTTTGTTTTCTTGCTTGATTTGGATCAACATGAAACTTACCATGTTTTCTAGCTATCAAACCCAAGATATCAGTTAACGAAACAACACCAATTAACTTACCAGCTCTACCTTCATGTTCAGGTATCAATGGATTCGATTCATTAGTTCCTGCAGAATTAGTTCCTGAAGGTGTTGAAGCACTTGAATTCGTTGATGAACTATTCAATGGACGAACAACCCATAATCTATGTGATTTTGTTGCAACCAATTTAGCAATTGTTCTAGCTAATGATGATGATGGATAAACATGAAATATAGGGAATGAATCTTTACCATCCTCCAAGCCTCTAAGGTTCAAGATAATTGAAATGAAATGTAAGCATGATTTGTGTAAAATTGGTGATTGTGATGACTTTGTAACATGTTTGACATCAGTGACGGAAATATTACCCAATAGGTTCATATGATGATCAACCACTGCAATTGAAGATATTCTTTCAGTATTCATTTTGATCAATGCATTTATTAAAGGTTCATCACCATATATTGAAATGACCTTTGAGTTCCCAATGTTCAACTCAGAGATTGGAAATTGGAAAATTGGCTCTAAAGATGGGAATCTTCTAGCATTATCCCATAGATACTTGATTAATCTTCTTTGTGATAAAATACCTGTTATTTTTGTTGATGATTCATTTGTTATTGCTATTCTATGAACACCTGAGCCTAAAATCTCCATCACTGTTGATAAGCTTTCTGTTTCTGGTAGTTTATAAAATGGATTCTTTGGAGCCAACTGACAAACAAACTTAACAGGAACTTGCTGTCCTCTTTTAGCCTTTGTGATAAGTTCCTTAATCTCTTCTGGGTTCTTGTAGTATGGATTTTGGGCAAATTGTTGTTCATTAACTGCTAATTTCCCCAAAACCAACAATAGGTATGCATTTAGATCTGTATAATCAAAAGTCAGGCAATTTATATCATTATCATATTCCTCTACCGGCAATGAAGTTAAATTATGAGTGGTGAGCAGTTTAAAAGCATCCTCTACTGGTAAATCTGATTTTATGAAAATCAATTTTGCACTTTCAATCAATTCGCTCAATTTGATGTCTTGCCAATCCTTGTGTTCTCTAGTTTGGTTTGTAGAGTTTGTATTCAATGAAGATTGAGAAGATTGTGAAGGGTTTCTTGACAGATTTAATGCATTTGGTTGTTCTAATTCGTTATCATTTGCTTCTAATGGTGGGGGAGTTGATAGCATTTCCACTATAGAAGACTGTCTTGAGCTAGGATGATGAGGTTGAGGGCTGTTTGGTTGTCTAAAGGGAGACCCTTGGTACTTTGAAGGAGTAGGAGCCATGTTTATTTATAATTTTTTTGTATTCTGATTCAATGTTATGTCTTGCTCTTAATGACTATGCAAAATAATGGGGCAAAAACAACAATTATCAAAACAAATGTGGGATCTGTGAATTCCTGAATTCTTTATGAATGCTGATGATAATTCAATTGGTCGTACAAATGGATTGTGATGTCTTGGTTAACCAATCAATTCAGTTGATCTTGATCTGTTGAGTGTTGGTTGTGTACTGAGATGGGCCAAATGTACTGTCATGTTCTTAGAGCAAAAGATTTTTTCTTTGAAAGGGATTAACCAAAATCAGGACTTTGTGCCAGACATCCGGACACCACCGCGTGGCCCGGGGAATCTCACCAGCCACAGCTGGGTCACGTGAATTGACAGAAAGCTGTGGCTGGGGCCATAGAAACATAGAATTACCGTGGCTAATTTTCACAAGTAATATTAAGGTCTAGTTAAAGGATTGAAAATTATACAATTAGAGAATCTAGAGTTTGTTGCGAATCATGCTACGATTAGTATAAAGTCTCTGTCCTGTAGCCTTTCATCTTCATATTACTTAGCAGCCCATATACAATTCACCAAGCTAATCTAGCCAAAACACAATTTGGATACTTTCTCACAATAGTTTTTCTTAACTCATCATAAATCAAAACAACCATTCCGAAACCAAAAGCAATAAAGTAATATTTAACTGGAACATGTGCTGTATTTAAGACATTTTGGAACCATGGAATATAGTTGAAGAAAAAGGTGACCCCAAGTGCAAAACATATAGCAATTAAAATGGCATAATTTGAAGTATTTTTATCCATGATTGGTTTCTGTTGAAATATACTCAAGTATCTAGTTCTTGTGGCAAAGAGGTTGAAGAATTGCATGATGACCAATGTAATGAAATATATTGAAGAAGCAACGTTTGTTAGTTCACTAATTCTTTTTGAACTATATTCTGGTGGAAATTCACCATATGACAATGACAAAACATTAAATGGAACACCTTTAGACTTGAAGTATAAGAAAGCAACCAACGAAGAAACAAAACAATAATAAGTACCGATGGTAAAGTATGAATGCAGCAACAAATTGAGATTAACCAGTCTATTACCAGTAACACTTCTCGGTTTTTTTTCTAGCAAGTTCTTTTCTGGCGCTTCATAAGCCAATGTTATAGCACCAGCACAATCTGTTAAACAACAAATGATGATCATACAGAATGATGACAATATTTGAGGTAAACCAAAGATAACATTTAACAAAACAGGCCATAATTCACCATAAGTACCAGCTGGTAAAAGATAAACAACAGTTTTCTTTAAATTTTCGAAAACTAGACGACCGTATTTCAATGCAGTAACCATGGAAGCAAATGATTCCAACAAAACCAAGTCAGATGCTTCTTTTGCAATATCAGATCCTTCAGCCATAGCAATACCAATATCAGCCTGTCTCAAAGATGGAGCATCATTAACACCATCCCCAGTCATTCCAACAATATGTGATCTTTTCTGAAATTGTTCCACAATTCTTAATTTTTGTTCAGGTGTTGTTCTAGCAAACACAATCTCTTCAAATGTTGTCAAATGCTCCCATTGATTTTCATTCAAAAATTCTAATGAAGGACCACTAATTGAGATTGCCCCTTTTGTTTCTATACGATCACATAATTTTGTTTTCGAAGGATCAGCCACAGGATAATTGACATCTAAATTATCAACGTTTTGAATATGTGCATTTTCTGAAACAATACCACACATTTTGGCAATAGCAACAGCAGTAAGTTCAAAGTCACCAGTAACCATACAAAACTTAATACCAGCGTGCTTCAAAGTTTCAACAACTTCTGCAATATCATCTTTTGGAGGATCTGTAATACCAACTAAACCTGCAAGAACTAAACCCTTGGTAGATTCCTCAATTAATTGATCATTCATAAGTTTGGAGTTGAAGTCAATATTGCTAAATGAAGCAATATGAATTGGTTTATATGCCAACAAAACAACTCTTTGACCATTCATTGCCCATTTTTGCTGAATATTCTGAATTTTTTGAATTGAATCATTATCTAATTGTTCAGTTTCACCACTTTGATTCATATAATACAAGCAATTCTTCAACAAGATATCTGGTGCACCTTTGATCAATAAAGAGTAATGGTTTGATTCTGTATCTTGAGTTTCTTTAAATAATCTAATCATAAATTTGTTCTTCGAGTTAAATGACACTTCAGCTTTTTGAATCCATTCTTTTGACAAATCATGATTAGGATCTAACTCCTCCCCAAATCTTAAAATTGCCTGGTCTGTTGCATTACCATTGATTAATCTTTCTTTAATTGGTTTATTCAATGTGGTTGGATTGAAAGTTGCAGAATTGCATAATTTGGAAATCAATGCCATCTGTTTTTGTCCAGCACTCAATAATGATTTTTTCTCGTCAAGTTCTGCTTCAGAGCTTATACTGTCATCAGGATCAACACTAGACTTATTACCATCAGTCATCGACTCCAACCCAATTGAGTAACTTGTTACAAACATCTTATTCTTTGTCAAAGTACCAGTTTTATCTGAACAAATGGTGCTAACTGATCCCAAAGTTTCAACAACTGATAATGATTTACACAAGATTTTGTTCTTCTTCATAGCACCAGCAGTGATAATTAAACAAGTTGTTAAAGCGATTGGTAAACCTTCTGGAATGAAAGCAACAGCAACGGAAACCAAATCCACAATCAAAGTTGATGTTGAAATCCAATTTGGGTATGATTTTTTCAACCAGGCACCCCAAATAATACAAATAATAACAATCAATGTAACAATAATTGAAACTGTTAGCAAAACAAATCTGAAAATTTCTTTCTGTAAAGGTGATAACCCAGATTTAGGCTCTGAAGATAGTTTTGCAATTTGACCAAAAACAGTACTATCACCAGTTGCAATGACAATACAATAACCAGAACCACCAACACAGTAAGTTCCTTGTAATCCAATACAAGGTGACTCCAAAAAATTCGAGCCATTAACATCACGTTCTGTAGTTGCAACAATAGGTTTTGACTCACCAGTCAATATAGAACGATCAAATGCAAAATCATTCCCTTCAATATTAACAAATCTAACATCAGCTGGTAGACGGTCACCATTAGCTATAAACAACAAATCACCAGGAACCAAATTTTTGACCTCTTCAATAGTTTTCAAGCCATTTCTTGTAACATTTGAGTCATTTGGTAGCATACCATTGATTGAGTTCATAACCCTTGAGGATGTGAAGTCTTGCCAAAAGTTGAAAAATGCTTGCAAAAAGAAAACAATGAATAATACCACACCCAAGGCAAGATTTGCAACAGCAGGATTAGGATTTCCTAAAGGTTTCCAAGCAATACAGCATAAAATACCACCAGTCAACAACAAGGAACCAAAACCACCGAAAAAATACATGAATAACTTCTTTGTCCAGTTGGTCTTTGGTGGAGAGTGAACATTATATCCAAAAATCTTCAAATTTGATTCAAACTGGGAAGTTGTTAACCCATTGAAAGGATCTGTTGATAGAGAATTTGCAACTTCCTCCACAGTTTTGACATGCCAAGTTGTATCTTTCAGATTTTGAGCGGATGTTTCAATCTTGTCCTGTTTTTTCTTTGAATTTTCAGTAACATCATCAATTTTATAGGAAACGGTTTTGAAAATTGGAGGTAATGCAACATTTGGTTCAACTTTATTTCTTGACAATGAAGTTTCAATAGAAGATGCACTCAAACGATGATGGAAACTTGGACGTCTGTTACCTCTTGTAGCAGGTCTTCCTCTAATATCGACATCAGTAGCAAATCTAATGTTATTGTTGGTTGGACTAGTAGGACCAGCTTCAAGATCCAATTCCGTGGAAATATCAGTATCCCATTTCTGAAGAGTTGAATTATCTTTCTCAGCCATTGTGAAGAGTAAGTAGATTGTGCACCACTAAAGATAACTTTGCGTACTCTAGATGAACAAAGTCTTTGAAATTCTTTTGGACCTTTTGGCTCTTAAATAGTTTTTGTTGTTAACGAAGGGAAACAGAAAACTTTTCAAACATGGCCCTGAAGCATCGTAAAGTTAGGAGATTGTCCAATGACAATTGTCCTCTTCCTCTTGTCTGAATCTTTAACGAAGGATTCCTGATCGCCGTTGACCTCTTCACTATGGATCTAAACTAAACCACTGCGGTTTGTTGTTGTTGTCTAATCAAAATATGAGGTTGGAGTGCAAAAACACAGCACATGGCGCTGTTTCCACGTACTAAATCCCAAGCGCTAATCCATGTTGAAAACCACTCAATTCCAGTCTCTGCAGCGCTTTCCTTTCCAGCACTGGTCCTTGGTTTACCATGTTGGTTCGTTGTTTACCGTGGGCATCGAGTTGTTGATTGATGGTATTTCATGGCACTGGCGTAAAAAAAGGTCTTGTACAGAAAAAAAAACAGCTTTGACGTAATAAAAACTGAATTCGCGACCACGATTTTTAATACCGCATTTTTTATAGCTTAAGCCTATCGATTTCCTCGAGAAAAACACGATTAAGAGATGGCTTTCTTTGGTACAGAAGGGTACTGGCGATCTTAAGCCTCAAGCATCCACATGATACCCATTTCTGAGGGCTGCTAGCCCTGAATTTTGTATGCGCGAGCGTTATCTACAGTGCTGCGACGTCGCGTTTCGCGTATAAACTCAAGATCAACTTGTGTAAATTTGATTTCTTTCCTATAATTATTGTGAGTATTGGCTCCAGAACTCACTAGAATTGAAATCATCAACCGGCTTTTCTTTTATTTCTATCTTCCCAGAAGCAGAATCAAAGTCCAAATACAATAATTTTTTCAGCTTGAGCTCATTGACATACTCTTTGACCTTGTGATAATTTAAACCAACTTGAGCTATGGCATGGGAGTCATCACTGAGACAAAAACGACTTCCACAGTACTGTATAACAGCTTGACATATATCCATTTTAGGATAAGGTGTTTTCCAACCTTTTCTTATGGCTGCACTGTTGAATTCTATTATCCCACCATAAGAATTAATAAAGATCAAGTTACGAGTTATCAGATCCCAGATCTCTGGCCAGTCTTGGACCAATTCAATTTGGCCTAGAGTTAAGCCAGTAGTTTCATCCAAGTCATCATCATCTGAAAACAACCGAATCAAATCAAAGTGACCAACAACGAGAGGTTTCAATTTTGTCAACACTTTATATTGAAGTTCAAAATATTCCTTGAATAATCCTCGAATACCACCACAACGATCCTTCGCAAGTTCCCAATTCTCTCGGTTGAAATCAATTGGTATCTGTTTGACGAAATGGACTGAACCAACAGTCATGTCAATGTCATATTTCTCTAAAATCTGCGCTGCAAATTCAATATGCGCTTCATCAATACCTTCAACTTCAAGTCCAACTAGAAAATGAGTCTTACAACCAGATTTTATTTTTTCTTTCTGTAACCTTCTAGCATGGTGATAAAATTTGTCAAAGTTTGTCTCCAAAGTTTCAATCCCATAATTTTGTTCAATCTCTTCTGGGTATAAAAACTTTGAATCGATTCGAGGCATATGTTCAGTTAAACAAAAAGTCTCAAATCCCATCTCAATCGCTCTATCGGCAATTCCTTCTAGCGTATCTGTAGCATGAGCTACATAATCTCCACTATGACTGTGATGTGAATGCATATTTGTATTGATAACAATTCATAACCAGCACGATTATAATCACAAAGGCCCAGAGATCATATCATTAATTTTGAAAGGCCGACCATGAAAAAGATTTCACGTGACCTTTGTCGGCGATATGTCATAGTTTACCGTATGATCAACTAAACTACATAATTGTTGAACTTTCAGAGGTTCCTGTCCTGATCTTTCACTCTTCATGCATCATTAATGTATAATAGAAATACAGACAATAAATAAATAATAAATAATCAAACGATATAATGCTCTTTCTCTCACCAAAGGTTATAAAACCATATTGATCAGACTCGTTGTTCAGTTCCACTCATGCTTTGCTCAATTTCATTTATCTTTTGCAAAATGAGGTCAATACCAAGATTAGATGTTATGAAGACCTTGCTATTAACTTTTTTCTTATCACTATTTGGTAAACCACTTGTTCTGAAAACTTCAATTATCCGTTTTTTCATTAGATTCATTGGGATATAAACACCTTTAGCCTGCAATTTAGATAATGTGGCAAGTCCACTCCAAGGTTCCAAAGGGTCCTTCAATCCATGTAGCATGATGGACGTGATCAATTTATCATCAAAAATCAACCTTAGAGGGTGCCCTGCATTAGCCGAGTTAAAGTTTAGCTCAGTTTGAGATTTCACACAATCAATAACTTCTAAGCAAAATTTTTCAACTTCTGTATGATCAAAGTTTTTGATTATTTGTTTCAAAAACACATTCCAAGTTTGTGGGGAGACTTCGTCACATTTGTTGTTCATTCTTAAAATCAACCTCATTATATAATGATCCTGAGATTCACCATGAGCTGTGAACGTACGGGGTAGTTTCCTAGAATTTTTGCTCAATATTCTGCCAGTATTTTCAATAGTACCTCTTTCTATTATGGCATTCGGTTTTGCCAATAACCTTTCAATTCTCATCAATGCACTTTCAAAATGACGCAACTTTAACTCAGAAAAAACCAAATAATTTTCAATCTCATCACTCATCAATTTTTCTTTTCTCAAAAAATTTTCAAACTCAGCAATTAGTTGATGATGAGCCAGATGATTTGTTTCTATCGCTTTATTTGTGACTCCCATTATAAATGCCCTAGCAAGTTTAAACGTATACTCTGGGTATTTCAGGATTAAATCTTTGGCAAAGTTCATTGCATTGATCAGCTTATCAGAGTTCTGTAAATATAATGACAAAATCTGTATTGAAATTTTCAAAGGCGGTAGTTGTTCAACATTCTTATCAGTGTATGCCCAAAAAGCTTGAGGATCTGAATCAGCCAACCTTTTACATTTACCCTCTATAATTGCTGTGTCGTTTTCTGGGATCTTTGCACGGGAAACGAGCTTCATGATTTTTTTAGATGGTATTTTGGTTTGGTGTAATAAAGTTGCAAAAAATTGAGCTTTAAATGAGCCAGGTGTATATAAAGATATAAAATGACTAACTTTTGAAGCTGGGTCTTTTGCGTTTTTAACGCACATGGCAATATATTTGGAAGTTTCATCATCCAACCAGTGTGGTATATCTTCTCTTTTGAGGTGACGAACCATGTGTTTCAAACAGTTCTCAAAGCTTCTGAAGTTGTTAGTTTCAACCATGCTATTGAAAACAGGATTCATTGGAGCACTTGAATCTTTTGGAAAGTCGCCTAGAAGAACAAGTTTATTATTCCAACTGTGAATATATTGTTCTTTGAGTTTTAGGCGCTGTAAATGTGATATAATCTTCAAGTATAAACCCTCATTCCGATCTCGATGAATTGTTTCAAAAACTCTCAATGGACTCCCATCAGGCAGCACCAGACAAACATCCAAGATTAGATTCCAATTGACACTTTCTTTATAACTTAATAAATCTTTGTAAACATTGAAGGCATGTTTATAATGGCCACTGTAAATTAACGAGCTCACCATAATTTCACCAATTGATTCTGGTACATGAAACGATTTTTTCTTCAAATTACGCCTTATAAAACCCACAATTTGAGGCATAATCTGCTGATCTGAAATTGCAACTCTAATAGTTTTCATCCAGAATTGTTCAGGTGTCTCTGATTTTATGTGATTTTGAAGATTCAACTCATCATTCTCTGCAAAATAATCGAGCCATGCAAATGAAACTCTATCTAGCGACTCAGGTGTCACAACAGGGACTTTCAAAATATCACGCATTGCATTGAAAGGTAGTTTCTCATCACTTTGGTATGCTTGTATTATAGGTGACTTGTCTTTCAGAAATGGGAACTTGACCGAGTTTAAGTTGGGCTTCTTAAACACAGTTTGAGAGCAATGGAAGTGCCGTACCCGAGTAAACAGGAAGTTGGGCAATCTCACTGAAGCCCTTGAATATACCATCTTTTCCAAATACAACAACGAGGAATCAACATCACTTTTAATATGGAAAATGTATACTTTGTTCAGTTGATCTCAAATCATAGAGTTTTCGGTTCGCGAATCGCTTTAAGCTCAATACAGGGTAAACTTCGCGAAAATGATCATATCGATTTTAAAGATTTTGGCACCAAAATACAATCTTCAAAAGCCTATTAATTGGTGTCCATTCTTTCGTTACTTCAGGGAAAAGGTTTCTACTTTTAAGATATGGTTGATGGTCATGCTATAGATATACCCGTCACAAATTTGGACGAGGATGATGATGATTTCTCTACTCCAGAGGAGGAGGAGTTAAATGCAAATGTATTCCGTGATGATTTTGATTTGGAACAAGATACTTCTTTGTTTGATAATGGGCCTTCTCTAGCTACTAGGCTTAGAGATGCAGTGAATAAAATTGCAGGAAGAGGTTACAACCGTTTGCCTAGAAATATAGCCACCAACGGGATTGAACTCCAGGAAAACTTCAATGATCGTGATTCTTTTGACTTAAATGATGATGAGTTCATACTACATAAAAAAGATGGTTTTTGGAAAACATCTGCTAAAGGTATCAAAAGAGTTTTCATTCACCTTCTTGTCATTGGTTTAATAATTGCTGTGATAGTATTGGGTGTTTTGCTATCCAGAAAATCTAGAAACTCAGAGCCAACCAGAAATAATAAACAGACATTTTCCAATGGGACTGATATATTTTACCCAACAACAATTTTGATATCATTAGATGGGTTCCATCCTCATTATATTTCCTCAAAACTAACACCAACTTTACATGAATTTTTACAGAAGGGTTATGGTCCACCATACATGATTCCCTCATTCCCTTCTTCAACTTTCCCAAATCATTGGACAATGGCAACTGGTTTACATCCACAGTTCCATGGTATTGTTGGAAACACTTTTTTCGACCCAGTAACAGGGAAAAATTTCATCAATAAATTGCCTCAACATTCTTTAGATCCTGGATTTTGGGGCGGTGAGCCAATTTGGTCAACTGCTGAGTCTCAAGGTGTTCGTTCTGCTATTCACATGTATCCAGGAAGTGAGGTTGAATTTAAATCGTGGAACCCTTCAGAAGTTGATAAATTCAACAAATCTGAAACTTTGGAAGTGAAGACAAACAGAATATTTGAATGGTTGGATCGTGATAGCTCCAAGAGACCAGAGTTAATTATTGCATATGTACCAACTATTGATACACTCGGTCATATTTATGGTATCCAAGGTGATGAATTGTCAAAAGGGTTATTGTATGTTGATTCATTCATCAAAAATATTACAAGTGGTATAGCGGAAAGAAACGCAACAGATATCATAAACTTAGTTGTTGTCTCGGACCACGGTATGGCTCCTACCTCTAATAAAAGATTGGTTTATTTAGATGATTTAATCAACACAACACAGGTTCAACATACAGATGGCTGGCCATTATTTGGATTAAGACCGATTCCAGAGGTTTCTGTCGAAGATATTTATAAAGAGTTGAATGCTTCATATAAAGAAAATTCAGGCTATTCATTTTATTTGAGAGAGGATTTGCCAAAAGAGTGGAATTTTGGTGGACCAGAGCGTTCACAATATTATGATAGAATTGCACCAATCTGGGTGATCCCGGATGTTGGATATTCAATCACTACACATGATAGAATGGAGGAAAATCATGGTGATTATTCGCCAAAAGGTGTCCATGGCTATAATAATACTGAAGTGTTAATGAGAGCTATATTTCTTGGTACTGGGCCATACTTCAAATCAAGATCAAAGAATGATGAATCATTCAAAGTTAGACCATTCCAAAATATCGAAGTCTACAACATTCTCTGTGAAACTTTGGGTTTATCTCCTTCTCAAAATAATGGCTCATCTAATATTTTTGGCCATGATAATGTTTTATCAAATGATTGGAGAGATGATTTAGCTTATCCAAATGTTAAATTTGATATTGGTAGAGTGTTAAAGGAGAAATCAACTTATGACCAGCTATTCAGAGGGGCAAAAGCGAAAAGTACCACCACCTTAGAAAATTCAAATGCTCAAGTCAATGATGAATCTACATCAACAGGTGATCTACAGGAAGCAACATCCACTACTAAAGCTGTTGGTGAATCAAAGAGTAAGGAAAACCATAAAACAAAGACAGAAGAGAAAAAAACCAAATCCAAAGAAAAGGGCGATAAAAAGACAAAGACTGAAACTTCTGAGAAAGAAAAAGAAACTAAGCACAAAGGGTTTTTTGAATCGATAGGTGAAGATCTTGAGGAGTTAGGAGATGATATCAAAGAGGGATTTGAAGACATTGCTGATGATATTGAAGATACATTTGAAGATGCATACCATAAACTAAAGGGAGAACATAAAGATCATGATGACGATTGAGAGCTCTGCGAAGCAAATATACTATACCCTTATATAACTATCTATTCAGTCAATGTTTCACTGTGTTTTTGGTAATCAATGTAGCCTTTTGGACCAGGACTGTAAAAAAGTTCACGATAATACTTGTTTAATGGTAAACCTTTTTGTAATCGAGTTGGTAAATCTGGATTTGAAATAAAATACCTACCGAAAGCAATTAATGTTCTTCCATCTTGTATATCATTTTTCAAAGCATCATGATTCGACATATAGTCACCAGCTCTAACAATTGGTCCTTTCCAAATATGATAAAAGAAATCATTATTACCACCTTTAAATTCAGGGTATTCATCAGTGGAAACACCCGTAAAGATTCGTGGCTCAACAATATCAAGAAATTGAACTCTTTTGCCTTGTTGAGCTCTAACTTCTAATTCACCCACGATATGAGCATATTGTGCCAATAAGGTTGGATCATCTTGAACACCATTAAAACCACCAAATTTCGAATATGGAGAGAATCTAACAGAAACCTTGCCAGCCCCAATAGCATCGATCAAACCATCAATGATTTTCAAAGGCAATTTTGATCTATTCTCAATTGATCCGCCATATACATCAGTTCTTTGATTTGATTCTGGGTCTAAAAATTGATTCAACAAGTATCCATTGGCAACATGAACTTGAACACCATCAGCTCCAGCCTTGATACAATTAATACCAGCTTGAATAAAATCAACAATATGTTGTTCAATTTCTTCCAATGTTAACTCAAGTAATGGATTATTGAACTCAAGTGCTTTTTCTTTGAAATCATAAGCACCGTCGTGAGTGATGTATCTACCAGCAGTTGCAGTTTTATAAGGGATTCCATTCTTAGCAAGAACATCAGGAATGGCTTGTCTACCTAAACCAAACAACTGGGCAACAACAAATGAACCATTATCTTTAATTGGCTTAAAGATCTTAGCCCATGCTTCAGTCTGTTCCTCATTCCAAATACCTGGACACCCATCAAAGAATCCTGTGGTGAACTTCGAAACAACAATACCTTCTGTGATAATCAGTGCCCCTGGGTTTTCAGATCTCTGACGGTAATACTCAGAAGCCAATTCAACATTAGGAACATAAGAATCAGGGTCTGCTCTAAGTCTAGTCAGCGGAGCTAAGACGACTCTATGGGAAACCTCAATATCACCAAGCTTGATGGGTTTGAATAAGTTGGTGTCTTTTAATGAGAGAGGTTGAATTCTTTGGTCATAATCAGGTTGCGCCAGGGTCATAGTGAGTAATATATTTAGACCTAATGGAAAGCAACTCAGCTAAAAGACCAAAGACCTACTTTTTCACTGCTTTTATACTTTTCCATCTTCACACACCTTTCCGTTCATCACTAATTGTAACTTATTTTCCTGGTTGTCGTGATTATTTTTTGTTGATGTTTCCGTCTTCCAAGCCAATTTAACTCTTTACGGAAATCCGCCAAGTCCAATTTGGATTTGTAATAATCAAACTCGAGTTAAACTTTCACTACACAAGTCATCAGAATCAAGTTTTGGTAAAGTTAATTCAATAAATGGATTAATAATGATAAATATCTGAGTATCTAATCAATTGGCTATGGTATTTTGAATTTATAATTTACAGCTTCGTTGACTTCTTTTTGTTCTGCCATCCAAAACCGACTTTCTTTTGTACTCCTGGTGAGATAATCACATTCAAAACAGTGGTTTCACCTTTTGAAAGGTTTTCCAATGCTTTTTGGAACCCATCATGAACTTCCTTTTCAGTCTTGACTAAAATACCATCAGCTCCAAGACTTTTTGCAAGAACATCATACCTGGTTTCTTTACTAAGTGCTGTTGATGGAAGTTTTTCATATTCATTATATGAATAGCGTTTCGTATCAATTCCTTTATAGATACCACTATTGTTCATCACAACGATGATAACAGGTAAATGTGATCTAACAGCAGTTTCTATCTCTAATCCTGAAAAGCCAAAAGCAGAATCTCCTTCAATTGCAATGACAGTTTTATCTGGATTTGAGATTTTAGCAGCAATAGCATACCCTGAACCAACACCCATAGTGGCATTTGTTCCAGCATCGATTCTTTGTTTTGGATAGTTCTGAGGAAATGATATTCTGGCAACATCCATTGTATTAGCACCTTCAGATATTAGGATTGTGTCTTTCTCTATTGGTGCTATTATTTCACGAAGCACTTTATAAACGTTATTATATGTCATCATATCATTCTTTGTACTTTCCTTATTAATCAAAGACTCATTATTCTTTTCAATTGTTTGTTTCATATCAGTTGGAATCGGCGGAGCCTTAAACTCATCACCTAGCTCATGAGCAAGTTCCTCGACAACTAAGGATATATCACCAACCAACCCATACTCCAAAGAGTTCAATGAATTATTTCCAACTTCATCCGGTGAATGATCAACTTGAATGAAGATAGCATCCTCTCTATATCTCGGTGCTTCTCCAAAATGCAATATCCAATTGAGTCTAGCACCCAATAGTAGAACAACATCAGCATTCTTCAAAGCTTTGGATCTAGCAGATGATACATTCAAACAACTTTCATCAGGAACAACTCCTTTACCCATTGGAGTTGGCAAGAATGGGAATTTATGATCCTCAACAAACTTTGTAATGACTGAAGAAGCGTCGGAATAAGCCGCACCTTTCCCAACGATAACCAATGGTGATTTAGCAGTTTTCAATGCGTTTGCAACCAGCTTGATTTGCTCAGATGGTGGTTTGAATTTTGGAACATCTTTGGTTGTAATTTGTCTCAATTGACCTAACAAGTTTTCCTCCTCTTGCTCTGTTAATTCACTCTCTACTAAATCAGCTGGTAAGTCGAGATAAGTACTCCCAGGAACCCCAAAAAAGCTTGACTTGTAAGCTTTTGATAACAAGCCTGGAAACTGATCAAATGATAATGGCCTAGCACTAAATTTAGTATGAGGACTCAAAAGACTTATTTGGTCGAGTTCTTGGAAGCCGCCTTTTGTGACATCGCCAAAACTTGAAGATCCAGCCAATACCAGTAATGGCCAACGGTTTGCATTAGAATTCAATATTCCAGCAAAAGCATGTACGACACCAGGACCACCAACAACAAGCAAGACACCTGGCTGGCCTGTTAAATACCCATAAGCCGAAGCAGCATAAGAAGCAGCTTGTTCGTTTCTGAATCCGATAAATCTGACACCTTCAGCAATCAAGGCATCACCAACTTCCACGATTGGAATACCGACAATTCCAAACACTGCTTTGACGCCTAGCTTTTTGAGGGACTTAGCGATGAGTTTAGCTCCTGAAGACATAATTGAGATTGTATGGCTGATAAATTGAATTGCAAAGGAAAAGATGTCAAATCAATGAGTTAAAGTACCTTTTTCAATTTTCTTTGAGGAGAAATAATCTGGGGCTTTCGTGGTTGACCGGTCCGAGAGCCGGATAGTTTACTATGACTACACGGTCCGTGCTTCCGACATGAGTATAAAGTATTTACAAGATTCTATTCACAGTATACACAAACTATCTTCAACATGGACATTCACCTTTGCTTCTTGGGAAAGGGACGACATCACGGACATTCTCAACGTCGGCCAAATAACATATTAGTCTTTCAAAACCTAGTCCGAATCCACCATGAGGAACAGTTGAATTCTCTCTCAATGACAGATACCATTTTAATTCATCTAATTTCATTCCTCTGTCATTAATTATACTAGTTAGTTTCTCTAGATTATGTTCTCTTAAAGACCCACCAATAACTTCACCGACTTCTGGTACTAACAAGTCAAAACATGCAACTGTTTCATTATCTGGGTTAACCTTCATGTAAAATGCCTTCATATCCTTTGGGTAGTCAATAACAAAGACTGGGGATTTGAAGTACTCACCGGCTAACCATTTTTCATGCTCAGTGGCCAAGCCGTCCTCGTACTTAACTGGATGTTGGAAAGTTTCACCAGAGGATTCCAAAATCTGCAATGCTTCTTTATATGTGATTGTTTTCCACTCTGTTTCATAAAGTTTTTTCCATTTCTCTGTCAAGTCCGTTTTACCTTCTTGACCCTCCACAGATCTTTGTGATTTTAACAGATTTGAAGCAACTTGGTTTGTATCATTCACTAGATCTTTAACAACATGCTTAATCATTTGTTCGGTTAACCCAGTTATTTGACCTATATCCTCCACATATGGCATTTCAGCTTCCAACATCCAAAATTCACTTAGATGTCTGTTTGTACCACTAGCTTCCGCTCTAAATGTTGGTGACAATGTCCAAACTTTACCAAGGGCAGCCGATAAAACTTCTAAATGCAATTGTGAAGAAACAGTCAGGTAAGCATTCTTACCGAAAAATTTCTCTTTATTTTCTGATAATGATTTTGATTCAACTTGGAATAATTCTCCAGCACCTTCACAGTCTGATCCAGTTAATATTGGTGGGTTTGTTTTGAAAAAACCTTCATTTTGGAAAAAATCATGAAGTTTCAAATCGACAAATGATCTAAATCTTAAAATGGATGATAGATATGAAGTTCTCCAACGCAACGTTGATAATGACCTTAAATATTGAATTGAATGGGCTTTTTTCTGTAATTGGAAATCATCTTTAACATTTCCTACTATTTTGAGACTTTCTTCGCCAGGAAGTACCTTAAATTCGAATGGTTGTTCTTTACCTTTTGATTTAACCCAGAAACCTTTCAGCTCAATAGATTGCCCTGTTTTCAATCCTGTAGCCTGGGCTGGTGATAACACACACATAAGATTTTGATGAGAGCTACCATCTGATAAATCCACAAAGGACACTTTCTTCAGTGAACGCACTGACTTTATGTACCCATTGATAGTTAATTCTGATTCTAGTGGTGGTGGGTTCTGGAAAAGTTGTGAAATTGAAGGAGGTAAAGTGGATTGAAATCTTTTCAAAGTAACATTAGTTCTGAAAAGAGAGCGCATAGGGTTACGCCTTAGCATTGTGAAGATGATTGGATGAATATGATGATTTGATTATTGAAGTTATCTGCTTGGTCTGTTCAAGATGGAAAAAAAAGATAGAAAAAACATCGGGAAATCACCCAAATCGGGAAAACCCCCAAATATGGGTTCCAGTAATGAAAAAACTACAAATATCACAACTTCGTGTTAACTATTGATATAATATACAATAATCGAGCAAATAAACATCATCAATCCAATTTCTCATACTCTTCAGCATTTTCCAATTTCTTTTCTTGAGCTTTGAAACTTTTCACTCTTAGTGTCATCAATCTATCTGGAATAAAGTCAGCTCTTCTCAAACGCGCTCTACAACCTGGTGTTGGACAATCCTCCATCACACCAGCAGATTTCCAAGTCCCCAGTATACTTGCTTGATCGAATGTATGTTTACATTTTGTACTGATCATTGGAGCGTCAAAGTAATTCATAGAAATTGGACATTTCAAATCAATTTTACCACCACCAACTTGGATATCATCATCTTCTTCTTCATCTGGCAATGGATCTAATGGATGTGATATCACAAATGTTGCATTTTTCAAGAAAATATAATCTGGATTACTTTCATCTTTGTTGATAGGTGGAACTCGCTTCAATTCCTCATCAAGAATTTCACCAAATGACTTCTTGTTCGTGCCCACTGATCTATATGCATCTATATTATCCACGCTCAATTCTGGTTCCTCTCTTAGTCTAGCTCTGATTTGATTTTTAGCTTTGTTAAATGTTTGATTGAAATGTGTTGTTTGTTGTTGAGCACCCACTAAACTTTCATATGAATCAAGCAGTTGTTTGATTAATTCCAAATTCACAGCACCTTCGATATTCCATTCACTGTTTGCATCATCTGGGAATAACAATTGAAAATATGTAACTGCAGCTTTCAATATTTCTTCCTGTGTCTTCTTCAACTCATCCAATGAAGTGGAACTATCTCTCAAATCTTCGAGCTCACGCTGAAGACTTCTTGACACTGGGAAGTATGATGGCAATTGAAGACCTTCTGACATTATGATAGCGTTATTGTAACCTCTTTTTTGGCTGATATAAAATCCTTGTTTAGTCTTTAAAATCATAAAAGCGTGTCAGATTTTTCGCGTCCTTGAAGTTTCCAAAACTTTTCGCGAATATGAACTTTTTTTTTGGTTTTTGGTGAAGTTGAGAATTTGAAATGTGAACATCAACAACGAAGAAGCACAAAAGTATCAACTTTATAAGGAATGTCCAGTCGAGAGCTTAAGCCACTACATCAGTTTGAGAGCTTTCGGATTTTGGTGCTTCGAGTGATCGAGTCCTTCGTGTACAAGTCACTGGATGAGACTATCAGTTTACTGAAAATAACCACAGTTATCAACAACAATCCATTATTACAACTAGTCAGAACCCATATTAGTCCAGATAAGACGATAGAAACATTACCCAAAGTCACTATTAGGGATGTTATTCTATCGATAACGAAGATTTTTCAATCCTCAGATATCCAAATTCTAGCTAATAATGATAATTTCAAGATAAAGTTGTCGAGGGAAGACTTTCAAGGTTTGATTGATAAAAATTATGGAAGATATAGGGATAATGCAATTGAATCCATACGAGACTATGAAGAAGACTATGAGAAAGTGATGAATGAGATATCGATGATTGAAAAAGGTGAATTAGATCAACTAGTGATTCAAGAGTATAAACAATCGTTACCAGCTCAGCTCACAAAGCCTGCTCAACAACAACAACAACCATCAAATACCCCAGCGCAACAGCTGAAACCACAAGTACAAGCACCCCCTTCTATAATACAGCAGCAGTCACAAACTCAAACGCAAGCTCCACCACAACTACAACCACAACAAACAAAACAAGTGCAAGCTGTTCATCAAACTCAAGCCAGTACGCAATCTCAACCACCACAAGCTACCATCCCACAAACACAATCAGTCCCAGTTCCAAGTACTCGATTACAAGCTACTAATGCTATTGAAGAACCTGAGAAATCCAATATTTCTGTATCAAAGACTGATAACAATCTTCCACCAAATCCAGTCAAATCCGTTGATTTTGCGCCAGTTTCGAATGGCGAAGAAAACGAACCAGTACCTGCTACTATGGAAAATGGAAACGCTGAGGAAGAAACTGAGGAACCTGAAGAAGTTAAGGCACCTACTCCTGAGGCTACAACTCCTCCAGGTGATGATAATGATGTGGAGATGGTGGATGTTAAAGAAGAAGTTGAAACGGAAAAAGAAGGCGTGAAGGAAGAGGAGCTAATAGGAGAGACATCTGATGCTAAAGAATCAACTGATGGTAGCGAAGGTGATGATAGATCAGTTGAGAGTGCTCGTAAAAGAAGATCCTCCACGTCCAAACTTGAAGATAAAACACCAGCAAAGAAAAGAGCTAAACTGTCAACGTCTGTTCCATCTAGTCCTGCTGGTCCAGTACACGCACCACCAAATAAGAAACTTCAAATTCTATCAAATCCGTTGATTGCAAATATTACATCATATAAATATGCCTCAACTTTTTTACAACCAGTTAGTGAAAGTAATGCCCCTGATTATTACTCATTGATCAAAGAACCAAGAGACTTGAAAACTATTAAACAAATGGTTAAGGATGGCAGGATTCAAAATGCTGCTGAATTAGAGAGAGAAATTTTGTTAATGTTTGCAAATGCTATAATGTATAATAAAGACGGTACGGATATCAACAATTGGTCAAAAGAGATGCAAATTGAAACTGACAAGCTATTGCAATTGTTCAAAGAGTCTTATGATACTACTTAAAATGAATGTTTAATTAATTAATGAAATAAACTCAAATAATCAAATGTAGTTAATAAAGTATAACCATGTATAATAATGTGGTTAAAAAACATATGTACAAAATAGAGCGTAGCTTGCCTCTTTATGATCCATTCAATGTCATAAAATCTCAACTTTCTCCCATTAAATTTAAAATGAAATACAAAACACAACAAAAAAAGTAATCTTCTAATAACTTGCATAAAGACTAATCATCACTTCATACAAATTTGATCTTTTCTAGAGCAACTATCAATCATCAACTTCCACCTCTTAACGTCTCATTTGTTCAGTTAATAAAGCATTTTGTTCTTGGAATCTTTGACCAACTCTTTCACTATGTTTCAAGAATTTTTCACTACATTTCATAACACAAGTTTCTTCTTTTGAAGTTAATTTTGCTGAAGTGAAATCATTAACACAATCGGTAAAACAACGTTCAACCAAATTGGAATAAAGACGCATAAAGTCTTTCATTTGTTTTTGTTCAACGATTCTTTGGAAATCTTGTTGTTCTCTTTGGTTTAATTGATCCATCTTGTCTTGATATTTTAGTTTCAATAGTATTAAATCAAATGCTTTGGTAAGTTTTCATTATGGCAAACAAGTTTCAGTATTTTTTCAACATTTTTTTTTCTTCGTCAATTGGAAAAAAGATCGGAAACATCCCAATCAGGAAATTATCTGGATATAGTGAGTACATAGGAAAATGGTTTAAAGACCTTTAAATCTTTGATATTACCTATGAAGCATTGGATAACAATTAAATTAATGGAATATCTCAATTCATTCAATTCCATTCGAATATACAATTAGATCATATTCTCTAAAAACATTAAGTTTAGCATCTCGTTGTTGGTCGCGGCCACTACTTTTTTTTTTCAACTGGCCAAAGATTTAATTATCAAACAACTTTTATAACCTTTTTTGACTAAAATCACCTTTGAAAAGATATATCACTATGGTCCAAACCTTAACCTACCCTCAAAGAGCGGAAGCTCACCCATCACCTTTGGCTAAACGTCTTTTTGGCGTTATGGAGTCCAAAAAATCAAACTTGTGTGCTTCAATTGATGTTAGAACTACCAAAGAATTTTTGGAACTAGTTGATACACTAGGCCCATACATCTGTCTAGTTAAAACTCACATTGATATCATTGATGACTTTTCAATTGAAGGTACCATTGAGCCATTGAAAAAATTGGCTTCAAAACATAATTTTTTGATCTTTGAAGATCGTAAATTTGCAGATATTGGAAACACAGTTAAAGCTCAATATTCAGGTGGTGCTTTCAAAATCGCTACATGGTCTGATATAACTAACGCACATGGTGTAACTGGTGAAGGTATCGTTAGAGGTTTGAAAGAAGCTGCTTCAGAAGTCTCACAAGAACCAAGAGGTTTGTTGATGCTTGCAGAATTAAGTTCAAAAGGTTCTTTAGCTAAAGGTGAATACACTAAACAAACCGTTGATATTGCTAAAACTGATAAAGATTTTGTTATTGGATTTATTGCCCAAAACGATATGGGTGGTAGAGATGAAGGTTTTGATTGGTTAATCATGACTCCAGGTGTTGGTCTTGATGATAAAGGTGATGGTTTAGGTCAACAATACAGATCTGTCAGTGAAGTTGTTGCTGGTGGTAGTGATATCATAATTGTGGGTAGAGGTCTTTTTGGTAAAGAAAGAGATCCAAAAGTTGAAGGGGAGCGTTATAGATCTGCTGGTTGGAACGCATATTTAAAGAGAACTAGCCAAATATGAGGGTTAATTTAGAGTAAACATGCAATAACAAATAGACCTTTAACGTAGCAATCCACAACCTTCTCAGCATGTCAAGTATTTGTTTCCAATGAAGGCCTTAAAGTTATTTTGAAAAGTCTATTGTGATTACCGGGATATTACCTAATTGTTTCGCGATTTTCTTTTTTTTTAAATTTGGAAGAACGTTAAATTGGCATAAACTACTTGAAATCCTTTTTGAATCATCCTACGTCACTTTCAATCAGTTAAATGATATCAAAAGGTTTCAATGGTGGTAACAGGTGCTCACTTAAATAGCCCGAGCAGTTCAAATGGCCAATCCAACACACCACGCTTGGCTGGTCCAAGTTTTTTGGGAACGTCATATATAATCAACAGTTCACTTGAGGAAGAAGATGCACAACATATACAACCAGAATTGTCAAATAAAGGAACAAGAGTCGTTGGTTTTGGTAGTGCTGGTATTAGAGCTTTGATGTATCAATTGACCTCTTTATATCTAAGAACGCCACCTGCCAAACTATTTAGGCCCACAAGAATAGATTATATGGCAATAACTAGATTATTTGTTCATGGCTCAATGACACAAACCACTAAAAGACCATACAATTTTTATAAAGACTCTTCTATTGGTGTCTTTGTATCAGCTATCAAGAAATTTGGTTGGAGATTCATCCCTGATACTATTTTACCCCCATTAATTGCAAATTCGGCCACTGGTGTTGTATTGTACACTACATACCTGGTTAGTTTACAACATTTTAATGGAGAAAAGAAAAATTTCTTGGAAGATCCTTCTCCAATTGATACTTTGAGAGCAGGTTTTGTTGCTGGTACTTTCCAATCAATGGCTGCTGCTCCAATTGATGCAATTTATACAAGATCTTCTGCTAATGAATTGTTAAAAGGTCAACATGAAAATTTGTGGAAATTTGGATTGAAAAAACTACATGAAATTGGTGTTTCTGGTGTATTTGCAGGGTATGCCTTAAGCTTCATGAAGGAAAGTATTGGATTTGCCATATATTTCTGCTCTTTTGAAACTATAAAGAATCAAGGTTACCATTTCACAAGAGATGTCTTTATAAATTTCAAATATTATAAAGAAAAAGTGATGAGTCCCTACCAATTCAAATTGTCTAAAGAAGAATATACTAAAAAGGTGGAACAAGAGAAAAAATTCAAATTTTTGAAGACTTCATTTGTATTTCTAGCAGGTATGACAGCATCATTATCATTACAGATCATTCAATATCCAATAACCAAAATACAAAATATCCACCTTTCAAGATTAGAAGCATTTGATATATATGGAACATCATTACCAAATCGCGGGAAACCAATAACAAGATCCAGGATGCTAACTATTTATTACAACACTTACTTGGATACATTAGAGCATGTGCTGTTTATACAATCAAATTCCAAGTTGAGTTGGTATGACTGGCTATATAGAGGGTTTAGAAGACATGCTCTGTCGACAATACCGGCGACTACCATTGGGTTGGTTGTTTTAGAAGCTTTGAGAAATAAACTGGCAGTCGAGATTGAACCACTTGCTCCATGATTAAAGGTAAGAGAGGGTTTTTGTGTATATAGAAAGTGAGTTGAAACTCCTATTAACTAAATATTCTGGGATATGACATTTGGGAAAAGTCACAAAATAATAATGACGTTTTATTAATAAATAGATTGCCCACAGTTTTGTGGGAATAAATAATGAATTAAGAATGATGTACTATATCTGTCTCTTTTGGTAGTTTCTATATGAATTCCATACCAGTTTCCAATAGTTATTCTCAATGTTTTTTGATAATATATCAAAATCATTCTTCTCCAACTGAGATAGATAACCATTCAATGGAATGGAGCTCATAAAAGGGACGAAAAGACAGTCAGGAACTTGTTTTTTCCAAGTTTTGGATTTCCTCAAAATTAACTCGTCCTCAGTTGTAGAGATAATTTTGGAAATTTCTTCCTTCACTGCTTTCAATTTCTCCCTGGCAGTTAAGAGATGATCATTAGCAACAACACAAGTTTCATAAATTACATCTTTCAACTTAGCTTCAATTTCTGCTTTCTGATCTTCATGACCTTGAAATAGCCTCAAAAGCGACTCCTGGGACAAGTCATGTTTTGTCATTATATCAATTGGTAGATTTATCTGGTTCTTATTTTGAGCATAGTATTTAGTACCAATAACTATGGAGGCAATCCCAGTGGACTGCCCTATATGTGCCGAGATCTCAGTGATCAAGTTTTGTAACTCAGAACTTTCCTCGACTAACTTGATGGTGGATGGAGATAACTGATTAGATAGCAACAAATTTTGAACAATGTAATTCAATTGCGAATAAAGACCTTCGCCATAAGAACACAGCTCATCTGTGTTTTGGAAATATGACTTGGATAAGAAGTGCTTCCTTGTTGATAAGACTTGATTGAAACCCTCTGGACTAAGATTGAATTCGTTTCGAATACCATCCCTAAGTAATAAACCAACTGGTTCACCAATGACTTGATCACTATATGGATTTTGAAAAATCTTGAAGAGCATCTCTTCCCAGAATTTGAATCTCAAATCATTAGATGAAACACCAATAGTAGACTTCAGTTGCTTATTCACTTGTGATTCTTGAGCAGATATCTTGGATATTTCAATATTGAAAGCTCTAGTAGCAATGAAATAATCTCTAGCAGGACTGGGGATATAAGCGGACAAGATGTAGGAAGACTTGTCAAACTTTGACAATGATCCCAAACAGGACTGTCTGGCCTTGTCTATCTGTGACTGGTAGGCACTTGATAGTGATCTTCTGGGCACAAACACAGCTGGTCTCCTCAAGAACATTGCGTAAGGAAATAACATACACTGGTTTGTAATGAAGTTGATTTGATTCGAAGCTCGTTCTTTTCTGAACTGGGGGCATCTGTTACGTAATAATTCGCGAAGCTTAGTCAGCTTCAATGAGCTTAAGGTCTTTAAAGAACTTTAATGACCACAAACTATGGAGATTTTAATTATTAAGGGATATTGATGATTTTTTTGGGGGCATTTTCTACCTTTACTTTAATATGTATGAGACTTTGGTGCAATAAAAGTTTGTTGTTGTTGAAGTATCACCGAACTTGATCGAACCCATTTTGAAAAAAAAAAATTGGCACCAAAGAACAGAATCAATAAGTACACCTTCAACATCCACCTTTCTAATACCTTTCGAAGAAGCTGTGTTTCAAACAAGAATGGTACAAATAGAGGCTATCCATCCAAAGGTATTCCTTGATATATCAATTGGAGGTGAACGCATTGGTAGAATAGTGGCTGAATTATATGAAGATGTTGCACCAAAAGCTGCTGAAAACTTTTTACATCTATGTATTGGTGACAAAACAGATCCAAATGGAAACAAGCTAACATTAAAAGACAATCACTTCCATAAAGTTATCAAAAACTTTATGATTCAAGCTGGTGATATAACTTATGGGTCATCAAATTTTCAAAACCAAGAAATAGGGAAAGGTGGTTGTTCAGTATTTTCAACTAAATCAAACCTTTCGGGGACTTTTGAAGATGAAAACCTAGGGGACTTCAGTACCTTATTCAATCTTGCAATGGCAAATACTGGTCCAAATACGAATACTTCACAGTTTTTCATTAATACATATCCGTCACCTCATTTAAACCAAAAACACACCATATTTGGGAAAATCACACATGGTAAATCAACAGTTCGTGCTATTGAACTAGAACTAGTTGATGAAAAAAGTATACCCAAGAAGGACATTATAATTGAAGATTGTGGGCAGTGGGATGAAACGTTAGGAGTCCCAGTTTATAATGCATCTTATAGTACAGTTGGTGGTGATATATATGAAGAATACCCAGATGATGATGATCATTTTGACAAGGAGAAGACAGCAGAAGCTTATGTTGCATCAAATATCATTAAAGAATCTGCAACCATTTTATTCAAAGAGAAAAATTACAAAGAAGCATTATTCAAATACAAAAAATCACTTAGATATGTTGTTGAATTTATTCCTGAAAAAGATCAAGAACCAGAATATGCACCAAAATTCGAAGAGTTGAAAAGAAAATTATATCTGAATTTGGCTTTAGTATGTGTTAATCTTAAGGATTATAAGAGAGCTGTTGATTATTCAACTTATTTGCTTGAATCTGATACTGCTACAGAAACTGAAAGAGCTAAGAGCTATTATAGAAGAGGGTTATCAAAAGTTGAGCTCCATAAATATGAAGAAGCCCTGGAAGATTTCCAAAACTGTCATAAACTCAATTCAAAAGATGCTGTTGTTGTGAAAAAGATTGAAGAAACTGAGAAAGTGATACAGGGACTCAAGAATAAAGAGAAACAAAAATATGCAAAGTTTTTTGGATAGTTAATGGTATAAAATAGAGATAAAATGCTTTTCTGTAGCTCACGTATATGTCTTATCGGCCCGTTAACTGTTGGCAGATGTCCATGTCTGGCTCAACCGTTTCTTTGGTAAACTGTCATCGAAACAGTTTTTACCCCTATTCGAATTCTACGAGAAAGTGCATCGAAGATGGACATCTCGAGAGTTGAAAGTGATTTGTATTGCTTTAAAGATGACTTGGTGATAAAGATATAACTTTGCAACCAGTTCCCTCGAGGAATCATCTAATTTGGAGGTGTCGGTTTAATCGTTGGTGTCATCGTCAATACTTTACGCGAGAAGCTGGAGAAGTAGCAAATTTGCCCTTTTAAACTGAAATTGGTTTCAACAACTTATATTTCACTGAAGAACCTTCAAGACTTTTTACCATTTACCATACAATCATCACAATATTCAAGCTCAATACTTCAAGCATAACATATTTCTCTATTCGAGCTTTAAACCCCAGGCTGACCGTTACTATACTCCAGATCTTTCAGAATCCACTATAGATATTTATCAACATGAGAAAGCTACTTCACCGAACAAAGTTTTTCATCAAGGAATCTATACCAATATTATTACCATCACTCATCATATTCATGGCCTATGATTTGTTGAGTTACCTCAACATCAATATTGGTACTCAAGACCAGTTTTACCAAAGTTCGGGTATATCAAAGTATTCTGTGCTGTCTAATGGGTTCATACCCATTTTAAGCGTTATAGGCCTGGATTCGAACTCTACATTTTCAAAAATCTTGAATATTGCATTATTATCAATATATGTACTATCAGCTGTTATTGGTTTTAGCTGTTCGTTGTTATTTGTCACAATCTGCATAAGTACTTCATATGAAAAAAAATGGTCTGGTATCAATAATTTTATATGGAGTATAGTACATAATAAAAATTGAAGTCATCTTGTTTAATATTGATATTGTAGTTTTTAAAATCCAAAATTGAATGCGCTCATATCAGGTTCTTGGAAAGCAGCTTTTGGTGGTTGTGCAGCTGCATTATTACCCTTTTTCTTTTCTTCATCTTCATTAATCTCTTTTTTATCTTTACTGTTGGAAGCCAATCCATATTTCTCCAACAAGCTTAACCCAACACCATTACCACCATCACCCTTAGAGAAGTGCGACGGAATATCTTTGTGTCCTTCATCTTGATAACTTGACATGAAACTGCTTCTTCTTCTGGCGGATGGTGATAATCCATATTTCTCCAAAATGCTTCCAGGGTTCTTGGAAGCAGTAGAAGAATTGGAAACATCATTATACCCATTAAGAGCTGACTTGAGTGATGTGAAACTTTGCCCCTTTTTGAAATCTTCTGACTTGAGAAATTTCCAGTTTTTTAATAAAGATACAGATAAATAATCACATCCCATTCTCATATAAATTGAAGCAACTCTCAATATGAATTCAGATTCTGTACTTGGAGTAATTTTCAATGATCCATGGAAATAATTCAAATTTTTTTCTCTTAGATTTTGATATAGGATAACCAATAATGGATCATCTTCAATAAATGACTTTGATTTTTCAGTAATCACTATATCTTTCTTTTCATTTTCATCAATAATATCTATTGGAGATTTTACCAATGCTTGAATAGCTCTTGACTGTTGTTTACTTTTCCAAAACACAAAACTGGTGGTCCATCTATCACCTAAAGAAACTGCTTCTGATAACATGTACTTCTTCAACATATCTTGCAAAACTGGACCATTATCCCCTTCATAAACTCTGCAAACACCAATCGCTAAATCAGTGTCTTTAACTTGCTTGATTAAAACGTTCACTGCATCTTTTAAACTATCACCCAAGAGGAAAAAGCAAGAAGCCAGTAAATATCTATGTTTACTTAAAAGAACAAACGCATTCTTCAATGCTGCAGATCTCCATCTCTTTTCTTTGAAATCATTCTTGAGGAAACTCATCATCTTCTGTTGTTCAGGATGACCAACTGAAGTTCTCCATAATGCTAACAGAATTTGTTTCTTCTTCAAAGCAAGATAATAAATAGAACAATTGATTGGATCTCTTTTATCATCAGTACTGAACTCATTTCTTGCAATAACTTCAAACGTTTTCACCAAATCATCAAATTTTAGCCAATATGTCATACCATATTCTCGAGCAACACTCCATGTTATTCTTCTATTCTTGATGGAGTTTTCAATCAATTGCAATAAAAGCTCTTTGTTTTCACTATGCATTGCCCAGTTGATATCTCTCATTGTTAGCCTTTCTTGTATGCCACGATGTAGTTGAAACAGTTTGACACCAAGAGCAAATCTAAGTCCATTGCTATCAAGGCTTAATTTATTCTTATCAATATCTTCAACGGCTTCAATTGTGCTAACTAATGTAATTTGCTGATGTCTTGTTAGATAAGGTAATGAATGATTTGTTAACTTCTCTTTTAACCCTTCTGCAACGGTCTGATTAAACTCCGTATACGGTTCTTCAAATGTCGTATCCTTCACATAATGACTGTCAAAAAATTTGGTAACATCAAATCCTAAAGTAGATCCTAGTTCATTTATTGGCTTATCATCAATTTCGAATTCTCTTATTTTCAAAAACAATCTCAAAAGGATCTCTTTAACAATTTCTATCTTCTCATTGAAAAGAGCTTGAATCAAAATTTGAGGATGAAATAATGGGAGCGGACCATTTAACACTGAACATAAACTCATTATATCATTTGAAACAATGTTTCTTGAACCTAACGACTTTTTGGTGAACTTATCATTTGTCAGATCCAATTTTTTATCTGCAACAAAGATCTGATTACCTGTACCAATAACTAGAGTACCATCTTTCAACCAGATGGAATCACCAATCTTATGCGTGGTATAATTTTTGATATCAATCTCTCTAATGACTTGGAAAGGAGGGTTTTTATTTGTGTAATCATATCTCAATTGTGTATACAAAAGAGAAAAATCTTCAAACCCAATTGCTAAAATACTTTGCTTATTTTCAGTGCTTGTCCAATCAATATCTTGAATCTCACTTTCCACGATTTCTTCATATTCCAAAACATTTCTTTTCAAATCCCAAATTGTGAATTTCTTTCGAGTTTCATCCACAATGGCGAATTTTGCAATAGAGGACCCCCTGATATACGACGCATTAGCAATTCCAGAGTCCAAGCTGTCGCGTTCAATCCATTTAATTTCATCATTTTCTATTTCAGTAGAATAGCATTGTAAAAGACCATCTTTTGTTATTGTTGATAAAACTGGGCGATCATTTTCATATGTGCTACCAACTGGGTCTATAGAGGCAATAATATGAACTTGTTCTTCGTCAAGCGGTAAATTCTGGATCTTAGTTTCAGCAAGTTTAGTACCTTTGATGATCCAGGCTTTTGATTCATGCTTATATATAGCAGCAACAAAATGTTTTGAATGGTCATGCTTCTTCAATGGAATACTTGTGAAACATAGAGGCTCTTCATCGGTATGTGTCTCTATTGAGTCTAACTGTTGAGCAATTTTGACACTGGTATCCCATAAGACAAGTGCGCTTCCACAGAAAGAAATCAAAAGGTTACCTTTTTCTAATATAGCAGCTTTCAAAATAGGTGCAGGAGTTTCCACAATGGATTTCTTAGCTAAAGTAACACTATCTCTTAGGGGTTGAGGAATCCATATAGCATTTTCATTGAACCTACTCTTTGTAAGCATTGCTTCACCGTCAATTGTTCTAACAATTTCACGAATTGACTTTTTATGACCTGTTAATTTATGAGCTAACATTCCGACGTCCTTTTCTGTTCCATTGTCAACTAAAAAGCTTAAATTTATTATAGTATGTCTTATAACACCATTCAAATCATGAATCACAACGGATAAGTTACCGTTAGGGTCCATTATTGTCTCTGCAAAATTGATATATTGAGGGTTTGAAACAAAAGCCTTTGGATAGAATTTCAAACTTTTAAGTTTGGTTATATTTATCAATTTTGGGGGATTTTGTGACAAGTTTTCAATTGCAAATACTGAAATATTGGCATTTTCATCAGCAACAATTGCCAAATCAGGTTGTCTTTTTTGAATCTCAATCAGCTCCTGGCTATAAAGTTTTCCTAATGCTGTTCTAAGTGCATGTGTGACCAAATAATCATCCACAATATTGACAAATCTTCTACCTTTCCTCTTGCATGTTTCTTCATAAAGATCTAAGGACCCCCAATGCTGTATTATGTGTTTCTTTTCATAATTGTAGCTTGACCAAATTCTCAAAACAGAGTCTCTGCCCAAAGAGTAAAGCGTGTTGGTGTACTCATCATTCTTGGGCAGATTGTTGTAATCATGTCTTTTCCACCTAAGATTGGTGATAGAGCTTGGATGCAAAAGGTAGGTTAGATCAAATAAGGAAGATTCACCAAATGAAATTCTATCCCAAATCTTCAATAGTTTGTCATATTTTCCACAACTAGCTATTAATGAAGAATCCTGTGAAATCTTTGCTATGAACACTGGAGATGATTGAATCATTGACCAAAGGATCGAGGTATGTATCTCCCCAAACTCTCTTCTAATATTCCATAATGTTAAATAGTCTGATCCAACAATCAATTCTTCCTGTATACCCCAATTCAATGTATTGACAAGGGAACTATTGTTTGGATCAATTAGTTTGGTTGCATACTGCCACTATACAGAGTGTTGTTAGAAAAAATGACTGATGATGAAGTGACTTGATTTTATACATACTCTGGGTATTTTCATGAATTCACTCATTGGTTCGTATATGCTAACTTGACTCCCAATAGCAACAGCGATCTTCGAGGTTTGTTAATATTTGCTTCTCCTAGTGATTACACCTGGTTTACTCACGTTTCCATTATAATGATTGATATCTACCGCATGAGCATCTGAATCGAGGTATATCGTCTGCAAATAACTCATATTCTCTGATAAAATGATTAGATTGTTCCCCGAACAATAAGCCTGTTGTTGTAAATGTTAGCTTCAATCCCACCAACAAGTACGGTAAAATACTCACCACAATGGAATGGTCTTTCCATTCTCCTTGGGCCACCGCCTGGAGCGATTGGTTTGGTTCACCGGGAACAAAACTGACAGCCATTGACCTTAAAACTGAATGCGATTGAAAAGCGCTTACTCCAGTTTATTGTGAACAGATGTTTTTTTTTGGTTGTTGTTATTCTCGATCTCGTTTCCGGTTGGGTGCCCTGGCTGCCATTTTGTCACTGTTTTTTTTTTCTGGACTTGATGATAAAACTGCTTAATTATGGGCCGTTATTTGCAAAGAATCAAAAGTATTGGAAAATGGGTGGAAGGTGAGTATCATCAATATAGGCCTTATAGTTGTTATCATACTAACATCGGACCCTAGTTGCAAAGATCAAAGAAAAGCGGTTGCTATATGTTTACAGAGATCCCCTTGTGTGCTGATAGAGAGACATACTCCAAAGGAATGCATAGAGAATCCAGAACTGGCTGAAAACCTCCCAGAGCTATGTAAAGCACAAATGAAGTCCTTTTGGGAATGTAAAAGAGGGTGGTTTGATATGTCAAAAAGGTTTAGAGGTAATGCTCCATTATCAACAGGTAAATACGATGAAACTTATGACAAATTATCCTCTGGAAACTTTGATCCAATGGAGGAGTTCAAAAAATTAAAGCAACTTGATAGTTCAAACAAGGAATGAGAAAAAAATATGATTGGGAGAGGTTACGTGTATATAAGATGAATATTAACGGGTTTATGTACAAAGAATATTAATAACAGAGTTCTATCATCGTATATTCTAAGTTCAAAAATCCTATAACTGGTTCCCAATATCAATAATTGAATCAAACAAGTCATCAACCAAATCACTATCCACTACTGGACTGACAAATACAACTCTAAAGAATTCTCCTCCTTCAACACCTGCAGCAGGGGCATAATCAATCAAAAATTTCCCAGATTCGTGTAACTTGGCCACAATATCTATGGTAACTCTAGTATTTTCCTCCTTATTTTCGAATTTACCATCTTTGTTGAAAAAGAAACAAACTTGCATACATGGAGGTGGGTTTGTAGAGACCAACTTGAATTTTGAAGGTGTATCTGCTAATTTTTGAGCAAAATAACTTGAGATATCTAATGCATGATTGATTCTTTGTTCATAACCTTCTTTCCCATAGAAATACCACCCCATGTAAAGTTTCAATGCATCTGGACGGCGACCACAGCCCATAGTACCATCAGCCAAATCATAAAAAGTGTCATCAGCTTCTGCACTATGAAATAGATATGGAGCAGCTAATGAATTTGCAGTTTGGAATACCCTTTCATCTGGTAATAATAGAAAGGAGCAAGTTGTAGGAACACCTAATAATTTATGAGGGTTCGCTGTGATGGAATTAGCCTTGGATGCACCTGCTAACTTATACTTGTACTTTTCACTGAATACAACATTACCACCCCATGAACCATCTATATGAAACCAAATATTATGTTTTTTGGCAACCTCACTAATTTCATCAAAGGGATCAAATGAGCCGAAAACAGTAGTACCCGCAGTTGCATTCACATATAGTGGTGTGTATCCTTTCTCTTTACTTTCTAAAATTTTAGCATCTAAATCCTGAACATCCATTATACCTTGGGCATCAACGTCAACTTTAAAAACATTTTGGGCACCTAATCCTAATAATATAGCAGCTTTCTCCACAGAGTAATGTGCATGTTTAGAGGCGAAAACAGCAAAGTTGAACCCATTGTTTCCTTGTGATTTTGTTGATGGGAAAAGAGTAGATCTTGCAATATGTAAACTTGTGATATTTGACCATGAACCACCAGAGAATGTTAAACCACCTGCGTATTTCCCTGTATAACCAAACAAATTAGCATAAGATTGTGAAATTTTCTTTTCAATCAAAGTTAATACGGGTGAAACAGTGTAAACATGACTGTTTGTATTCAATAAACTCAATAATAAATCAGAAACCACACCAATTGGATTAGTTGAAGCATATAACTTATCCAAGAACCCGGGATGCCATGTCACAACAGAATTCTTCAGTACTGTCTCAAATAGATCATAGACACCTTCTGTACCATGACCTTTATTTGGAGTTTCAAGGTTGACTAATTTCGATAATTCTAATGGAGATATTCTCGGACCAACAGAAGTAGAGTTAGATTTAGAAGCATCTGATACATGTTTCAAGATCAGTGGTTTTAGCTGGGTTAAAAGGTAGTCCAGCTCCTGTACTCTATTGGCTTCAAGTGTACTTGATAGTTTAGGCATCCTTGAGCAACCCAAACCCAAAACAACTATATTTCGAGCGTTAAAGCACAACTTTATTGACATAATTATTCAGCTTCAGCGTAATTACGAATTTTTCAAAAAGATTATGTCATCCCCGAACGTTTTTCGCGGATTTAGTGTGCACGTGACCCCAGTTCTACGTTTTTAAACTCCAGCTTAAAACTTCTCTTGTGCTTAATTTAAAGGACAAAACATTCTGGATGTTGTGTGTTGCTTTGAAAGATTTCATTACAAGTCTTTTATAATGCTGTCTTGTTAGAATGGTATGGAATTCAATTATCTGAGTGCTAGGTTCCTTGTCTTATTGTTTTAAATTAGGTTCATAAATTGAAGTTCTTACATACCCGATTAGTTTGTGATAAACTTTTGCGTATCAGTGATCTAGACTTTTTATCTTTGGAATTTCCTGATACAACTGGGTGCATAAGGGCTAGTTTCAACCTTGGAGAGTATACAACTATTTTTTGCTTGTTCTAGTACGATACAAATACACCTGATATCAGGTCATCTTACTCAATGCTTTGTTGCTAAGATGACAATTCAATTCAGGCTGAGAAAGGAAAGCACAAAGCAATCACCACTTATTCTATGATACAAGCTTACAAAAACTGTCTGTAATTTGTTTGTCTGGACAAATCTAGAATTTTTGATCCATTTATCATGAATGTTAATCCTTAACAAGAGTATTGAAAAAAACACTATAAAAACTGAGCTTTCCTTCATCATTTTCCACTAAAAGTCATTTGTATACTCATCAAATCTTGTTGTTCAAAAGAATAAGTGACAAAGATTTAAAATACCGATTTTGCTATTGGAAATATTAATTACAATGAGTGGTTCAAAAAGTTCAAACCAAGGAATGCAATCACAGATGGCAAGTAACAATGCTTCCAATAGAGCAATGCACTCTCAAATGGAGAGTAACAAAGGTTCTAACAGAAGTATGCACTCTCAAATGGCTGGCAACAATTCATCAAACGACAAAGCTTCCAATAGAGGAATGAACTCTCAAATGGAGAGTAACAATAGTGCTAATAGAAGTATGCATTCTCAAATGGCTAGTAACAATGCATCAAACAGAGGTATGCATGAAGCCGTGAGTGGTTCTAAAGGTGGTAAATGAGTTTGTCTCTTCTTGACAGCAGCTTGAAGATCAATCAAGCCCTTCTTCGTTTGGTTTATATTTTATTGATGTGCAGGAAATCAGTTATAGTTTGTTTTTTGGTTGTAGCCGGTATCAAGTAGAGGATAACCCTCATGAAAACAATACAAAACAGATGGAAGTCAACGATTTCCATTTTATAGTTAGTACAATGTGTACCGTAGAAATGGTGTGAACAGATTTGAAAAGAGATCTACTCTTAGAGTGTAATACTAATGGGATGATAGGCGATGGTAGACTGATATTATTCTTGCAAAGTCTAAAAACAAGTTCTGAAAAATGCCAACACCATTGGTTATAATTTGACAGTTTTTCATATAGCATGTAAGTGGCTTGACTCGTGTATAAAATATCTTCGAATATTGATTGATATTTAATGCGGTGTTTTTTAACATTGTTAATTTGAACTGATTTACTTTTGAAGCCATTTGGCTCACAAATCTCAACTTGTTTCCAAATTAAAATCTAACTTTGGATGTTGGATGTTGAAGGTTTATTTTTTCAGCTGGAGAAGTGGTAGCTTTTGAATTATTCATAATTGGTGTTATGTGTAGTAACAACACGCTAGACGATCAGTAAAAATTCAGCTTTTCGATTTGTCAATTTTATCATGTTAAATTTCTTGATATTGATGGTCTGATTGATCCAACTACTGAGCTAAAAGTATTAACATATCGTCTTGATTTTTAACAATTGAATAAGCGTCCTGTCAACATCAATGAAAGAGCATTTGAAAACGTTTCTTCAGGTCTAATAACTAGAATACGTACTATGTCTGTTAGAAAAAAAGGCGGCTCGGCCGAGACGACTCAGATTAATTATACATCAATATAGAGAATAACAAAGCAAAATGTAATGATTTTAAGATAGAAACTTTACTAAGGCTATAAATAAATTTTCCTGATTCAAATGAGCCAAATATTGGTCAATTCGGATCAAAAACCTAGCTGTGATTTAAATTCTGAGGTTTTCGAGTTAAATTTAAAGAATAGTAGGTTGACTTCAAATTAAAATATTGGATTTTTATAAAGTTTCAACAATCTTAATTGACATTAATCATAGTATATTAAATCAAATTAATTTAATATATAGTAATATTTGAGCCAATAGAACGCACTATCAATAGCGCAGATTGCCTAATATACTATAAGGTGTTCATTATCATGATAATATGACCTAATCAAACACTTGATCCGGATAATTGTAAATAGCTCATGCAAATGATAATATAATATATGCCGTTCTCGGTACTTTAAGTTTTGAGATACTAGTAAAGGCTTTAGATTTGCTATTCATGATTTATTACCACCTTTTTAACTAATAAGTTGCAATCTGAGGTAATAGTGATGACCTATCGCGGAATATTTCCTCTTCGGGGAGTTTTAAAGGGTTTTACAGGATTTTTTTTTAGCTGATGGCAAATATTTAACAATTCAATATTGCACTTCAATTATTGCCAGCAACCGCTACAAGTCGTTCTGCTTATCTCGTGAGAATCAGTTACAGCTTGGTGTGCTTGGGAGAGCCTAGTTATGGAACAGAATTATGTCCACATCTAAAGAAGAGGCTGGTGGATCAGACAGTTCACAAGTGGTTGATCAACCATCTGAGAATAATGAACTTCAAAACTTGGGTATTAAATTAGTTGAACAAACTTCATTGGAGCACAAAATCCAGGCCAATGCTAACAGACTGATTACACAGAAAGAGATAGAGTCTGATTTGAAAAGGCTCGAGAAGTCGAAGCAACAATTAGATCGTGTCAAGTATGAGCTTAGAAAACTCAATGATCGGTTGAACAATCCAAGGACAAAAATATCACAAAAAGATGAAATAAGGGATCAGATAAAGTCAATGACCGAGCTTCAATTAACTCCTACTGAAAATGATATCAAAGATATTGAAGAAAGATTGAAAAAGAATGAAAACGCTTCAGAAATAAATGAGATCACTGAGGCAGGTGCTAGACTTCCCAATGAAACTGAGAAAGACTTTCTTATTAGAACTGGTAAAATAACCGCTTTTGGTAATTCTGCTGGATTTATGGTGGAGGAAGATAAAGACCATACGGAACCTGGTGAAGTGGTGTCCCATCAGAATCTCAGAATACCTGGGTTTTCTCAAGTCAATCAACCCATTGAAGTTGAAGATGAAGATGATGTTAATGAATTTGGAGTAAAGAGAAAACATGAAACTGATGACGAGTTTGAGGATGAGAATGAAGAGGAATTCAAAAAACCGAAGCTTTTAACTGATGATGATATAAGAAATATTGATGATGGTGTTGAAAGTTTTTACCAGGATAGATTGAATACCTGGGTTTATAGAAGGTCCCAACTGAGGTCTCACAAGAACCATGAAACCAATCAAGATGACAACAATAAACCTGAGTGGCTTAAACCACATCCAAATTTACCCGATGCTGTGTTGAATGCTGATTTTAAAGTCCCAGGTGATATTTATCCTTCATTATTTGATTACCAGAAAACTGGGGTACAATGGCTTTACGAACTTTATTCTCAAAAACACGGTGGTATAATCAGTGATGAAATGGGATTAGGTAAAACTATTCAAATAATCTCCTTTTTAGCAGGCCTTCATTATTCAGGTAAATTGGATAAACCAGTTTTGATTGTTTGTCCAGCAACTGTCATGACACAATGGGTCAATGAATTTCATACTTGGTGGCCTCCTTTGAGAACCATGATCCTACATTCCATTGGTACAGGTATGAAAGGGAGTTTTAAGGAAGAAGATTATGAGAAATTGTTACTCAAAGAGGCTGATGAAGATGGCGATGAGCCGAGTTTGCGTTCTCTGAAAGCAAATTCCAATGTCAACACTATCATTGATACATTATTAACAAAAGGTCATGTCATAATTACAAGTTATGTCGGGTTAAGAATTTATGAGGAACAATTACTTAATATTGATTGGGGTTATGTTGTTCTTGATGAAGGACATAAAATCAAAAATCCAAATTCAAATATAACGATTCTAAGTAAAAGGCTCAAAACATACAATAGAGTTATTTTATCAGGAACTCCAATTCAAAATAATTTGATCGAACTCTGGTCTTTATTTGATTTTATATTTCCAGGTCGATTAGGAACCCTCCCCATTTTTCAAGAAGAATTTGAAACTCCAATTAAACTTGGTGGATACGCCAATGCAAACAATTTGGATGTTAAGGTTGGGTACCAAAAAGCAGTTATATTGAAAGAGTTGATTCAACCATTTCTTTTAAGGAGAGTCAAGATGGATGTTGCAAGAGATTTACCATCAAAGCAAGAATATGTTTTAATGTGTCGATTAACTCAGTATCAAAAGGAAAAATATCAGGAATTTTTGAAGTCAACTGAGTTCAAAGTCAATTCATATCTAGGTGCGATTGATACATTAAGAAAGATATGTAATCATCCAGACCTAGCAGATGTCCATTTTATAGAGGGTCAAAAAGGTTATGGTGATCCAGCAAAATCTGGAAAATTGCAAGTTGTAAAGTCTTTACTCACACAATGGAGACAACAGAAACACAAGGTTTTATTATTTACTCAAACTAAGCAAATGATGGTTATATTAGAAAAGTTTCTCAACATTACTTTTGGTGATGATTATAAGTATATGAAAATGAGCGGTGAAACCGGGATTGGTAAAAGACAAGATATGATTTATGAATTCAACAATGAAGATTATGATTTATTTTTACTCACAACTAAAGTTGGTGGATTAGGTGTTAACTTGACTGGTGCGGATAGAGTTATTATATTTGACCCTGATTGGAATCCTTCAACAGATTTACAAGCAAGAGAAAGAGCATGGAGGTTGGGCCAAAAGAAAGAGGTACTGATATACAGATTGATTATTGGTGGTGCAATTGAAGAGAAAATATATCATAGACAAATTTTCAAGCAACTTTTAACTGACAAGATTTTAAAAGATCCCAATCAAAAGAGATTTTTCAAAAATAGTGAATTGCATGACTTGTTTACTTTAACCGATTTCGATGACAATTCTGAAAGCGGGAATGTATTTAAAACTAGGAACCAAACTAAGAAGAATAGAGATGATTTGGCAAATATTCAAGAAGTTCAAGGGGTAACTAAGTTAGAAAAATTTAAAGATGATTCTCAAAAAGAGACTGAAGATGAAAGATTATTGTCAGGCTTATTTAAAAACACGGGTGCAGTGACTCAAGCTATCAAACATGATGATGTTGTGAAGACACACTCAAAACCAAAACCTGATTTATTTGACCGAGAAGCTAAAAAGGCTGCAAATGATGCATTAGAGGCATTAAAGAGATCAAGAAGACAAGTCAAGAAAGCTGGTTTAGGGGTTCCTACTTTCACTGGTAAGTTTGGACTTGCTGGTAGATCTGCTTCCCCTGCACTTGGAAATAGAAGTCGTTCAGGTACACCTCTGAATCCCAAACAATCTTCGACCTCAATTTTATCAAATATTCGAAAGAATCAAGAAGCTACCAGCTTGAATGGGAACTCATCAGAACTCAGCAAGAATTCTAAAATTATTGATGAGATGAGATCTTACCTAGTAAAACAAGAAGGGTGTTATGCCAAGTCAGGTGATATACTTGATGGTGTTTCTGTTCAGATTAATGACAAAAAGGATTTAACAATGGTTAGATCAATGTTGAAAGGTATTGCGACCTGGGATACAGATAGATCAGGTTGGGTATTGAAGGATGAATTTAAATAGATAAATATCAGGTCTTTTTTGATGACAAACTACAATATGTACAATTAAAAAAAATGGATTAAATAACTATCTATGCACAGGCACCAGTAAAACACACATTTCTAAATCAATAACTACGACCGAACAAGGTGTAGTTGATAGCTTTTTCACCACATTTAACACATTTTTGACCTGGTTTCAAAGTTGGTTGTTCAAATGGAATACATAAAGTCTTAGCACCCATACTTGGAGCTTTATCATCAACTTCTTCATCTTCACCATCATCTTTCTTAGCTGATGAATCTTTGATATCTTCTTCACATTCCAGAACACCACACCATGGAGCCAAAATGACGTTTTTAGCGTTCAAAGCTGGAACAAAATCTTTCCATTCTTCAACAATGACTTTATGAGTATCAAAAGCTTCTTTAGCTTTGTTGAATAAGTCTTGGTGTAATTCATCTAAGATCTCTGGGACTCTAGTTTCTAAATCATCTAAAGCAACGGTGTATTTCTTTGAATCGTTACGACGAACAACAGTAACTTGTTTCTTTTCCAAATCTTTTGGACCAAATTCCAAACGGATTGGTAAACCTTTCAATTCCCAATCGGAGAATTTCCAACCTGGTGAATAATTGTTACGGTAATCACCAATAGCTCTTACACCAGCTTTTAATAATCTATTTTCAATTTCTTTAGCACCGTCATAAATGGCATTTTCTTGTTCTCTGGAAGTTTTAGCAGTGACACCAACTGGGATAACAACAGCTTGGTTTTGAGCAACTCTTGGTGGGATAACTAAACCTTTGTTATCAGAATGGATCATAACCATAACACCAATAACACGAGTTGATAAACCCCAAGAATTTTGCCATGCAAATAATTTTGGTTTATCTGGACCTTCTGGGTTTTCAACACTAATGTTGAACATTTTAGAGAAATTTTGACCCAAACAATGGGAAGTACCACCTTGGATACCACGACCAGTAGCTGGGATATAACCTTCAACAGTTGTGGTGTAAAGACCACCAGCGAATTTTTCCTTTTCAGTTTTTTTACCTTTAACAACTGGAACAGCTAATAAATCTTCATAAACACTAGCATACCATTCCAAAATTTGTAAAACTTCAGAGTCAGCTTCTTCATAAGTTAAATGAGCTGTGTGACCTTCTTGCCACAAGAATTCTCTTGTTCTCAAGAATGGTTGAGGGTGTTTAAATTCCCATCTAACAACAGAATTCCATTGATTTAATTTCAATGGTAAATCCCTGTGAGATTGGATCCATTTAGCATAATATGGATACATAACAGTTTCAGAAGTTGGTCTAATGGCAATTGGTTCTTCTAATTCAGAGCTACCAGCTTTAGTAACCCAAGCAACTTCAGGAGCAAAACCTTCAATATGATCTTTTTCCTTTTCCAAGACTCTTGAAGAGACAAACATTGGGAAATAAGCGTTTTTAACACCGATTGATTTGATTTTAGAATCGAAATAGTTTTGAATTTGTTCCCAAACGGCATATGAAGCTGGTCTCATGATATAACAACCTGAAACATCATAATATTCCAACATTTCACCTTTGGTTAAAATTTGTTGATACCAACCTGGGAAGTCTAAAAATTTATCAACAGTAACACCAATTAACTTAGCATCTTCTAATTGTGCAGCGGTGTTTTTAACTGGAGCTTCCTTTTTAGCTGGTGCTGGAGTTGGAGCTGGAGCACTTGAGAAATCAACAGTGATTAATTCAACACCTGTTGATTGTAAGTAACCTAAAATTGATTTACCTTCAATGGCAGCTTTAGCACTTTCAGTAGCTAATTCATAAGTTGAAGATTCTTGAATTTCCTGATCAACAAGAACTTTGATCTTACCAGCGTGATCTTTTGTAATGTTTGCAACGGAAAATTCTTTTGGAGCAACACCAAAGAATTCTTGAACCAAGTCTTCTTTTGCTAATCTTGGATCTTTAACACCAGCAGAAGAAGCAATGATGTTTGAAGGAGTATTTGTTGATTGTAAAGCGAAGACAACAACTGGGACCGGAGTTGCAGTTTTGGCGGTCTTTGGCTTGAAGACTAGAGCCTTTGTGGCAGTTGCACCTTCAGCGGTGACTTGTGCAATGGAAAGAGCAGCAAGAGAAGCTTCTAAAGCCATAATGATGGTGCTGTTTTGCTTTGAGATGTGTGTGATAGTGGATCTAAAATATCACCATCTTCACTTTTTTATGTATCAACTTTTTCAATTTTTTTTTTCGAACGAAACCATCAATTCGCGAAACCTTAAAGGAAGAAAATAAGACGACGGGCTTGATGATAGGGAAAATTGTGGATTTTTAGTAGGGAATTAGTTTCAAATGATTATTGCAAGCGAAATAGAAGGTTAAAGTTGGTCTATTGCACAAAGTGTCCAGGGCTAAATGGCGTTGTAGCATGAGTCATAATTGTAAAGGTATTAAATTGCACTAGTGACCCGATATTGATTGGCAGATATGGGAATTATAGCATTGACAGCACCGAAAAAGCCAGAAACAAATTGAGCCACAAAAGGATCTTAGTGAAGAGAATATGAGCCTACTATAATTACAGCCAAGATACACTTAGAATCCCCTTCAATAACCGAGATTTTAACTATAATTGAATTCTGAACGTGGCCACACCGGGTAAAGCGACAATTTCCAAAAAAAAACTGGCTGATAAAAAAAACGAAAAAAAACTTGATCAGTCATTGGGAAAGTCAAAAGTCAACACTTATAACCTCAGAGAAAGTACTCAATTCGCTGAATCTACTGTGTTATAATCCATAAAGATGTCTGAACTATACGTCCACGATGTCACTGGTGTCGATGATGCCAGTGCTACAGGTACTAAAGAAGCCCCATTCAAAACCCCAGCTTATGCTCTATTCATTAAAGAAGATGCTAAAGTCTTTGTTTACAAAAAAGATGAAGAAACTGATGGTTACGTTGAAATTTCATCAAGTGCATTGAAGAAAGCTAAAAAAGGTGCTGATGGTTTAAAGAAAAAAGCTGAAAAGGCTAAAGCCGCCGAAGCTCAAAAAGCTCAAAAAGATGCTGAAGATGCTGCTAGAAAATTAGAAGCCATGAAAATCACTATAAAGGAAGATGAATCATTACCAAAAGCCACAAAAGCTAAAATCAGAGATTTGGATGTTGGTAAAAGATTCAAAGTTTCAGGTTGGATTCATAGATTCCGTGCTCAAAAAGGTTTAGCTTTTATTGTCTTGAGAGATGGTACAGGTTATGTTCAAGCTGTTTTAAGTGGTGATTTAGCTAACGCTTACCAAACTCAAACTTTAACATTAGAAACAACTGTTACCTTATATGGTACTGTTCAAAAATTACCAGAAGGTAAACAAGCTGTTGGTGGTATTGAATTAGTTGTTGATTATTATGAAATCATTGGTTTAGCTCCAAGTGGTGAAGATGCTTTCACCAACAAAATTCAAGAAGGTGCTGACCCATCATTATTATTAGACCAACGTCATTTGGCTCTTCGTGGTGAAACTTTAAGTGGTGTTATGAAAGTTCGTGCTGCTCTTTTGAAAGCTATCCGTAAAGTTTACATTGAAGAAGGTATAACAGAAGTTACTCCACCTTGTATGGTTCAAACTCAAGTTGAAGGTGGTTCTACTTTATTCAAATTAGATTATTATGGGGAAGAATCTTATCTAACACAATCTTCTCAACTATATTTGGAAACTTGTTTACCAGCTCTTGGTGATGTTTTCTGTATTCAAGAATCTTTCAGAGCTGAAAAATCCCATACTCGTCGTCATTTATCAGAATATACTCATATCGAAGCTGAATTGGTGTTTTTAACATTTGATGAATTATTAACCCACATTGAAACTTTAATCACAAAATCTGTTCAATACGTTTTAGAAGATCCTGTTGCGGGTCCATTAGTTGAACAATTAAACCCAGGTTTTGTTGCACCAAAATTACCATTCAAACGTATGGAATATATCCATGCATTAGAATGGTTAAACGAGCATGGTATTCCAAACGAAGATGGTGAATCTTTTAAATTTGGTGATGATATTGCTGAAGCTGCTGAACGTAAAATGACTGATGCTATTGGTGTTCCAATTTTATTAACCCGTTTCCCAGCTGAAATCAAATCATTCTATATGAAGCGTTGTGCAGATGATCCAAGAGTCACTGAATCTGTTGATGTTTTGATGCCAACTGTTGGTGAAATCACTGGTGGGTCAATGCGTTCTGAAGGTTTAGAGGAATTAGTCGAAGGTTTCAAACGTGAAGGTATTAAAGATCTAGATGCTTACTACTGGTTTATTGATCAACGTAAATATGGTACTTCACCACATGGTGGTTATGGTCTAGGTACTGAACGTATCTTGGCTTGGTTGACCAACCGTTTCACTGTGAGAGACTGTTCACTATACCCACGTTTCTCTGGTAGATGCAGACCATGAATATGACTTTATAGAATATGAATATAATGTAATGCAAATATCCAAAAGAGGTGTGATTAAAATCAAAGGCTTTTCGAAATTCTTTTATACCTCGAAGATGACAGTTTTTGATATGAATCATCCAAAGCCCAAAAAAAAAAAAAAAAAATTGGAAAAGATTTTCTTGGGAAAAATCGCGATAAGAGAATTTCGCGAAAGTGAAAATAAAATCTACAAAAATTGATTTCTTTTGTATACTCAAATACTCAATAAATCAATTGAGAAAACATTCAAATAACTGAGAATTACAAAGAAAATGTCTAGCGATAAACCAGCGGAATTGAAATTGTGGGGTGGTAGATTCACAGGTGCTACTGATCCTTTAATGAATTTGTACAATGCTTCATTACCTTATGATCAAAAAATGTACTCTGCTGACTTAGAAGGTACAAGAGTCTACACTGCAGGATTGAACAAGATTGGGTTAATCACTGATGATGAATTGAAGGAGATTCATAGAGGATTAGAAGTTATTAAAGAAGAATGGGCTAATGGTAAATTTGTTGAAAAAGATGGAGATGAAGATATTCATACAGCTAATGAAAGAAGATTAGGTGAGATCATCGGTCGTCAAATCTCTGGTAAAGTTCATACTGGTAGATCTAGAAATGATCAAGTTGCCACTGACATGAGAATTTTCGTCCGTGATGAATTAACTAAAATCTTGGGTTTCTTGAAAGACTTAATTTTAACTATAATCAAAAGAGCCGAGACTGAAATTGATGTCTTGATGCCAGGATATACACATTTACAAAGAGCTCAACCAATCCGTTGGAGTCATTGGTTAAGCATGTATGCTACTTATTTCACTGAAGATTATAAAAGATTAAAACAAATTATTGAAAGATTAAATGTTTCTCCATTAGGTGCCGGTGCTCTAGCTGGTCATCCTTATGGTATCGATAGAGAGTTTTTGGCTTCCAACTTAGGATTCCAAGGTGTTATTGGTAATTCTTTAGCTGCTGTTTCTGATAGAGACTTTGTTGTGGAGACAATGTTTTGGTCATCTCTATTTATGAATCATGTTTCAAGACTTAGTGAAGATTTAATCATCTATTCAACAGCTGAATTTGGCTTCATTAAATTAGCAGATGCTTATTCAACAGGTTCATCATTGATGCCACAAAAGAAAAATCCAGATTCTTTAGAACTATTGAGAGGTAAATCTGGTAGAGTTTTCGGTTCATTAGCTGGTTTCCTAATGTCCATTAAGTCTATTCCATCAACTTATAATAAAGATATGCAAGAAGATAAAGAACCATTATTTGATTGTTTAACCACTGTGGAACATTCAGTTTTGATTTCAACAGGTGTTTTATCAACTTTATCAATCAATAAAGAAAAAATGGAGGGTGCTTTAACCATGGATATGTTGGCTACCGATTTAGCTGATTATTTAGTTCGTAAAGGTGTTCCATTTAGAGAAACTCATCACATTTCTGGTGAATGTGTTAAAAAGGCTGAAGATGATAAATTATCAGGTATTGATCAATTGACACTAGAGCAATTTAAAGAAATTGATTCAAGATTTGAAGATGATGTTAAGGATGTTTTCAGTTTTGAAGTTTCCGTTGAAAGAAGAACTGCTACTGGTGGTACCGCTAAATCAGCAGTCAACAAACAATTGTCCTCTTTGAAAGAACAATTAAATTAAAACCCATATATAGATAGATCAATATTATGTACATTAGTTGTGACTCAGTTCCCAAAGTAATTATCAAAATAATTTCGAATTAACCAACGAGGAATTAGGAAACCATATTTATCTAAAAATCTAGCCCAAGTACCAACATATTCCACAGAATTATTATCGTCATTATATAGCAAGTCAAAAATCTTGTAATGCAAAGGCTTTAGTGGTATTCCTTTGATACCAAAGTTCTTCTTGCTGCTATTATTTGAATTTATACTTATTGAACCCAATTTTATATTTGTTATATTTAAACCTTCATAATCCTGTGCCAAATTTTGTGATAAAGTTTGTAAAAAAATTGAAGTTAAGTTCTCCACTGAATGATAAGTTAATTGCACAGAAGATGATAACGTTGGTGTTATGAAGATTAAATTTGAATCAAATTTCTCTGCAATTCCAATTAATCCATTAGTCAATAAATTTAATGGCAACAACATCTTGTTTTGAACGTTATGAGACCAAGTTGAATTAGGAATCATATGGAATTTCCCAGATGGGAAATATAAATCAGGGATGAAGATGATTCCAGTTAAATTCAATTTATTCGGTTCAGCACCTTGGAATGGAATATGGTTTGATGACAATAAATAATCAAATTTTCTCAATTGTTCAGTATTAAACTCATCATTATCGACTTCATTAGACACTATAAGTGATTTAATATCTTGGATTGATTCATTATTGAAAAATTTCAAATCAGATTTCGAATTAGTGGAAGTGATGTACACTATAAATCCACGATTCTCTAAATCATTGGCAATATATCTTGTCAAGGGTTCAGTCACAGAGCCAACAATCAGCACGACATCTTTTCTGGCACCATTTGGCAAACGATCAGCTCTTCTTGTAACTGATTTTGAGGTATTGGTGACTTGGGATCTCACAACCATTTGAAGATAATATCCAGTTATACCTAACGTGGTTACACCAATTATAGTTGAAAACGCTTTGTTTCTGTGATAAAACCCTCTCACCCCATTTAAATCCCAGAATCCACTGGAAGGAATATTGGCTGAATCTGTTAACTGTGTTGTATTGTTGCTCCCATAGTTGAAATTATTGTTGTAAGTTGAGATGACCTTGTCTGAAATCGTGTGTGTAGTGTCACTGACTGTGCCAATAGCTGAGCTAAAGGTATTCTGGGCTTTCTTTCCCAGGTAATAAACCGTGTCAAATGTCTTATCCACTGGATCCATCGTGTCCTTTGAGTTCAAATTCTATACAAATGTTGGTCAATTGCCTTCAGTTCAGATTCAAAGTAGCTCCCAAGAAAAGAACGCATTCGCGAAATACCATTCGCGAATTTCCCGTTTTTTTTGTCCAAGGGCTTCTTTTGGAGTTGATTTAGCTACTTTTCATTTCGTTATAGGCTGTTTCCCAAAGACAACGACAATTACGACAGTGTGCAAAATGGGTATCAACAATCCTGTTCCTAGAAGTTTGAAGAACGAGACAAAGTGAGTATTGCTGAGAGATGGAAAACAATGGGTTCAATGTGACGGTTTGAGTCGTTGGATGGTGATTTGGCACAACCCCTCGATAACGAGAGAACAAATTGGCCTTTGAAGAACTTGAAACCACGGAAAACAAGTGGCAAAGAACAAATCAATGGAACACTCTGATCATCTCGACTAGACTCAAAATGACCTTGCTCATAAACATTTATTGTGCAAATTATGGGTGAATCAGCTAATTAAGGATCATCATCATGTCTCGTTCGGGTTGTTCATTGTTGCCGACATGTCCATGGTGAGATGAATTGCCAACGAACTCAACCATCAATTGACACTGAACCAATCATTTTATTCGAGGATCATGAATACTAATACAATCGCTTCTATAGGAAAGCTGCAAAGATTCTTGCAAGTTTTATCAAACCAAACCAAATGCTTGGTGTTGACCAAGTTATCCCACCAGATATCTTACAAAATGCTAAAGGTTTAGCCATAATAACAGTATTGAAAGCTGGGTTCTTATTCTCAGGTAGAGCTGGGTCAGGTGTCATCGTGGCTCGTTTGCCTGATGGTTCGTGGTCTCCTCCCTCTGCAATTGTCACTGCTGGTGCTGGTGTGGGTGGTCAAGTTGGTGCTGAATTGACCGATTTCGTCTTTATCTTGAATACAAAGGAAGCTGTCAATTCTTTTGCCCAAGCTGGATCAATCACATTGGGTGGTAACATTTCTGTTGCTGCAGGTCCTTTAGGTAGAAATGCAGAAGCTGGTGGTACTGCTTCTTTGAAATCAGTTGCTGCTATTTTCTCTTATTCTAAAACTAAAGGTTTATATGCCGGTGTCTCATTGGAAGGTTCAGCCATTGTGGAGAGAAGAGAAGCAAATAGAAAATTCTATGGTAACAATTGTAAAGCTAGACAAATTTTGGCTGGTAGAGTGGAGCCTCCAGCTGCTTGTGAATCATTATTTAGAGTTTTAGAATCTAAAGCTTTCAACAAGAGAAGAGACTACTATGAAGATGATGATTACTATGATGATATTCCAGATTTCAACTCTGAATCCTCGGATTCATTAGAAAGTGGTAGTAGAAGATCTTATCAAAGAGGTGGTGCTTTTGCTAGAACTGGAGGATCATCGAGAAGAACAGCAACAAGGTATTCCGATGATGATTATTCTGATGATGATGGTGACTATTATAACAGAGGAAGCTCGAGACTAGGCGCGAGTGGGAATGGTTCAAGATCGAAAACTGCTCATAAAAGTTCCTCCTGGGAAGATGATGTTTATGATCGTTACGATTCTCCAAAATCAAGAAATAAGTCATATGGTAGCGATGATGACAGCATTGATGATTTGAATCGTCGCTTCCAAAAATCTCATTTTGAATCTAGTTATTCTGATAAACCTTCAAGACCAAGATCTGAAAAACCAAACTTTGGTGGTGCAAGCACGTCCAGATCTTCTGCTCCTTCTCAACCAAGAGGTTCAAAAGCCATTGCACTGTTTTCATTTGATGGTGAGCAATCAGGTGATTTACCGTTTAGAAAAGGGGATGTGATTCAAATAGTGAAGAAATCAGATTCAACTGATGATTGGTGGACTGGTAGAGTGAATGGTAAAGAAGGTATTTTCCCGGCAAATTATGTTGAACTAGCTTGAAAAAGAAAATCAATGTGCCATAATACTTGCATATAGAATGACTCGTTATATATTGAGTTTTTTGAGAATGGAAAATAAAGTCGTTTTACTATATAGCTCAATCCCTCTAGGAGACAAAGGTTTGTGTTTTTGTTTTGTTTTGTTATTTTTCTTTCATTTGTTATTGATCTGTTGATTCAATCAGCTGTGTATAATATATCTGTATCATTTCATTTATGTATTGAGAAAAGTTATTCTTCAGCCAAAGAGCTATCTGGTCTAATATATTAATATATGAAGACAGACTACAACGAGTCCTGTAATATAACTCCCTATTATTCAAAATCTCAAAAACGACTAAGGCTAAAGAACTGTAGTACTGTTTGTTTGGACCAATTAGGATTTTATCAGATATTCATTGTTAACGTCGCATTAATGTTCACGACAACATTGATATTATTATATATCGATAATTAGATTAAGCTACTCCCAACATCAAAGATATTCACAAGCGCTCGTGTCACCACTACATCCATAATTATAATATTGTCAATTTTATAACGTCTCACTAATAATATACACAACGGTTAATATGATCACCTAATTAACACGAAATGTGACACCCCATAATCCACCATAGGATAATAACACCATCATGAAAAATTAACGCAGGAACATTCAACCACTTGAAAGATCTTTTTTTCTCTTTTTTAATGTTTTATACTTTTTTAATTTCTTTTATAAATAGTTTTTTCAATTCTGTAAGTACTCAATTCTTAGCCAGTTGTTCTTTTCAGATAAAAGCGATACTCATCTCTCAAATCCAAATAATTTAATTGCACCAATTAATCTCTCTTTAAAGATATTTGAAAACTCTGGATTCTTTTCAAATCCACTGACCGACTCTTTAACAGAATCAATATTGTTATCCCATAAGGTAACAACCAAGTAGTTTAAGATTTTTTTCAAATTACGAGGTCTTGTAGCTGAAGGATATTTCAAGAAATCAATGTAACGCAAAGATATCTTTTCAAGATCAGACAAGAGTTGCTCATTTGATTCACTTTCAATCCCAGTTGTATATAAATCCAGATAACTCAATGGTGAATTTGCTTGTTTGGATAAAATATAAGCAGAATTAACATCCAAGGATCTTTCATTAACAGAAGAAGAGTTAGAGATTGGAACTAACTTATATTGCTTACCATTAATATTGTGAATGATAGGTGCTTGAGAAGTAGCTGGACTTGTAATATTTGTTGATCCTGATGGAATTGATGGTAGCAGAGATTGAACTGAGTTTATTGAGCTCAGACTTGGAATAAAATAGTTATTCATTGCAACTGGAGGTGGTGACATTGGACCATCAATAAATTGGGGATGATGAGGATGGTGTCCTATAGGATGGAAATTTGTCGATGGAAGATGTGGGATGCTTTTTGATTCATGTTGTTCACTTACTTTGGTGAATGGTACAGTGGCATTATTACTATTAGCACGTACAGCCTTTGTTTCATGAGATGAAGGTGTAGCATCATTGTTATCCAGCTTATCGAGACTTGTTTTTAACACTAAGCCATACAAGGTAACACCATTTAATTTTTGATGAATAGCTTTTGCATCTGAATAATTTTCAAACTCAATGTAATTCCCTTTATGTCCTCTATTAAATGAAAATTTAGTAGCTTGCCCTTCCAATTTATACTGTCTCAAGAATAGCTTGAAAAAATTTTCATTAACTGACTCATGTAAGTTATAAATGTAAAGTTTTGTAGTGGGTTTCACTTGTTTAGAGGCTGAGAAACTTTCAGTTCTCACTTCTGTGGTAGTTGGGATTGGAGATGTTGAGTTAGATTCATTGGATGCCAACTTTGATTGACGTTCCGCTTTCTTCAATGCTTTGACACATGTAATTTTTCTGCCCTTGTAGGTAATTTTATGACAAGTTGCAACTGCATTGACAGCACTTGAATGATCTTTAAAAGTAACAAAACACCAAGAGGATTTGAAATCTGTCACACTTTCTTTATAGATTTCAGTGATTGTACCATATGGACTAAATAGATCATTAATTTCTTCTTCAGTAACATTGAAAGGTAAACCCTTGACATAAATTTGTGTAAATTTTTGGTCGTTTAGCTCAGTAGTTTTCAAAGAAATGACTGATCCTAAGGTATGATTGGTGCTTGTATGTAATGAAGCCGCAGCAGGGACTGAATTCTCTGTATGAACAATTGATTTTAATGATCCTTGATCACTCATATTTTCTCTTTGTGACAAGTTGATAGGTTTATATTTGTTCCCAGAACCATTTTGATTGAGACTCTCATGATCATATTCACTCGTAGCTGAACTAAAATTTCTCATGGATTTAGGAATATGGATTGAACAATGAAGTTTTGAACCGTCAACAACACGAGAATTATAAGTTTTAACAAATTTTTCTGCCGTGTCTTTATCTTTGAAAGAAATGAACCCTTGTCTTTTACCCAGCTCAAGTTTACAAGATAAAACTGTACCAAAATGCTTAAATTTTTCATAAAATCCACGCAAAGTCAATTTGTCATTATTCAAGTTTGAAACAAAAACATTTGCACTCATAAAAGATTTATTTTTACCCTTCATATAAGGCATGATTCTAATCTCTTTATTTGAAACTTTTGTATAGTTCAAATCTTCAATTGCACGTTGAGCGTCATTTTCATCAGAGAAATTGACATAACCATATCCTAGTGATTGTTTTGTAGATGGCGAACAACAGAGTTTAACAGATAAAAGTGATTTATAACCTGAAAAGAGTTTTTTCAACGCAACTTCAGAAACACATGAGTCCAAGTCACCAACGTAAAGTGTTGTAGTTGAAAGGTTTGAGTTTAATGGTTGCTTTGATTCAGTATAATTTTCAACTTTTAATTGGTCCAATGTATCTGTAACAGAAGACGTATTACCGTTTGAATTAGAAGAGCCAGGGACACTTGTTGAAGTTGTTGTTGTAGTAGTTGTTGAGTTAAATGAAACATTTGGTGTTTTTTTCAACATTTGTAGACTATTAGGATCAATATTGTTCAAACCAATAATGGAAGGAGCATTTGGTAACATTTTCAAAGATTGGGAAGTTTCATTAATGTTCATCTTTTTGAAATCATTGAACAATTCACTCATCCTGTCTCTTGATGCATTGAATGAAATAGAACTTAGGATTGAGCTTTCATTTGTTGACTTTGGAAACTTGGAAGTCTTTGAACTGTTTAAAACTTTTTGTTTGTTGTCGTTAATATTTTCTTTCATCATGGTGGAAATGATGTGTTTGATAATAGTTGTTTGTGGTGATACACGAAGGATAAAGGAAGAGTAGAGCAGGCCGGTATCATCTTGATTTATACCAGTTCTCCAACCAACTCATCTTTGTGGCAATTCCCATGCATTTCAGTGTTTTTGGTTCAAGTTGTTAAAAGTTTCTTGACACAAAACTGAAATCGATAAAAAACCACATTCGCGAATTTTATAATTTCGTTTACCGAAAACGGAACGCTCCCGCATCGGGATTATTACACGAAGAAATGACAGATCTATACAAATGCCATGTTAATGTAATTGTAATCAAACAAAAAAACACAATATCTATTACAAAATCTTTTTTTCCTCACTAACTAATTAAAAAAACAATCTATGCTTATTTTTTTCTTTCTTTTCTTTTCCTTTTATATCGTTTATCATCTAGTTATCAAACAACAAAACTTTTTTCTTCTTTTGTTCATAGCATTGATTAAACACTCAAGATATCTCTACCAAACAAACCTCTCTTCAACCAATCCAAGAATAACAACACTCTGACTCTTAAACTAACAGATTGGGCAAAATAAGTACCTCTCCACAAATACATGGCAACTAAACCACCAACAAATGAATAACCTGGTAAATCGAAAACAGCAGAATTACCAATATAAGCTAATGAACCAAGATGTTTATATTGGAATGGTTTAGAGACAGCATCATCAATATCACCATCCAATATATCATTAACAGTTAAAGAAGCTGAGGATTTTGCCAATTTTGACAATTTTTTACCAAGATATTTACCTTGTTGATGAGCTCTTTGAGCAGTGGCTGGTAATGAAGTGATTCTTGAATCAATATCTTTTAACAAATCAGCAATTTGGTTGAAATATAAATGACCGGTTTGATGGACATCATATCTTGGAACTAATTCATTCAAGAAATTCAAAGCTTCAGAAGCTTGTGGATGTTTTTTGGAAATTTCTTCACCCAATTCAAAAATTTCTGAATAATTCAATTTCAAATGTTTAATATCTTCATCAGTTATAATTTCATTTGAGCTTATATGTTTTAAATGTTTATCAACAATATATTTACGAACATATTCGACAGTATGATCAGCCAAATCAGTTCTAACAGTAGAACAATCACCAATAGCATAAACATCACCTAATGGAGCTCCATAAACTCTTAAATGAGCATCAGTTTCAATGGCTCTTTTATTTCTTTGAGAGTTATGTAAAGTCGAAACAATTTCTTTAGCCAAAGGATTTTGAGCAACACCAGTGGACCATAAACATAAACCAAATGGTAAACTTTTCAATTCTTTTTCACCAGTTGTTTCATTAACTTGATTGAAAATAACTTCATCAGGTAAAACCTTAACAACTCTTGAATTTGTCAAGACGTCAATAGTTTCTTTTCTAAATCTTTCAGTTGCATATTCAGAGATTCTTTCATCATAAGTATTCAAGATATTTGATCTTGATTGGATAACATGAACACTTAATTCTTGTCTCAAGATATTTGGATAAGATTTTGGTAAATCTTCATTTAATAAATCATAAATTTCAGCAGCAAATTCAACACCAGTTGGACCACCACCACAAACAACAAAACTTAATAATTTTTTACGTTCTTCATCAGAAGTTGTTGGTAAACAAGCTTTTTCCAAAAGATAAGTAATTTTTTTCTTTATAGAAACGGCATCTTCAGCAGTTTTCAATTGATTACAATATTCTAAACCTTCAACACCATGAGTATTTGAATTTGAACCAACTGCAACAACTAATTTATCATAAGGAACATAAAATTCTTGCTTTTCACCAGTTAGTTTATCAAATTGGTGAACTTTGACCAATTTATCACTAAATTCCACTTTATCAGCAAAAGCTTCTAAATAATGACCATCAAGATTATTAACAATTTTTCTAATACTTTCAATTAAAGTTTTAACTTCCAAAGTACCAGTAGCGGCAGAAGGTAATAAAGGAGTGAATAAGAAATAATTTGTTGGAGAGATAACAGTAACATCATAATCACTATGACTTAAATTTTTCAAAACAGCAACAGAACCCCAACCGGAACCTAAAACAACCAATTTTGGTCTATAACGTAAATGTTCCTTTTCCGGGGTATCATAATCATCCAAATTATATTTCAAAACTGGTAAATTTTCAGGACCACCTTTATTTGGGTTTAATGCAAGGGTATTGATTTTGATGTTATCTGGAATTTCATCTGGATGATAGGTTGTTGCATCATAGATGAAAAATCCCAAGATCAAAGTTCCAATAGTTGTTGTACCTAAACCAACGGCAATGATTGAATATTTAACTAGTTTACCAAATCTTGTATCATTTAAAAAAGTTTTAGATTTTGGAATTGTTTTAGGGAATTCCAATTCAGAATATTTCAAATGAGTTGCAGATGAGAAAAATCTTGAAGATTTTGAAGTTTTAAGTAAACCATTTGAAGTGAATAATGGTTTAATTGAAGCATTCTTATATATTTGAGAATTTGCTTGGGTATGAATTGACTTAATGAATGTATTTGTATTCTTCTTCAATAACCCATTACTGACAGCAATCAAATGAGACAATTGTTTTTTGGGAACAAGCATCTTCAAGATTGATAACCAATGAGATCAACAACAGCAAATGCTAGAGAATATAGTGTAATGATTGATAAGTGTATTTAGTGAATTGAAAAGATGTTGTTGTTGATGTGTAAACTGAATTAAGGATACACAGCAATATTTTGGGCACCAGAATCAGACACAATTGACGGGGGAAGCAAAGAGACGGCCTTGAGCTCCAGCAAATCAAGAGAAGGGGAATTTGGGGGACTGGATGGGATGGAATTGAATTGTCTTGAAGACTTCCTTGATCTTTTGAATTAATGGCCGTGAATACCGTGAAGCAGATTGTTTGATGAGGTTGTAAAGGTTTTCGATGTGTAAATTTTTATAAATTCGAAGTTCGGATTTGTTCCGACATTTTTGGGAAGGGCCACGGGCGATGAGCTCAGGCCAGGGGCAGACAGTGAAATTAGGCGGGTAGGCAGAGGGAGCGTAGGCAGGGCGTGGGCAGGAGGGTCTGTCTAGAGAGAAGCCCACTAGGCAGGCCAATGGGCAGACAGGCCAATGAAGTAGAATGGAATAGCTTGAGTAGCTTGAATTAACGAGAGGCTATTGTCTATGGGCTGTCGCAGTCCGTGTGCCTATGTCGTTGTTTCGCCAGTCGAAGAAAAGGCTTTTGATCAGATCTGAAAGATCAAGTTGACACAAATTTCAACACGATCCAGGGCCTTCAAACGGTGCAAAAGAGAGAGGAAGAAAGAAGAGCATAATCAGATGATGAATGGCGAGTAGATGTATCTAAATCAGCTTTATCGTGCTAAAACAACTCTTTCTCTTCGTCTCTTAATCTCATCTTCTCTCTTTCTTTCAGACGTACAACCATGTACAATCAAGCCTGTACACCCAGTAATGGAGCTCTGTAATCCAGCGACCAATTGGAAAAAGATTTCAAGATTGTAACCAGTCATGGAATACAACTTGAGTAGCTAGGTTGGATTCAAGGTTGACGAATGATAGCTCTCATCCAAAAGGTTGTCGTTTATGAAATCGGTGATGTTTTGATCAATTCCTTCTGAATTTTTGTTTAGTTCAAGGTTTGAATCTAAATATTTAGACATGCGAAACGACTCCCAATAAGGAAAGTGCTCTCTGAATACGGTAGTTTGACCGTCATTTTTATGCCAATTTTCGGTAGTGTACATACCAAACTAGCTACATCAGGCAATCCGCTAAATTTACAAATCAGAACTCGTCCTTGTTAGCTCAGTTGGTAGAGCGTTCGGCTTTTACAGTCAAACTAGGGAAAAACCATTTCTTAGCGGAAGTTAACCGAAATGTCGGGGGTTCGAGCCCCCCATGAGGAGTTCTATTTTTTTGCCATTTTTTTTAGACCCGCGAGACGCTTTTTCCAGTGTTTTTTTGAATAAATTAAGAAATATACTATACTTCTTTCGTCTGTAGTTATATCTACTCCAAAATTCCATCTATTAGCTGTTTTATGGCAATTAATGATGAAAAATTTCATGGAAATCAAATTTTATGTGTTCGCGAAATTCGGTGATTGTTGATTTTTTGAATTTTGACCAAAAAACAGCCAAAACAAAATATGTGATTGTTTATGTTTCACACGATGAACGCCTTGCGAAATGGGCCAATTACCTTACTGGCATTCTGTTGAACTATCTGCTGGTGCAAGACCCATACTACGGGAAAAAGAGGTTGACGTTTTGGTGGAAAATTCAATTGGGCTATATCAAGGGAAATCAAAAATATTGAATAGACAAAATGGTCGTATTTATATGACATCTCAAAGATTAATTTACATTGATAATGAAGATTCCAAGAAATATTCTGTCGCTATTGAACTTGCAGATATTGCTAATATTGATTATACTCCAAAGTTTCTAAAATCGTCTGCAAAGATTACAATATTCTTTAAAAAATTAAAGAAACAGAAAGCAAAGAAAATTACAAATCAATCTATAAGAACAACTACATGGATTTGTCCCATTTGTACATTTCCCAATAGTGTTCAAACAAATATCAATCCTAACAATACAGAATATTTACCAGTTTGTGAAACTTGTGGTATAAAATCAACAAGTGAAATCATACAAGATGCATTAAATTCCAGCAAATTGAAAGAACCTACAACACCACATAAACCATTAGCACCAAAGCAAATAGCATGTCCAACCTGTACATTTTTAAACCATCCATCCTTAAGGAACTGTGAACTATGTGGAACAAATTTACCTTCAAATCAAGAAAATGATGATGAAGTTTCAAATGTTGATGAATTACAATTATTTGATGATAGAATTGAAATAAGGACTGAATCAAATGATGGGCTAGAAGAATCAAAATCACCATTCATTAAATTAAGTTTCCATAAATCTGGTGATAAATTTTTCCATAATAAATTGAATGAAAATTTAGAGAAATTTAATTGGGATCTTGTATTAAATTCAGGAAATGTTAATAAAGATTCTACAAAAGTGTTGAATAATGACAATCAGGATATAATCCAACCCCAAAGTAGTGGATCTACATTAGGGTTTGGAATTCATAGTCTTGCCAAACAACAAGAGTTGAAAACTTTTAAAAATGAACAAATTATAAATTCATCATTAGATGATTTACAGGCTTTATTGAATAAGGCAAATGAAATTTTAGAATTAACCGAATCATTCAAGAAATTATCAAATACAGATAATAACTTACATCAACGATCGCTAACTACAATTAATCAAGTTACAAAAGATTTATTATATGATTCAAATAATGAATCTCAAAAAAAATTATATTTACAAGAGATTTCAAGACAATTGTCTGATTTTTTAATTAATGATTCAGTTTTAGAACAACAAGGTGGTATTGTTACATTATTAGATCTTTATGCATTATTTAATAGAGGAAGAATTGGTATAAATTTGATATCACCTGAAGAATTATTTAAAAGTTGTGAGTTTTTCAAAAGTTTAAAATTACCTTTAATTTTGAAAAGAATCAATAATGTATTAGTTGTTCAAGACTTAAAATTTGGGTTTGAAGATGGTAAATTAATTGAAGACATTAAAATTTTTATCAAAAATTTTGGAGATGAAGATCAATTTGATTTTAAATTTGCAAATATCTTGAAAATCAGTGATGCTTTCAATTGGTCCATTACAATTACGGAGGAAGTTTTGAAAATTGGTTTAAACCTTGGGGAATTAGTTGTTGATCAACAAATTTCTGGTAAATTTTATTATTTGAACGAATTTAAACAATTGGATTCATTCAATGAAAATAGGTATGAAGAAACCGAAATTCAAGCCAATATTGATGATGATGGTTCTAATAATGATCAATTGATTGAAAAAAGTGATAATAAAGCATCAAATACATTCATCTTCCCAGAAGCACCAAACCTTCAACCATACCCAGAGGCATCAACTCAAAGCATTGGACAGAACGATTCTGTAAAGTCAAGTACAAACCATAAATCGAAATCATTGCTTCAATTAGAGGGACTACAATTCTAGTATAAACTAATCATAAACCTTGTTGAACCCCAAATATATAATAAAATGCATATTTTTCATATCCCAAATATATTAACACAACCGTTAATACTGCCTTGATCTCATGAATTATTTATATTATTCAAATTAACACTTGAAGATGATGTAGTACTAACTATTCTTGGTAAATCTTGGATTTGTTGAATAACAAATTCTTTCTCTTCATTGAAATTTGGATCATCTTTTTTATCATTAAAATTAAAATTTTCAAGAAATATCAACAGTTTATCTCTATTTTTAATCAATATATCAGATATAGCTTTTGTCTTTTTAGGATTGGCAACAAACACTTTGAAAACATTAAAACTTTCCAATTGTAAATTTTTGGATTTATCACTTAATGAAATCATTATTAATTTTAAATTTTCAGGATTATTAACATATTCCATCATGAATTTATTATTTTGTCTTGTTAAAATCAACTGAGATAGTAATTTTATTGATTGTCTTCTTGTTACATAGTTATTTGAACTTATTAATTTGTTGATATGAATGATAAAATCAGTTGAAAATGAATTAAACCATTCGGAAACCAATTTTTTATGAATTGTGAAAAGATCATTCAAAGTTTGGAAAGAATCAGTCATATTTTCAAAAGTACCTCTTTGACTAAATTCAAAATATTTCCAAACAATTGGTTCATATAGTATAATTTTTGTTAATGTTTCAATTTTTAAACAATGTCTTAATATTGAACCTGTAATTAAACAAATTTCTGGGATCTCAGGACCTTTTAGTAAAAGATTCAATATTTTAGGTTTACTTATTAGATAATCCACTGTTGGAGATCTATTACCAATTTGACGCCGTAGTAATGTTGTAAATAAAGTGGATACATCTTTTCTTGAATCAAATTCCAAATGTTGCAAGTTTAAAACCAGGTAGTATAAAAGATCCGTTTCATATACTTCTTGTGCCAATTGAGCAATCTGGTCAGGCTGAGGATCATTATCTTCATCACCGTGTAGTATGATTTTGATTTGAGTCAAATAACGAGCAATTTCATCTTGAATCTTTCGTTTATCACTAGTTGTTGTGTCAATTTTGACAACTTGTTCGTTTAAAGCCCTGACCAAGTCAGGAGGAGTCTTGGGGTTTCTCTTGAATAGGAATGCCATTGTGAACTCAACAGTACCAGATTATAAAGTCCACACCAGCACCAGCCTTTTGCAATTACTCTTGATTCGATTTCAGCCCGAATCAAAAGTTTTTGTGGTTTCAATTCAAAACATGAAAACTCTTCGCGAATCGTGTTTTTTGCGCTTTTGGAAAATGAAAACAAGAATTCGCGAATCTATAAGCAAAAAATTGGTTAAAATTTCTACAATTTTGACTTATTTCATTTTACTTTCATTTTACTTTCATTTTAATCTCATTTTAATCTCATTTATTTCATTTTACTCTATAAAACTAACCCCCAAAACATCCCTCATGACAAATCAGCAACAACACGACTCCAGTTCTTGTATTCCTCATCACCATATTGAATCTTTGCAATCCATTGAGCAACATCATTAGTCAATTGACCAAATTGTTCACCTGGCAATAATGGAACTTGGATATCTTCACCTTCGAACCCGATGGCCTTGATTGGAGAAACAACAGCTGCGGTACCTGAACCGAAAGCCTCCACCAATTCACCTTTAGCAGCTCTATCTCTAATTTCATAAATAGAATAATAACGTTCAGAAACAGCCCATTCATTTGGATCTAATCTTTCTCTAGCCAATTCCAAAATGGAATCTCTAGTGACACCTTCCAAAATAGTACCATCTAATGGAGCAGTGACCAATTCTTTTTTACCAGTGGTGGAATCTTTGAAAACAAAGAAAACATTCATGGTACCAACTTCAGTAACATATTTCTCTTCACCAAATAGCCATAGATTTTGTTGATAACCTCTTGAAGCAGCCTCTAATTGTGGTTTAATACATGGGGCATAATTAGCCCCCAATTTCTTATCACCGACACCACCTGGCCATGCTCTAACAGCATAATCAGTAGCTTCCAATTTAACAGCTTTGAACCCAGTAGAATAATAAGGCCCCACTGGTGAAGTAATGACGAATAATAGAGCATCTGATGGAATACCAACACCTAAACCTGCAGTGGTACCGATTAAAGTAGGTCTGATATATAATGAATAACCTTTATCCTTTGGAACTAAATGTTTATCTATTTTAATCAATTCTCCAATAGCTTTAATCAATTCTTCCGAGTCAAAAGTTGGTAAGACAATTCTATCAGCAGATTTATTCATTCTAACCATATTCTTATCAGGTCTAAACATTCTAATTTGGTCATTTGAATCTCTATAAGCTTTTAAACCTTCAAATAATTCAAAAGCATAATGGAAAACACATGAAGAAGGGTCCATTTGGAAAGGTCCATAAGGAACAATTTCTGGAGCATCCCAACCTTTTTCATTATTCCATTTAACTGTCAACATATGATCAGTAAAAGTTTGACCAAATACTAATTTATCATTTGGTAAAGGAGTTTTAGGATTTGGGTTTTTGGTAACTTTCAATTTTGAAGCATCTAACTTAGCTAGATTTGCAGCCTTTGAGCTGGTGTGTAGTGCAGATGAAGACATCTTTAGCAGTGATTTGTTGAAAAAGGATTTCATCTAGGAGAGGAAATTCCAATACTATTTTATACAATTTGTTATGGTACTCCACTTGCAAGTTGATTGATCGAAATCTATGACTCGAATTTTTTTTTTTCAGCTTTTTTTCTTTTTGGGCCGTGAACTGGGAAATTCGTAGCGCTGGCAAGCCTGAACCCGGTAAATGGCGGCAAATGGTGGGAGGCTAGGCAGGGCCAGCCCAGAGAATATGAGAGCTAGGCAGAGATCTAGGCAGAGATCTAGGCAGGGAGTTTAGGCAGGGAGTTTAGGCAGAGACAGCCTAGGCGAAGCGCTACCGGTGGGCAAGATCGCCGACGTCGGATCAATTTACAAAACGCATTCGCGATCGAGATTCCAAGCTTTAAGCAGCCCCGAGTATTAATCACAATATTAATGAAAACATCACCAATTGAAACCACCAAATTCATCGATAATGTCACAATTAAATGCTCAAACACTAGCCATTGTTGCCGGGAAGAAGCTTCTAAGGAAGCAGATCATGTCCAAATTGAGCTCTTTACCTAAAAATGTCATACAGGCACAATCACTTGAATCATTCAATATACTGAAAAATACCAAAATATTCAAGGAAGCCAAATCAATTGGTGTGTTTATGAGTATGGATACTGAAATCAAAACTTCTTATATTTTGAAAGAAGCCTTTGATTGTGGCAAAGATGTATATCTTCCTCGGATAGAGACTCAATCACAAGATCAGATAACATTATACAAAAATGGACCACACTATGTAATGTTTTACCAAATGGATAACTATAACAGTTGTATAAATCTTCCTCAAGTTGGTAAATATAAGCTACAAGAACCATCGGGTGGGGTTTGCTTATTGAACGATCATCCATATGGTGATAAAGGTTTAGATTTATTAATCATGCCAGGTGTTGCATTCACTAGTGATTTGAATAGATTGGGACATGGTGGTGGGTTTTACGATGATTTCCTGAAAAGATACAAGGATACGTATGGCAAACATCCGTTCTTATTAGGAATTGGACTAGGTGATCAATTAGTTGATGAAATCCCAACAGATATTCATGATGAAAAATTAGATGGGTTGATTATAAGGGATAAACTCTACGGTAATGATTCACTATAAATATTGTTTTTCTGCTATATAAATAATATCATCGTTCATTTGAATAAACCAGTTCTTTTTTCAAATGTTCCTGAGCCTTTAACTAATAATTTCCCATCTAGTGTTTCAATTCTACCATCCACTTTCTCCCCATCATCTTTACATCTAACAACAAGGAAACTATTAGCAACGGTTGGGAATTTGTATTGTAATTCAATGTTTTTAGTTTTGATTTTATCAGGAAAATAATTCTCCAAAGGATCTAATCCAAAGCTAAAGGTTGAAGTTCTTTTCAAAATTTCATCCAATATCGTGGCCAATATACCACCATGCACTAAGAAGGGATATCCACAAAGCTTCTCACCAACATGGTATATTGAAACTGATTCCTTTTTAGACTTGTTGAAAAATAAAATCGGTTTAATAGCAAACCCACCAGGAGTTGATAATGTTCCACTAGTTATTAATTGATTTAAGGTATTTGAATCAACATAGTTCCAAGCTCTAACAGGTTCATAGTTTGGGTCTGCACACAGCTCTTTGTAAATTGGTAATTTCTCCAACTCTTTCTCCAAGCTTGCTTTAAACTCTTCAGCTTCAGGCGTATTTGGTTTTGGTAGTTTTTCACTGATTAAGAATTTAGCAATTGAGCTGATTGGTAAATACTGAGCAGTGGCAACCCCAAGGATCAATGCAGTAATATAAAATGGGATATTTGACGAATATTTCTTACCATCATTCTTATTGTTATTATCATTACCTTTTCCACTTTCCCCAGGCGTAATCACATTTGGATTGATTGAGGCATTTGTTGAGTTGAAACGCACAGATTTCGAGCCAATTCTTCTAAACAAAGCACCAGAACAGCCACCACTAATCTTTAAACTCTTCACACTTCTTAAAAACATCTTTTTTATCCCTTTTCTACCCTTTGAAATTGTATTTGAATCTCAGTTTTCCCATTAAAACCACTTTGAATTTTGATCATTTGCAAATTCGCGAATTTGACCCACAAATCGCGAAAACGAAAAATTTCGTGGCCGTAGCGAATATTATTTTTTTTTCCGAAAACTCATCGAATCGAATCGATATAGAAAATTTCACTTTAATCAAATTCAATCTAAAACAATCCAATTCATATATCTACAAAATGTCTGTGCCCAATATTGAAATCCTCACCATCAATGATAAGTCTCCAGAAGAAATTTCAACAGAACCAGTGGTTCCTCATGAACGTCAAATCGTTGATAATGTCATCAAATTATGGAAAGAAGATTCTGCAAATGAAGATCTAGGTGTCTCAAAATTACATGCTTTAGTTAAAGAAAACAATCCAAATTGGTCTTTAAGTGAAAAAAGATTGAAAACAGTTTTGAAAAGCTTCAATTTATTAAACAGTGCTCAACAATTCACTTATGCCAATGAAATCACATCTAAAGAAACTCCGAATTTAACACTTCCCAAAAATGTTCGTTTACAATTCACTAAGAATAGAGGGAAAGGTCTTTATTCAACAAACTCTTTGAAAGAAGGTGAATTAATTTGGGAAGAGAAAACTCCACTATTTTTCATTCCACCATTGGATAGATTAAATATCATTGCAAACTCAAAAGCTTGTACTTATTGTGGTTCTTTAATATCTACAAACAATTCTTCAAGATCTGTTTTGAAAGGTTTGGACTGTAATGTTTGTAAAGATGTTTGGTGTTCACAATTTTGTAAAAAGACTGACAAGATTCATCAGTTATTAAAACATAATGTTTATCATGATGATACAACCAAGAAATCAAGTAAAAAGCAAATAATATCTTCAAATTGGATCAAATATGAAACTTTTTGTCATGATAACAAATGGAATGCTGCTTTTGCCGTGGGATTAATTCATGCTTATTGTATAAATGATAAATCAGGTGTGCTTTCAAAACAATTTGATGCAATGGCTAAAGTTAGACAAGATATTAGATATAAGGCTATTGATTCTTCAGGTATTGGGGCAAGTTTTGATAATAGTAATAATGGCGGTGGTGCTCTTTTCGTTAAAGAACAACAAGTGTCATTATGGAAACAAGGTCATGAAATGTTTAATTCTATTTTCCCATTAAATCAAGTTTCATATGAAGAATATCTAACTTTTTTGGGTACTTATAACATCAATAACATTGATAGTTCTTTGTTCTTGATCCAATCACACTTAAACCATAATTGTGATCCAAATGTCCGTGTTGTGTTTGGTGATAAGAAAACGGATGGTATTAAAGTTTATGCTAAAAGAGAAATAAGGGCAAATGAAGAATTAACGACAAGTTATGTTAATCCTTCACATTCATTAAACCAAAGATTAAGAGAACTAAGGGTCAATTGGGGGTTCATTTGTAATTGTAACAAGTGTAAAGCAGATGCTAAATCGATCCAGAGAAAAAAATCCAATGAAACTGCTTCATCAAATACCAAAATGGAGATTAAAAAAATGTTGGTTGAAAACCATGATGGTAAGGAATTTGAAATTGAATCTCCAAATGATCTTGAAGCAAATACTGGTGATAGGTCAAGAAGAAAATCCGTTAGATTTGATGAAAAAGTCATTGCAGTTAATAATAATGAGAAATGATATGACTAGCCATGTGTATTTTAATTTTTTGTCTCTTGTTCTACTATTTAGTTCAATCTCAAATTATAATACATCATCATTTTTTTTATTATAGTGTATATAATCAAAAGTAGAACAAACAGCTCAAAATATAAGGTAAAAAATTAGAATGGAAAAACGGACAGACTCCAGTATATCATTATAACACAAACAAACACCCATGATCATCATCAGTAAAAAAAAGAGAAAAAATCAAAAAGTTTCTTCATACTTTTTGTTTTTTGTTTATATGATCATTTTCATTAGGACTAACAGAATTTGAAATTGAACCTCCATGAGAAACATTTGGATCAACTTGAGCTTGAGGAGGTGGTGGTGGTACTGAACCTTGCTGTTGATATAATAATGGAACTCTTTTACTTAAATATTTCTGCAACATTGAATACAAATCATTCTTTGTAAAAGGTTTGGCCAATATATCACTCATTCCGTGTCGTAAATAAGTAACTAAATCATTGGTATCAATATTACCAGTCATTGCAATGATTGGAGTTTCATTATCAAAGTTTCTAACAATTGAGGTTGCAGTGGCACCATCTAAATTAGGCATCACGATATCCATCAGCACAATATCATATCTTGAAGTTTCTAATGCCGATATTGCTGTTAACCCATCAGTAACAACTTCCACTGTACATCCATATTTAACCAAAAATTTCTGACACAATTGAATACAGACATTATCATCCTCCACTAATAAAACATGGAATCCAGGTTTCAAAGGAGATTGTAATTGTTGAGATTCTGGTCTTGAATCCTGTGCTTGAGGTTGTGGGGGTTGAGGTTGTGCAGGCAAAGGCTGTTGGTTTGGTTGAGGAGGTAGTTGTTGTAAGCCTTGTGGGGATCCTTGTGAGTTTGAAGAACGATGTAATGAAGGTTGATGAGCTTGTTGTGGTTGTGGTTGTTGAATCATCATTTGAACTTTTGGTTGTTGTGGTTGTGGTTGTGGAGCTTGCTGTTGAATCATTGGTGAATCTATTGGAGGCAAGTCTAATTGAGGTAATTTAATACCGTTAGAAGCAAGACAATTGACCAGTGTATTTATACTTCTAAAATAACGATCATTTGTGTTTTTCAATGTTATTATAGATTCAATCACATTAGTGTATTTAGAATTCATCACTTTCAATTCATCAAACAATATTTTTTGGTCGTGAGTTAATTTAGAAACTGTATCTTCTAATTTTATTATGGTTTCTTGAGCTGTATCTTCATTTGATCTCTTTTGTGCTGGACCTTTTCTTTTAATAGTTTCTAAAGCTTCACGATCATGTCTTCTAAAATCAGGATGTTTAAACTCCCAAGCACCTTCTCCATATTCATTCAATTGTTTTTCTTCGTTGGATAATTTGACTTTATGGAAATCATATTTATTCAATTGACGAACAAAACTTGCAAAATTAGAATGTTTAAAATGTTTTGGTAAGATGACTTTTGTAAATTCATTAGTATCCAGCACAACAAATGAATCACCTTTTGAAGTCCACCTCACAATTTGATCATATGAGTTGTCTTCAAGCATCAAAAACAGTTTTTTAACGAAATCAGTAGATCCAGATGTTGTTGATGAAGCATTTGTTAAAGGAATCCCCAATGAAGCATTCAAACTCATGTTCCCAGAACCATTATTATTCAGACCTTCAGGCTCAGCAGAAGCACTCATCGCAAACCCGTCTTCAGATTTCACTTTTGGAGCCATTTTTTTGTGTTCTTTTAAGTCTTCTTTGTTGTGTTATTCTCTAATTAATATGAAACAGTGAGCAACAGCAGTATAGTAGTAATGAAATAATTTCCTTATTATATGAGTCCCACTAAAAGCATAATCCAGTGGTTAATGTTCTCTAATTTGGAAAACGAAGCTACTTTTAATATGATCACCAGCTACTCAACAACAAATTTGGTTGGTTTTAATGATGAATGTAATTAATCCCCAGTTGAATCAGGCTATGATTGATGCGACTTGTAGTACAAATCAGACAAGAGTGTAGTATAAGGTGCTCTTTGAATATTCCTCAGCAAGTGCCCGATATAGCTCTTGTAGAAGTGTTCCTCTGTGATTGATAATTGATGTTATAATTTGCAACTAGTGACACTTTCTTCAATCGTCTTCTTTTCTTGTCTCATTCTGAAATGTTCGTTTTTTTTTTGTTTTTAATTTTAGGTATTGTTCTGAAAAAAACTTCGCCTTTTTTTCGCTACGGCCAGTCCAAAAATTCGCGGGAAAGCGCAATTTGGCAGTAAAAAAAACCGCAAAACTTTGGCGCTTTTAGTTTATGCCGTTTTGGGTTGATAGTATAAAAATATCAATATAAGTTCAAAGTTAATGATATTATCATATACTTATAGTTTAAACCAATTTAGCCATTGGTATACACTCGCTCTAGCTACCCACTTTACTGCTAAAAACTTCCAAGGATCACGGGCTTTGGAAAGTCTTAGCCTCCAGAAACTCTACTAGTACAACTGCAACAAAAGCTTAACTGAAATGTAAATATATTTATAATTAAACCATCATAACACCTAGCAACTAAAATCTATAATAAAATGGAACATTAACACAATATTGCTCACTCATAATTGTAAATACCTTTAAGTTTACTCTAATATGTGAAAATAATTGTACAAAAGAATCTCGGTCACATAGACCTCAAATAAAAAAAAATGATTGACAGAAGGGAAAAGTCTAGTAAATAAAACAAGAATAGCAGAAACACCATGCTTCTTAACCTCAATAAAAAAAACAATGTTTAAAGTCAAATATGTCTAAAAAAAGTACTAATAATAATAATGATAATGAAATGCCAAATAATAATTTTCTTCTCTTCTCTTCATCTTTATAACCACCATCACAGATCAAATTGGCCATTAACAAATTGATCATCCATCTCATGATCACCATCGTTATCAACAAAGTTATCTTCATTTGGTTCTTCTTCATCTTCAATAACATCTTCAGTAGGTGGTAAATGTGGATTACCAGGAATAAATGAACCAAATTCACGGAAACTAGCTTGTTGAGCTCTTTTAGTATGGAAATCTTCCATTGTGGATTCATCAACAAATGTAAAACCTTTAAAATTAGCTTGAACTCCTGGACTTAATGGTGTTGATGCTAAATGGAATTGTTTATTAATTAATGATGCACTTGTATTAGTGAATTCTGGATCGAAATTTGATGTATCAGTTTCTGATGATAAATGTGGTTTGAAAGGAGGTGGTATCTTCTTTTGCTTTAAAGCTTCCCAATCAACATCTTGGAAAAATGGATGAGCTTTTAATTCACGTGCATCATTTTGTGAACCTAATCTATGTCTTGGATTTCTATTTAATAATCCTTTAACAAATGAACGACCTTCTGGACTTAAAACTTCTTTTGGGAAACGAACTTTACCAAATGCAATGTTTTTATACATTTGTTGAGTATTTTCAGCATAAAATGGAGACCAACCACAACACATTTCAAAAATTAAAACACCTAATGACCAAAAATCAACCATTTTAGTATATCCAGCTTCATCTAATAAAACTTCTGGAGCTAAATATTCAGTGGTACCACAAAATGTATTTGTTGTGTCACCTGTTGATAAATCAGCTTTTGATAATCCAAAATCACATAATGCAATATGACCATTAGCATCCAACAAAATGTTTTCAGGTTTTAAATCTCTGTAAACAATACCATTGTCATGTAAATGTTCTAGTGAAAGAACCAATTCTGCAATGTAAAATCTAGCACGTTCCTCACTAAATCTTCCTTCTTTTTGTAAATGCCAAAATAATTCACCACCACTCATATAATCAGTAACAAGATATAAATCAGTTGGAGTTTGAAATGAAAATTTTAATCCCACAATGAATGGAGATGAAGCACCAGCAGTTCTAACAAGAATATTACGTTCACCAATAGTATGAGCAATTTCCTTTTTACGAACAATAACTTTTTTAGACAACACCTTCATAGCATAGATACGATCAGTATCTAATTTTCTAACTTGGAAAACTTGTCCAAATGTACCTTTACCCAACAATCTCAACATTTCAAAATCTTCAGGTCCATAATGTCTTTTTCTTGTTATTGAATAATCCCAACTAACTTTGATTTCACCTTCAATATTTTCACCATCAACTCTTGAATTTAATTTAAACCATTCAATGTTTTTATGATTTGATAGTGTAGTTGGTCTTAATCTAACATGACCTAAAAATGTTTCATCAGAATCATAGACTGAAATGTCCAATTCTGAATGAGATCCAATAACATCAAATATTGTTTCATGATGCCATACGGGATTTGAACTATTTGGTAATGATGATTCATCTTGATTTGAATGAGTTGTATTATTATTAGAGTTGTTTGGTTGTTGATATCTTTGTCTATTTAAAAATTGGGATGATGATTGTCTTGAATATAATGGTCTTTTACTAGTAGCTGCAGGAATTGATTTATCTCTTTTATGGCCTCCATTTGAGTTCCCCACTGAAGCTGGGTGATTATCAACACTTTCAGGTCCATGTGTAATAAATTCTGAGCTTTCAAAAGTACAAACAACATATGGTTGAGCATTTGCATTTTTAGTGAGCAGATTTTTAGCTTCAATTATGGTAACTTTTAATTTACCTCTTGGAATATTTGAATTTGGAGTTCCATCATCTGAAATGGTGGAAGGTAAAATTGGCTTAGGATTTGCTGATGATTCATTATTTCCTGCACTTGTTGAACTTGGAGAATTTGGAGCTGGACTAATGGTGGATCCTGTGGAATTGCCATTTGATCTTATTTGGTTGTTATTTGTAGCCACTTGAGACAACACTTCTTGTGGTTGATATTGATTAGGTTTTGCTGTAGTTCCATAAACAAATGAGTTATCACTCAATGCAGTTGTAGGATTAGAAGTTTGTTGGAAATTTGGGAATAAAGTTCCTGATGAGGACATTGAAGGTTGTTGATGATGAAGTTTCTCATCTTGTTGCGTTTGGTCCACAGGTGGAGTTGGACTATTCAAAGATTGACTTCTTTCATTGGATACTGCAGCATTCTTGTGAAACCCACCAAATCCAAACAATGACTTTGCAAAATCAACCATCTCTATGTTGATTATATATTGATAAGGGAGCAAAAAACAAACAAAACTTTCTTTGATACTAGGACTAAACTAATAAATTGACTTGATAATAGGTTTCGACTAGCTTTTTAATGAATTCTATCAACACTAAGTTAGTAACAGTTCTTTTTTTGCTTGAAATTGAGCCCATAAAAGAGAGATGATTTCTAATACATAAGCGAATCGCCTATGATGGCACTAAATCATATAGTAGAGCTTGCAAAGTGATACTCACATACTCAGAGGCACAGAATGAGAAGGAGTGGTAGTTCAGAGCTGAAACAACGTGTTCTTTAATAGTGAACTTGTGCTGAAAGTCTGTGGAATGGGTTTGGGATTGGTTGTAGTGTAATGGAGTGCAAATGGGTTATCGCTGATTGTTTTTTTAATGGCCAATTATTTTTTTTTTTTTAATTTTCTTGTAAAAAAGAAAACTGAAAAAAAAAAGGAAAAACAGCTGCCAAAACGGCTAAAGTTACCCTGAGCCTGATGTGAATATGAGCGGAAATAGCTTGAAACAAGCTATAAATTGAATTAATTGAGTGGTGAATCGTTCTAATTGGCTATGAGTTTGATATATCTCTACTTTTAAGCGTCTTAAAAGATTGGTTTCATGATGTTTTAAGGCCCGTTTTGAAGTTCTCATCAATCTTTCCACTTACAAATATCTCCGAATCTACTGGCCCTTTAATAAAATTATCATCCATTGATGAAGAAATAAATAGAGTATGTCGATAAATAAATAGAGTGTAATAAATAAGTTAATAAATAGAATAAATAGTTCATGGCTTCAAGGCAACCTCACCAAGTCTTTCCTTGGCCTCTGACAATGGTCTTCTTCTAACAGCTTCCCAAAGACCTTGCTTCTCCCCTTCATTGTACTCTTTATGTAACAATTGATTCTCTAATCCCCCACGGGCCTTGTAAGCATTGTTTTCACGGTCACCAATCGTATTACCAGCCCAATGGGTGATTCCACAAAGTAAACCAACTCCTAACCCAGTTCCAACTGATTTACCCAAGCTCTTGGTGAATGATCCTAAAACAGCACCAGCTAAAGCACCGGCTAAATAATCATTGATTGAATCATTTTGTTCTCTTAGATTAGAAATTGAGCAATAACTAAATTGATATGTAGTGACAACTGCAGTAATGGCACCCCACAATTTACCAGACTTTGTGAAAACAGCCATTGCACCTCTTCCATCTCTTGCCAATGAGTTCTGGGTGGCTGCAGTCAACGCACCAATGGCAAAAGAGTAATAAAATGCATTCTTGGTCAAAGTAGATGTTTCTAATGGGGTATATTTATGAGTGCTGAAAGCGATGAAAGGGTACTTGATAGGGGCCCTTTGGCTGGCTTCTGGAGTGATTGCTTGTTCCTCTTCAGCCATTCTTGTAATCACAGGAAAGAACAAAGAAGATTATGAGTTTTCCTTTGATTGTTACAATTTGAATTGTTGAAGGTTGTGTTTTTTTATTTGAAGCCCCTTGGAAAAATCAGAATCATTTTCGCGAATTTTACTCACCCGGTGATATATGGCAGAATACAAATTATATCAGAAGAGACTTTTTTATTCGAGTTAACTATACACTTTATCATTAATTGGTCTTTTAGCAGGAAGAGAGATTAGACCCTGGCCTTCTTTCAATTTAAATTGAACAACTTTCAACAATTCGTACAAGATTTTCAATGTTGGAGCTGAAACTTTCAATTCATCTGCAACAACTAATAAATTACCCAAGATGACTTCCAATTCAATTGGGTTCCCCTTTTTCACATCAACTCTCATTGAAGGTTCAAACCAATCACCATCATCACTGTGAACAACCAAATTTATCACATCTCCAGGTAATTCAACACCATCTGCCTTTGCAATTGAGATAACTTCCTTCATTGCAGGAATTGAAATAGCTTCCAACCCACCTGATAGTTCCAAACGACCAGTATCAACACCAGTCAATGCGGCGACTGTGTTTAATGAGGCATTATAGACCAATTTTCTATATCTATACCATTTAGCATCTGGGAAATAAGTACATGTGTTTTTATCATTCTTGTAAATAGAAATGAAATCTTTAGTGACAGCTTCTTGATGTTCTTTGGATAAATTTGGGTTTTCAAAATAACTAATCAATGTTTTGTCATTTTGAGTTTGAGTTATAACACCATGATGATTGTGTGATCCAATGTGTGAAACACCAGATATAACAACGTTTTGAGGATATTTTTTAATAAATGGTCTACCAATATCAAATCCATTTTGAATTAAAACAATAGTGGTCTTTTTTGGTGTGACAACAGGCTCAATCAGTTCTTCAATTTTTGTTATATCTGGAAGGTTCTTTGTTGTGACAATAACATAATCGTAAATATTGGAAGAACCATCCTGTTTAGCAGCTTCGACATTTGGATAAATGTTCTGTGGTTTCCAGCCTTTGATCTCACCATAATCACAAGAATTCAAATCCCAACCTGATTCAATAACTTTTGAGTAATCACGACGAACCACGACTGAGAGATTGGCCTTACCAACATAGTCTATACCATAGGCAACAATTGTACCGACACCACCAGTACCAATCAACAGAACATTGGATTTAGTCATTTTTTATTATATTAAGACTTAAGCTTCCAGCATAATAAATTAAGTATCCAGGGGGCACTTTTTGTATCTTTTATAAGAGCCATAACCACAGTGGAAGATCAAAACTTGACCAAATTGGTGTCGCGGAAGTTTTCGATTGTCTTACTCAAAACGGGCTTCAAGCGAAAAAGATAACAAACACAACGAATTATCACGACGAGGTACATATTTACTTTTACGTACAAGCTTTCAGCTTCCAAACCCCTTGGAAATCAAGAATAAATCATAAAAGTCAGCATTGAAGCCTATCTGTTGCAATCTTTTGTGCTCAAGATCTCGGAGATTGCTTGATATGGATCGTCCATGATAAGATAAGACGTTATGTGGAGGACTACAGTCATACAGCTTTTCATTCTATAATCAACGTCTATTAAAGTACCTTTGAAGATGTCTTTGCTCTGATACGGGAGCCATACTTGTAGAATAAATAAGGAATAGGTAACATTCCTAATGCAATAAACCCAATCAAACTGGACCCCCAATGCACACCCAAGTTATTAAATAACTGTTTTGAAAACAAGGGGAAACTAGCTGCAAATACCGATCTCAAAAAAGTATTTGCTGCAATAACTGAAGCTGAATATCTCGTATGGGCATCCACTAAGTAATTCAGACTTCCCTGGAAAATTGTAATGAATCCAGTACCGATTAACCAAATACCTATACAGGGAACAATCCAATGAATATCACTTGAAGATGTCCATCCAAATATGAAGATACCAGCTGGCATCATCCATGCTGTAAATATCATTAAAGAGAAGCTCTCTTCTGGTAGTGCAACACCATTGTTAGCTTCAAGTAATCTGGCATACCTTTTCGTTGCCAGCATTTGAAATGAACAACCAACTAAGACACCACCAAATAATGAAATATTAGGTAGAGTGGCCACTGTACCATACCATCCTCTTGAAATTGTGAAAGCCTCTGGCATAGTGGTAATGATTAAATAAAATATACCATAGACGTAACTGGCAAACAATGCAATAACGAAAACAATTGGTGTCACCAGCATTCTAAAAGGTCTTATAAAATGTACTTTAACTAACTCGTCCCATGTTAAGGTCCACTCATCATGCTTAGCATGAATTGACCAATTATTTGTGTTGATTCTCATCTGTTTGGCCATTTTGGCTAATAATAAAGGTTCATAAGTTTCTTCTGATATGAATTGACTCAACATGAATAAAGTACAACTTAACAACCCAGAAAAATATTGAGGAATTCTCCACGCACTATCTTTATCTTCACTATGCATTAACAATGAACTTATAGTTGGTCCAAAAGCTGGTCCAGTTGCAACAAAACACGCATATAATGCAAAGAAAGTTCCCCTTTGAGCAGGTTCCCAAATATCAGCTAAAACACCACCAGCAGAAACAATTGGTGCACCAGCGAAAAAACCTGCAAAGAACCGACAAATCATCATACCTGCTACATCATAAGTACTAGCAGCTGCAAAGGTGAAAATTGCTGAAATTAAGAAAGGAATTAAAACCCCTAGTTTCCTTCCATAAACTTCTGACAATGGTGCAAATACCATAGGTCCAAAAGCTATCCCGATAATATATAACGTTGTAGTCAACAATGCAACTTCCCTCTGAATACCAAATTCACCTTTAACAAGATCTGGGAATATGGATGTAGCCATGGTGGTTGAATTTAACTGAGCAGCAAATGTTATTAGACCATATATCACTGTATGTTTTAATTTTTTGTTATAGCTCCAATTTTTTGGTCTTAGCTTACTAGACTTGTCAAAATTTAAAACACCACAATCATCTAGCTGAAAATTTTCATTGAAGTTAACTAATCCATCGTTTGTAGACGCTTCTGATTCTTGTTCAGTTGCACTTAATGTCGTAGCCGTTGATTCTTCAGGTTTAGTAGTATTCGACATCTTTTGGATTGGATCTTTACCTTGTAGTGAGTAAAAATATTATCAATGCAAATAAAATTATACTGAATTAAATATCATCTCAGTCAGCTATAGATACATCTTAAAAGTAAAGAAATCCAACCATCAGATCGGCTTCTGAATTTTTGATTAAAAGTACTTTCCTCATACAAAGTAAAAATTTGCGGCCAGTTTCTATTTTCGGCGCTAAAGCCGGCCTTTGAGTTTCGCGACATTTGCGCTTCTTTACGCATCGCCGAAAAGGGAAATTTCAGATTGTACAAGTTTCCGCAACTTTTTTTTTGAATCTTATCAACAAAATCGGTCTTGATCAACTGTTGAAACAATCACAGAAACTGGTCTGAAAACTATCAAGATGGCGTTCGAAAAGATAGAAGGTGGTGTAGAACAGGGGGTCTTGTTTCTCGACTGTATTTAAGAGGGCAAGATCCTCTCATCTTTGACTCAACAGATGCAAACCAAACAATACAGTAACAATGACTGATATGAAAAAGACTATAGATACAAACACTGTCACAAGCATTTCTGGTGGTGAATTTGATGATGTGGATGTTGGATTAACCACCGTGATGTCTCCATCTGGGAAGCAAATTGTTATAAAAGCAAATGATGTTGATATGGCTATGGAGTTTGTCAAAGATCATGAGCACTTAGAGATGGACCCAGAATATGAAAAGAAAGTTTTGAGAAAAATTGATTGGTGGATCATTCCATTGATTTCAGCATTAATGTCATGTCAATTAATGGACAAAACCACAAATTCTTATGCCTCAATCATGGGATTAAGAACAGATTTGAATATGACAAGTTATCAATATTCTTGGGTTGGTAGTATTTTTTATTTCGGTTATTTGGTTTTTGAATATCCTGCAAATGTTGCTTTACAGAAATTACCATTATCAAAAACTGTTTCATCTGCTGTTATGATCTGGGGTGTCATATTAATGTGTCATGCTGCTTGTCATAGTGCAGGTCCCTTCTTGGTTTGTCGTTTCTTCTTGGGTGTCTTTGAAGGTGTTATGAATCCTGCTTATATCTTACTTACCTCACAATGGTGGAAAAAAAATGAACAATTTATGAGATCATGTATTTGGTTTGGTTTCCAAGGATTTGGTACATTAGTTGGTGCTGGTATAGCACATGGTTTGTACACTTATAGGGTTGGTGAGCATGCATTTGCCTCTTGGAGACTATTGTACATCATCACTGGAATTATCACTATCTTTTTAGGTGCTTTATCTTATATTCATATTCCGGATATTCCAATTAAAGCTTGGTTCTTAAATGACCTTGATAAAAAATATGTCGTTGAAAGAATTAGAGGTAATCAAATTGGATTTGGTAGTAAGCATTATAAAAAATATCAAGTTGTTGAGGCTTTTTTAGATCCAATCACTTACCTTTTCTTTGTTTATGGTATTAGTTATTCAATTGCCAATGCTTCATTCACAAATTTTGGTTCCATTTTACTAAATAATGATTTTGGATTCTCTACAGGTGATTCATTATTGATGAACATGCCTGGTGGTGGTATTGATATTGTGATTCCTCCGGTGGTTGCTTATCTGAACTATAAGCTGATGAAAAACAGAAGACTCTATAGTTGTGCTATAGTCAACGCAATTGTTGTCGTTGGTATGTGCTTATTCAATTTTACTGAGCATAAAGGCTCAAGATTGACTGGTTATTATAGTTTTTATGTTGCAACGGCTGTCATTTCAGGAATGATTTCAAATATTTCTTCAAATGTTGCAGGACATACAAAGAAAACTACAGTGAATACGGTGTTTTTGATTGGTTATTGTGTTGGTAATATCGTTGGGCCTCAGACTTTCAAAGGCAGTGAAGCACCTCACTATCCAACTGCAAAAGCAATTTTGCTAGCTGCTTTTGTTACTGGAACATTATGTATTATCGCGATGATTTGTATCTATACATTTAGAAATCATCAACGTGATAAAAAGCGTGCTGAATTGGGAGATAAATATGTCATTCCTGAGAATCTTGAATTCTCTGACTTGACAGATAAAGAGAATCCAGAATTTAGATATTCCTTATGATCATTTATAATACTTCTGGACTAGTTGAGCTGGACTTGCTGGTGTTTTTTCAATTGATTTATAGGTACTAAAGACGGTTTTCATAGGAGTGTATTTTGAATTTATATATAAGATTTCTATATAATAAGGTCAATGTTTGGACTTCAGCCTCTTGACTTGCGAAGAGAGACGTAGTTGCAGCAATAGAGATGATACTGAGCTCACCAGCCAACAACCTGGTCAATATTAGCATAGTAATATCATAGAGTCGAGGTAATCGCATTAAAAGAGCACATGGCTTTGTGTTGTACACATTTATAGTTATTATGGCGGTCGTGGTTCTTGACTAAAAGGTTGAGAGCCACACACAGTTGTGCTAATAGCTGGTATTTCTTTCCTTGTAGATCCGTTAATTCAAAGTATTTTATTCGAAGAAAATAAATAATAACGTGCAGACTGATCAAAGAGGTGTTGATCTCAGCTACCGATAAAGATATACACATCAGCATGGTACTACACTTAAAGATATCTACTTACACACAGCTATCACTTCATAAGGCTAAAGGCCAAAGGCATATGTACGATACATATCAGGAGACAGGCACAAATTGCGAATATACAGACAGAATTTCTAATGATTGCATCATCACCAACTGGTAAATATGTTCACAATAAAGTCGTCACAACTAACCAAGACTGGACCCTTTTCCACCATGATGGGCATCACGAGCTCAGGACTCGTTTGAGAAACTCTACGTCTACCCCTACAAAGCTAATCAGCTCTCATCAAGAATGCCTTTTACTTTGAACAGATTTGTGTAGAACTGACTCCGAAGCCACAGTTTCAAAACTCGCCTGAAAAAAAAACAGTCTACGGTATACGGATTAATTACAAATCATAAGAAAGGGCTACCAGCGTGCTGTCTTAATAACAATGGTGGATGCTTAAGAATATAAAAGCAACAGCTAATCCATCATGATGTGGTTTGCCTCAAAAGATATTGCAATAGATTAATATCAATACCAATATGGGGATTTTGAATTTGGTGTCAAAGCTGAAGAGTAAGCCTTCTTTGGAAAGCATACGTCAAGATCAAATATCAAGCTCTAGCTCTGCTGTTGCCAAGGACACAGTAATCAATGAAACCAATAGTAATGATGGCCATTCAAGCAAATCCAGATTAGAATCAAAGAAAGTCAACATCGATGATGATGTTGATGTTTATGAAGTTGACACTTCTTCAGATTATGAGGCCCTACCAGAAGAACTACCAGCAGATATTGCAGAATTGCCAAAAATCGTTAGAGAAGCTGTTACATTTGAAGATGATCCATCAACTCCAATCGTCACTTTTAGATTCTTTTTATTGTCTATCATTTTCATTGCCCCTGGTGCTTTCTTAGATACTATGAACAGTTATAGAACAACATCTGCTGCTTACTCTGTGTTTTTCGTTCAAATTGCCTCTCATTATACAGGTAAATGGCTAGCTAGAGTCCTTCCAAGCAAAGAGGTTAATCTAGGGTTCGTGAAGTTCAATCTAAACCCAGGTCCATGGTCCATTAAAGAAAATGTTTTAGTCACTTTAGCCGCTGCTTCAGGTGCTACAGGTAACCAAGGTACAACCTCTATTGCATTATCAGAGTTGTTTTATAACGATGTTACCCATCCAGCTGTGGCTATTTTCTTTATGTGGTGTATCAACTTGACAGGTTATGCCTACGCTGCTATTGCCAGAAATTTCTTACTTTATGATCCACAATTTGTCTGGCCTCAAGCTTTAATGCAAACTAATTTATTCAATTCAATGAAAAAAGCTGATTCAAATTCTAAAATTGGTTCAAAACAAGTTAGAGTTTTCTTCTTAGCTATTTTAGGTATGACTGTTTGGGAATTTTTCCCTGAATATATTTTCCCAATGACTAGTTCTTTAGCATTCTTATGTTGGGTCGCTCCAAGAAATCCTGTTGCTAATTTCATAGGTTCAGGTATGGGTGGAATGGGGTTCTTGAATATTTCACTAGATTGGTCAAATATCACTTCAAGTGTTATGTTATCACCTTATTGGACGATTTGTGTTCAGTTTATTGCTTTTGCATTCTGTTGTTGGATCTTGATCCCAGCTGCAAAATGGGGTAATCTATCAGAATTTAAAGCAGGATTAATGTCTAATAAATTATTCACATCAAGTGGTGAAAGTTATCCAACTTTAAAACTTATGATTCAAGAAGGTAAAAAGATTTATTTCAATGAAACAGCTTATGAGCATTATGGTCCTTTACATATGGGAGCTCAAAAATCTTGGACGATATTTTTTGACTATGCAGCTTATATCTCAGCTATTTCTTGGATTGCATTATTTGGTCGTGAAGATATTTTGAAAGCATGGAAAAAATTCAGAGAAAGATATTCACAAAAAAAGAACGATGATAAACAATATGTATCAATTAGTGAAACTTATACAGATAGATTGAACAAAATGCAATCTGCCTACAAAGATGTTCCATTATGGTGGTATGTTGTTTTATTCCTTATTACATTTGTTGTTTTGATTACAATTTTTGCAACAGGTAACATGTTTATTCCATGGTGGACTTATATTGTTGCATTGGCTTTTGGTGCAGTCATTGTTACTCCATTAGGTTATTTGTATGCTATCTCAAATTTCCAATTACCTATTGGTACTTTCAATGAATTATTATATGGTGTTATGATACAAGCTACAAGTGGTGGTCGTCATCCTGCAGGGGCAAGTTCATATGGTGCTATTGCAGGGGATGCTTGGTACAGAGCTCAATATATGTTACAAGATCAAAAAATTGGCCACTATATGCATCTTCCACCAAGAACTATTTTCTTCTCACAGATCTTCGGTCAAATGATTGGTGTTCCAGTGAATTATGGTGCTATGAGATGGATTTTGAATACAAAAAGAGAATACTTGGATGGTACTAAAGTCGATCCTTTACATCAATGGACTGGTCAAAGTTTACAATCTTATAATACCATGGCTGTCCAATATGTTTTGGTGGGTCCAGCTAGATTATTTTCCACATCATACACTAAGCCTATTCCATTTGGTTTCTTGTTTGGTGCTTTAGCTCCTGTTGTTATTTATGGCTTACACAAATTATTTCCAAGAGCAAGATTTAACTTATGGAACGTTACAGTTTTCAGTGCAACAGCAGCAAAATTTTACGGTAATTTATCAACAGGTTATCTATCACAATTCATAGTTGGTACTGTGTCAATGTTTTACTTTTTCAGATACAAACACAGATTTTGGAAAAGATACAACTATATTTTAGCTGCAGCCTTTGATACTGGTTATAATCTAGCTGTGTTACTGATTTTCATCTTCTTTAGTGCTGGTAAAATTGTTACTATGCCTAATTGGTGGGGAAATAATGCCGATTCTGTTGAGAGATGCTTTGCTTTGTGATTAATGATTGATGAAACGAGATATAATTTAATTTAATGAATAATTTTGATAGCTTTACACTGAATTGTAGATTTTCTTACATTACTGATACAGTCAGACAAATATCTTACCCCTTCGAATGAAGTACCAAGATTTAAGTATTGAAATTTGGCACCAACTTAAATGCTTATAATAGGTTTTACGCTTTCTGCCATTCTCTTCGTGCAAAGGCTGAACCATACAACAACAAAGCGGTTTCAGGACTATTGTCTTCCACGGAAAAAAAGTCAAGGATAGGTTTGTGACTTGTGAATATTGGGATTCTTTTAAAAGAATTTTGTCATTTATTAAGTTGGACTAAAATTCTGCGTATGTTGTGGATCTCTGACCTAAAAGTTCTGCTATGTCGAGCGCCTTGGAAATTACTAGTACTACTAATGTTTTGACCTTTTATCAATTCAAGCCAATATATTTGAATAATATTAATGAGAGTAATTCGTGATCAGCAGCCAAATTGAAGACAGCGACTGTTTACATTTCAGATTAGCATATTCAAATAATTATTATATATAATAGCAGCTTTATATTATTTGATATTTGGTATATTATTATATTCATGCGAATATTAAAATATTTAGTTTGGACGCTGTGTCAATATGTACAGCTAGCTTATAATTAGCTGTGCGTGATATATTATAATTTGAATATAAATAATACAATTAATTTAATAATTATTTATATTAATATTGTATATTTAATTATATTTATTTTATATTATTAATTATTATTATATATTAATTATGATCTGATCATCATAATATTATTGCAGAGCGCCTAATTAATTAGTTTATATATAAAATAATATTAAATATATATAATTAATGTACTAAAATAATAGGTTTCTCAGTTGGCTGATCGAGAAGGATATTATAAGGAAGCCTGAATTCCAACATAGCGAGAAGCCTACAATCCAAGCGGTTCGTGCGTAATTGCATTCCTCATCCAAATATTATTAGTTCATCAAATACATCAACTAAAAAAAAAAAATAATTGTCGATATAGCTATATAAAGTTTAAATATTGAATAATACTATATACCGGTCTGCAATATTTAAATTAACAATACATGGATGAATATTGTCTAATATAATAGATAATTTATCTTTAATTAATTAGTCGTACTTATCTTTTGGTTCTCTCTTGCGGGGTCTTAAACCATCCTCTTTGAATTTATCTTCAGGTATGATACGTGTTCTTAGTCCTGAATAAAACCAGTCAATCATAGTGATTGCATCATAAACTGGTAATCCTGTAGCTTTTTGAATTGCCTTTGAAGTTGGTGGCATTTGGGTACACTCTAAAACAAAAGCTCCAAATGAATCATCTTCTGATACCGCAGTCTCAGCCAGCTCAACCAGCTCTTTCTCCAATTCTTCATGAACATATGGGGTACCTTCAATACATAAATTTCTCAAATGCCCTCCATCTTTACAGCCAAACACTTTGACTCTTTTTCTCATTTCTGGAGTGACTCCAATTCCTTCAAAATGAGCTTCACCTAAAGTCTCACCATCAAAAGTTAAAATAGCAACTTTCTTCTTTGGGCTCAAGATTGATAAAACAAGTGGAACTTGAAGTAAACTGCTTGTAGCGATTGGAATATTAATTTTTTCAGCAAGACGGTGTTGTACTTGAGCTAGAAATCCACAAGACGTTATGATTCCAATTGCACCTCTTTTCTCCAAACTGTTACAGGCATCCACAAAAGCTTGAAGGAATTCCTCTGAGAACTTTCCAGAGGCCACAACGTTTGGCACAGTGGCATTTGGAACTGTTTGATGAATCACTGGGAAATGATAGGAAAGCTCATTTAAAGGGTCTCCTGGTGGACGATGAATATCTTCTGTATAATCTATTCCAAGGGCACCCAAAGGTGGCAATTGATCTCTTGGTGGATAAGTGGACATGGCTGAAGATTGAATCGTTGAGATCAAAACAAGCTAAAAAAGATAGTATTTCAGGCAGTATCAGCTTGTACTTATATACTTGATCCCCCACTATTTCCGCTTATCTCCATTTCGCGGATTTGTACCGATCGAGAATTTTGAACGAAAGCGAAAAGATAAGCGTGAAGTTACGCCAAAGTTACTGTTTCCATACACAACTCCATATCTCGACCAATGCTCGTGGATACAAGTTAAAACTTCCGAATGCTGCTGTTTTGTTGGAATGGTTTCTAGTTCGGGATCACAAAGAGACAATAATGAGCTTTGGTAGATTGAATTTTAGGGTTCAAAGACCTAAAGCTGATGATGGAGCTGGAACCAGCACTGTGGTACAAGCTGATAAAGAGGAAGCACCTTTAGCTAAAAGACAAAGAAAGACTGGAGGAAAACACCAGATGGCAGCTTGCTGTGCTTGTAAAAGGAAGAGGAAGAAATGTGATGGTAAATACCCAGTATGTTCTGGCTGTTTGCATTCTGGTTTAGAATGCACCATCTTTGACTTGACTACGAGTCGAACTATTCCTAGAAACTATATTCAACAGCTTGAAGAAAAAATTGCACTTTTAGACAAGGAACTCGATGTGTTTAGAGATATCACCAAATGTCAAACTGATAGTAATAATACTCCCACCAAAGAGGCTCCACAAGCGGAGAGAAAACAGAATTTAGAGTCTGACATTGGTTTCATAACACTTGGTGCTGCTGCTGAGTCTCATTTTATTGGACAGAGTAGTGCATTTTCTATAGCTAGAGCAATTACGGACTCAATAAACTATTATAACAAAGGTGATGCCCCAGACCATAAGAAAACTGCTCATAATCCGAGAGAGATGGTGCATCATAGTTTCACAAGCCCATCAATACATCAAGCACATGACTACCTGAATTTTTATGAGTCATCAGTACAGTGTCAGTATCCATTCCTTGATTGGTATCTTGTTTCACAATGGTTTTATGATGTCCAAGTTCATAATTCACAGGACCCCAAAAAATTATTCTTCATTTACATGATCTTTGCAATAGGCTCACAAATTCAATCAGCTTCTTCCAAAACAGAATATGGTACATCCAATATCTTAACTAGAAGTTATTACAATAAGGCATTTGAACATATCAATGATTTATTGAAGAATCCAACATTGGAAACTGTTCAAGTTTATCTTTTGCTTTCAGTTTTTTCACAGAATATGCCCGATGGAACATCAATATGGCAGACAACAGGTTTAGCAATTAGAACGGCAGTAACATTGGGTCTCCACAGAAAACCTTATAAATCAACAAGTGTGGATAATGTCGAGCTTGATAACAATCCCCATTTGAGTATCAGATCAAGGGTGTTCTGGAGTGCTTATAGTCTTGAAAGAATTAATGCTCTTGTGCTAGGTAGACCTTTTGGTATATCTGATATTGATATTGATGTTCCCATTCCATCCAATGACCCTGATATTCCAGTTGCTTGTCATGTCTTCAAGTTAAGAAGAATTCAATCCAGTATTTGTACGTTTGTTTATAAGCCTGTTCCATTGATGGATTCTCCTGATGAAATTGATTCAACAAGAGTCTCTATTGTTTTAGAGTTAAATGATTGGATGAACACATTCCCAGCCAAAGAATACCCTGTATCAAGATTTGAGACTTACAACTGGTGTTCAATCTCATACCATAATTCAATGCTTCTATTACTAAGACCTGTTGTCCTCGAAGTCTCAAAAAGCAAAACGGATACTTCACCAAGACTTATAGAATGGTTCAAGGCATTTACTCATTCAGCTTCTGCCATTTGCATGAACTACAAAGACTTACACGCAAAAGGAAAGCTCAATGCAACATGGCTCTCAATGCATTGTCTGTTCGTTTCTGGAATTTCCTTCCTATACTGCTTGTGGATTGACAATCAGATTAAAGTTCTTGAATGGAAAGGCCAAAGAGTTATCTATGATACTATCTCTTCTTGCTCAAGTATTCTCTATGTTCTTGCTGAAAGATGGCACTCTGCTGCTGTATTTAGAGATACATTTGAGCAGCTATCAAGTGCTGTTTTGCTTAAGTTAGAAGAACCTATTGATAGAAGATCATTTGCTGGTGTTTCAGAAAGCCCTTATAATATATCAGCATCTTCAAAATCGACTAAAGGCGCATTAGACTACCACACAATTGGGATTGATCAGTACTTGAGCTATGAAAGTCAATCATGGAAAACTGATAGTGATAAAGAAGGTAGCGTTAGCTGTGTTTCTTCAGAACATGAACACGAAGAGATTGCTGTTGGAAATGTGCCCCAAAAGTTGCAGCCAGAAGCCACAATGTCGTTCCTTAATAACTTTGACCTTTCATTATGGGAATTCTTGGATACGACTGGAGATAAGTTTTTAAGAGATATCTATCAAGATATGGAGAGTAATTTGGGCAAGATCTGAATAAACATTATCTTTAGAATTACTTTTTTGGGAAGGTGTTTGTAGCCCTCGTAACCAGATTTATTTCATAGATATTTCCTGAAATTACCACATCAACGAAAGAAAAAGAATCAACTGTTACCACTAGACTTATCAGAAGCAACAATATGCATTTAAGCTGGATCTTAGCACTCACCCCTTTTGCGTTCTGCTTTCAAGAAGTGCTCCAGCAACCTTATATAAGTCCTCCAAAAAATTCATATTTTAGGGAGCTAGTTTGGGGTGATTTGAACTTCATTCACACAACAGATACTCATGGATGGTACGCTGGCCATTTAAACCAAAGGGCCTATAGTGCTGATTGGGGAGACTTCATATCTTTCACGGAAAACTTACACGAGCTAGCAAAGAAGAGACATGCTGATATCTTGCTAGTTGATACAGGAGATAAACATGATGGCAATGGGTTGAGTGATGCGACGAATCCAAATGGTGACTTATCTACACCTATTTTCAATGAACAAAATTATGATTTAGTTACACTTGGGAACCATGAGCTTTATCAAGAAGACTACTCAACTCAAGAATTTCAAATCACGGTGAAAAATTTTGGTGAGAAATACGTCAGTTCGAATGTTGAGTATAAATTAGGTAATGAAGAATGGGTACCATTTGGAAACAAATTCAGATATTTTGAGACCACCAACAACAAGTATAAGGTTCTTGCATTATCATTCCTTTTCAATTTCCCAAGATATAATTCCAAAACACGAGTCTTCCCTATTAAAGAGGCTATTCAGCAAGACTGGTTCAAAAACTTGACTTCCAGATATTCAGAAGATGATATTGACGTGCTAGTCGTTTTTGGTCATATACCTGTGACAGGTTTTGAAGAGGAGGAAATTATTCATTTGCATGTTGCCTTGAGAAGGTTGTATCCAAACTTGGTTATTCAATATTTTGGAGGTCACTCTCATATCAGAGATTATGCTGTTTATGATCATAAAGCAACTGGTTTGCAAAGTGGCCGATACTGTGAGACTGCTGGTTGGGCTTCGCTCAATTTCACAGGTGAATACAAGCTAAAACCTAAATTTTCCAGAAGATATATCGATTTCAATAGAGAAAGTTTTATTCATCACTCTAATTCTGACAAAGATAACTTTGATACTGAAAAGGGTTTATCAATTTCAAAGAAGATAAGAAAGACAAGGCTGGATTTGAATCTTACAGTTAGTCATGGATACGTACCTAGAAACTACCTTATGAATGAACACCCATATGGCCATCCATCAAACCTTTATACCTTATTAAACAGCACCATTTTACCTTTATTAGAGAGCTCAATTGATAGACAAACAGAAAAGTACAATAGAATCATATTGATAAACTCTGGTAGTATTAGATATGACTTATACAAGGGTAATTTCACAACTGATACAGAGTTTACCATCTCTCCGTTTCAAAATGATTGGAATTACATAAAACTACCAAAAGCTTTAGCATTAAGATTGAAACATTATTTGAATCAACAAGAGTTTTTCATTAAATCTGGTACTGATTTGGCTGGTCCTGAGAAAAGAGGTGTACTGAATAAAATGGCCAGAGAAAAACAATTCAAATCCTTAACAACGAGTGATCGTTTGTCATGTTCATTTGTGAAGGATCCAAATTTTAGAAAAGGTCAAACAACTAGTGATGATCACGGTTGTGATGGGGATGACGTTTTCCATAATTCAGTACTTTACTATCCATCCCCCAATGTTGTTCAAACTTATCAAGAGTTTAATAAAGAAAGTGATGAAGTTGATGTTGTTTTTTATAGCTTCATCAAACCTTACATCATCTCTGCAATCAATGCCCTTAATAATCACAATGGAAAGAATTTCACTAATGATGATGTTGAATACTATGGGGGTGAAAGTACTGGATCATTGCTACGCACATACATTAAAGAAAACTGGTCATGACTACACTTGTTTAACTTGTTTACTAAAATAATTTCATTTTTATTCTCTTCATGTAAGAAGAAAGTGATTCTAAAAGAACCAAATAACAATACACAATATAGTTTCCTAACCTCATCCGACAAAAACAAAAACTATATGATCATTAATAAGGATGATGCAAAAAACATAAAACATATCCTTAAATCCCCCAATTTTTTTTTCAATAATATATACCTTGATGATAAAATTTCATTTTTATAATAACTTTTTTTCTTAATAACTTCAACTTGATTTAACAATTTATAAACCAGTTTGAGCTCTTCTTCTGTCACGTTCTTCAGAGATGGACAATTTGATACCTTTACCTTTTGGTAATGAAATGTATGGTTTACCTGGTTCACCAATGACAAAGACATTTTGTAAACGAGTAACGAAAGTGTTATCCAAACTATCTTTAATATGAACTAAATCGAAACCACCTTCATGACGTTCTCTGTGGGTGATAACACCAACACGACCCAAGTTACGACCACCAGTAACGTAAACTAATTTACCAGTATCGAATTTGATGAAGTCTGAGATTTTACCTGAAGCTAAATCAATTTTAACAGTATCGTTAACTTTGATTAATGGATCTGGGTAACGGATGGTTCTACCATCATGGGTAACAACATATGGGACACCTCTTTTACCTAATTGAACTCTTTTAACTTTACCTAATTTGTATTGAGCTTCTTCATCAGTGATTCTGTGGACAGCAAATCTACCTTTGACATCATAAACTAATCTGAAGTTTTCGTTGGTGGCTTCTAATGAGATAACATCCATAAAACCAGATGGGAAAGTGGCATCAGTTCTGACTTTACCATCAACTTTGACATGACGTTGCATTAAGATAGCTTTAACTTCACGACCGTTCAAAGCATATTTAAGACGGTTTCTTAAAAAGACAACCAATGGTAATGATTCTCTTAATTTGTGTGGACCAGCAGATGGACGTGGAGCATAAGTACCACTTAATTTGTCCAACATCCAGTGGGATGGGGCTGCTAAACGTTTAAGATGCTTCTTTGGACCTCTAGCCATTTTGGATTGATGATCTGGTATAGAACTAGTTTGTTGATAGTAACGTTATCCAGTATGGTTTTATTGCACTTGAAAAAGAGTTGAGCTTTTTTTTTCACCAAAGGTTGAACAGTAGCTGTTGAGCGAACCAGAAAGAATTCGCGGTGAGCGGTGGACCCTAACCGGTGAGTTGGCTGGGAGGTGGATTTCCTAATGAGGCGAGTTCCCGTCTTTGGACATTGTACATCCGCACACCACTTAGAGAAGCAGTCAACATCCGAACATAAAGAAGTATATGATCACATGGCATGGTAAAAAAGCCCTAGGGCATAGGTTTAGTACATACGTAGAAATCAGTAGATTTTGCTACAATTGATGATATTACAACAAAATAAAAAACAACCATAATATAAAAAAACTAAGCCAGAGAACACTTAAATGGGTAGCGAACCTTTTGGGAGAAATGTCATCCTCCTGCTAATCTTAGTTGTATCTTTAACAAAGTTGCGTTTATCAGGGACTCTTCCATATAACTGTGATCACTTGCCCCAACCTGGTATACTATTCAACTAAACCAATTAACATTATCAAACCTTTAACATATACAATAAAAACCTCAAAACCAATAAAAAAAGTAGAAGAAAAAATTCCAACGTAGTATCCAATGAGTATAATAAATAGATAGATAAAACTAGTAGCAGCGCTAAAAGAGAGTGAATCTTATTCCTCCTCATCTGATGAAACAGCAGCCTCTAATCTCAATCCTGATAGTTTCTTCACTGGGTTTCTAAAGTTGATGAATAGTTAGATTTCTGGTCGCCATGTGCTGATAAAGTTCAACCTACTTGTAAAGATGCTTCAATTTGTGATCCATTAGTTTCTTTGAAGTTGGTGACAAGTTTTCTTTTTTATCTGAAGGTGATACGTATTTCAATTTCCTTTTTAATCAATGTTAGCTCACAGTTCAGACTTCACAATCATCTTGTTTACTTGATAACTTACTGTTGAACAGCTAGCTCATGAACTCTAGCTTTTGTGACATTTTCTTTACTATCCAATATTGGATGTAACGGTTGAACAGATGAATTGTTATTTTGTGACATATTGATCGAATGAGTGGTTTCTTTCTGAAGGTATCTCTATAAACTAAAGAGTAATGATTTAAAAGTTGTAAACTCCTATAGCAACTTGATGTTTTGATCTAGAGTTCAACTTTCCAAAAGACACGATGTGTACAACATTCCTGCTCGTAATTATTTCCGTTTTGGTACAAAAGTAAACAAAACCCTCGGATGAGGCTTATATCACATGATCAGTCTCGGTTTATTGTTGAAAAAGATGAAAATTGACACAATTCAACAAACAATTACAACGATCAGACCATTGTGTTTGGCAATAAAGTTACATTTCAATCCTGATGAAGATACAGCATAGCATACTGATATGAATATATTGTCTTATGTAATATGTTCTTGTGGATTATGGGCTTCAATTCTAGCTGAAAATCATTATAATCTGGTCAACAGTTCATACACTTCAAAACATTTGTCATATTTGAAAAACGAGACTCGTTCATTATTTGATCATGGTTGGAACTCATATATGCAATTTGGTTATCCAGCTGATGAAGTGAGGCCAATCACGTGCAAGCCTTACTCCAGAGATGGTGATATTTTCAATATACACAGGAATGATGTATTGGGGAACTACTCAGTTACATTATTAGATACCATAACAACATTTGCAATTATGGGAGATATTGATAAATTCAAAATGTACATTGAAGAAATCAAAAAGATAGATTTCAATTTAGACTCAACTGTTCAAGTTTTTGAAACTGCTATTAGGGCTTTAGGCTCATTGTTATCAGCTCATTTGTATGCAATGGATAAATTCAAGCTACCCAAATATGATGGGTTCTTATTAAGGAAGGCCTTTGATCTCGGTGAAAGGTTATTACCGTCTTATTTACATGAAAGTGGAATACCATTGGCTAGAGTCAATTTAAGATATGGATCTGACCTACCAAATAAGTTAATTAAAGAAACATGCTCCGCTGGAGCAGGAAGTCCTATAGTGGAGATGTCATTATTATCGATTTTGACAAATGATACAAGGTTTGAAACTTACTCAAGAAATGCATTTTTGAAATTATGGGATTCAAGAAGTAAATTAGATTTATTGCCAATGACTATTGATCCATTGAAAGGAAATTGGCTAGATGCAATAACAGGAATCGGTGCCTCAATTGATTCATTCTACGAATATGCTTTGAAAGGTGCCATCTTATTCAATGATGATGAATTACTGAATGTTTGGGAGAAATCTTATCGTGCACTTTCTACACACTCTAAAGTGGAATGGTTTTTCGGAAATGTCCATGTTGATACTGGTTTATTAGTGAGTCCATGGATTGATGCTTTAAGTGCATTTTTCCCAGGGTTACTCGTCTTATCAGGTAATATTGAGGATGCAAAGAGGGCACATTTACCCTTTTTGAAACTTTGGAATCAATATCAAGGTATTCCAGAACGTTGGGATTTTCTACCAACAGGCCCTTCTCCTAGACTTTTTGGGTCTGGTGATTCTGATCCAATATCACTTGAATGGTATCCATTGAGACCTGAATTTATTGAATCAACATATTATTTATACAGGGCAACGAAAGATCCTTTTTATTTGAGAATTGGAGAACAAATATTGGATGATTATAAACGTGAGTTTAAAGTGGAATGTGGGTTTGCTGGATTTAGAGATGTTAGAACAAGAGAGTTGCAAGATAGAATGGAGTCATTTGTGCTGAGTGAAACTTTCATGTACCTGTACTTGTTGTTTGATGAAGCGAATGAAATTAATTCTGATGCTAAAGTCATCTTTTCTACTGAAGGTCACCCATTATGGGTCCCTAAAGGTGATCTTAATAGATATCAAAATATAAAGATGTCAACACTACTCAAGTACACAAAACAACAGAATAGCTCTAATTTTTCAATGGACCAAGGAAATATGTTTACGAAACTCTACGAAGCTGTTAAAGGATGGTCTGGTGACAAGTTTTGTAACATTTCCAACATCAAACAACAATTTCCATCACTGGGCTTCTCAATTCCTTTTGATTTGAACGCCAATAATAGATGTGCTGATGTTTGTGAAGTTCCCAAATTACGGGAATCTTTATTTTCTAGTTTTATGGAACGTCCAGATGTTTTTTTAATAGATTCCAAATTTTATGATCAGTGGAAGCACAAGTTTAGCACTTTTGAGTTGGAGTCAAGTTTTTATAATCTATTTGTTAATCCAAATGCTTATTGTCAAAGAGAGTCTACATCTCAAACAATGGAATTCTTGATCGGTGATAGAAATGAGATTCCTAAAGTCCATCTTGAAGAGATTGAGAGCGAACAAGGTATTGTGAATGTTTTTGCTGATTCCTTTGTGGGGCTTCGAATGAAGATTGAGTTATTGACCATTGGTTCCGTTGATACTTTTAACAAATGGATTGATGCTGATTTTTTGAAAAGCTACCAAGCTGATGTTATATATGATGCTGAAGGTACATGCAAACCAGAGGATGAGATTTATGCCAATAGTGTTTTGAGAGTTCGAGTGATTAATGGTGTGTTGCTACATGAAGGTTCAGTGGTTTATTTCTCAAGGGAAAGCCTGAAGCAGTCGACGATTGAATCGTTAGGTGTCACTGGGAACGGATACATCAAGATCGAGAACACAGTGGTCACCAACATGAAGATTCTTGACTGATCAAATGTGTAATGAAGAAACGTTTAACGATAATACTAATTTGGTGTGTAGCCGAGGGCCGACGCTTATGCAGTTTTTGTTTTTGTGTCTTCTGGCCCTACCGACGATGTTTTTTTTGTTGATCGACAAAAGTGTTTGAGCTCCAGATTCAACTTCAAGGAACTGATGAGGTCTTGCGCCATCACACACACTCATCCTCATATTTGCTACACATTTACTCCTGGTTGTTCTCCAAGGGTACAATTCATCATTTCCTAAGCTATAGTCAAGAACCTGTATGAGGTTGTCACTCATTCATTAGAAAGAACTCAATCAACAAACCTTCCTTTACACTCATTTGAACCCATTATCATTGAGCAATCCAACAGGTATTATCCAAAACACCAAAATCAAAGATGCTTCTTGATTACTACCTAGTTCCCCTAGTTGAGATTTCAATATCGATTGTCATACCACTGATTTTAACACTCAAGACACTTCAGTTAACAACCAATGTCAACATTAAAGATAACTATTCAAGGCATATATTAACATACTGGCTGACCTATTGGCTCTTGTTTTGCTTCATTCAGTCAGTTGGAACAAATAATCATGTAAGATTATGCTTCTCCATTTTTTACATATCCCAGTATAAAGCTATTTCACCATATCTAGTTGAATTCTATCAGTCAACATTAGTACCCCAAATATCAAATATTTTATTGAAAACAATGAATTTTCGTTTGAATGCTGAAAAAATTGATAATTATGCAAATTTTGCTTTGGAACAAGTTTGCTTCAATGATCATCTTTTTGATAAGTTCTTTTCCATCATCAAAATAGGATCAGCTAATGATGAAGGCACAATAAGATCAAAAAGCTCATCTAATTGGTTATTCAATAGTAACTTTTCAAAATCACATCGAAAATCAAGCCCACTGAACCTGAATCCTATCAATCATTCAAGAGTGGCAAGTGGTAATACAGCAGGCACACCTGAAAATATCATACCGCTAGAAATTCAAAAACCAAGAGCAATCAAAAAACTTCCAGAAGAACCACCACAAAACCTAGAGCTGAAGAAGTCTAACAAAAAAAGTAGTGATAACCTGAGAGCAAAGACATCCTCATCTTCATTGAATGGTAATTACATGAAGTCTCAATCCACAGGTGCAACTTCAAGAAAATCATCAAAAGTTGTCAATGGTGCTAGTAGGAATGTTTCAACTGATGATAATGACACAGGAAACACATGGAATGAAAATTTAGAACAACCACCATCGAATTTCAATGACAGTGGAACAAATCTATTAGTCCATGGATATAATAACGACCCATTTGTCAATAACTCTGATACTGTCTTTACGACACCTCCACAGTTAAAACTAGAGAAATCTAATGATTTAAGGAAAGGTTTAAAGAGTTTTTTCACATGAACATTTATCTCTAAATTAATCTATTTGACGATGATATGAGAATCATAACTGATGTAGAATTAACTCAAACCAATGTAACATTTAATTCTGATGGGCTTTGTGACACCATCGAATTATAATCAACATGTGCTTGGTTAAATAAACTAGAAGGTAAATCAGGAATATCTTCTTTTGCACTGATGAGAACAGCTCCCATACCAGCTGCCAAATGTGTTTGGATATGACAGTGAATCATCCAAGCACCTGGATTATCAGCAATCATTCTAGTAATTGCATAACCACCTGTTGTGATTGAAAGATTATCAACATAAGAAGGTTGTTCAAAATCAAATAAATCAGCACGTCCATCATTCAACGCCTCTTCAACAGATTTATATGGGAAAACTGATGCAGAATCATTATAACCAATAGTCCAGAATGTATGACCATGTAAATGCATTGGATGATCAGCAATTGGAGAATTTTGATAAATGATATCAACAACATCACCTTTTGAAATACCTTGATCAATAAATGCAGGTGAAATTGTCTCAGATAAATTGACACTTCTTGTTGAATCATTAGCAATAAGGTATAATGAAGGGTAGTCTAATTCCATGCCTCCACTCATTGTCTTGTTATCAACAATAGAAAATGATGTAGCACCTAATCTGTTCAAATATAAGTAAATTGTTTTATCAGCGGGACCTGAAGGAGGTTTTAATGATTGATCAAATGGTGGGATATAACGAGGATCAACTAATTTGAACGCTTTTGATAATAATTCAGCACCTCTATTTTGATACATTTCACCATTACTTGGATAATCAATTTTTTGAATATCTTGTTTTCCATTTTTCTCTACATACATTAATAGTGCTAAGCCTTCAATAATTTGTGGCATATCATGACAAGCAGTTCTAATTGCAAATGGAGTTTTAATATTTTCATGTTTTGAAGGATCAGTTTCAACAATAGCTGTAACTCTTTGACCAATTGGTAAGAAAACTTGTTGCCCAGTAATTGGCTTCACAAAAGTACCATCAACTGCTATAACTGTAATATTATGATCATCAATACTCAACATTTTGGAGAATTCACCACCAAAATTCAAAAGATTCAACATGATGTAACTTTGATTTTTAGTATAAAGAACTTCACGATCAGTTGTTGAATTTTTACAATCATTATTATTGAAACCTGGGAATTCTAAAAGGTCTTTATCATAATCAATTGAAGTGAAACCATTCATTTTTTGAAGATCCAAACATCCATAATCATCAACATGAATAGTATCATTTGTTTTCAACATCTTTTGAAGTTTTGAAGTCTTTGTAGCAAAAGCTTCATTTTGTAATAATTGCTTATCATAACATTGATGACGAGCTTTACCATTTGTTAAAAAGGATCTAACACAAGTTGGATCCATACCAAAATCAAACATTTTACTAGCAACTGCATCATAAGTCTCTTTGAATAAATCACTAAATAAAAGTAATTGAGGTTGTTTTTCTAATGAATTAAGTAGTTTTAAATCATCTTCATTTGAGGTGATTTCATTATAAGGTCTTGAAACTGATGAGTTTGGTCTAATATAGATAGGACCAACAAGACCATCATTTGCATAACCTCTGTAATGATTATGATACCAATATAAACCATATTGTTTCAAGTTGATGACATAAACAAAAGAATCACCGGATAATATTGGCCATTGAGTAACACCTGCGGTACCATCTGAGAATTGGGTATCTTTTTGATGAATACCATGGAAATGAATAGTTATTGGAACTGGTGAGAAATTTTTAACTTTCAAAACAACCCAATCACCTTGATCACCTTCAATAGTTGGGCCTGGACTTTGACCATTGATCAAGAATAATTGTCTATATAGCCCTTCGACATTTTGGGTCTGAACAGTAACATTCCAATCATAGTATATTTTGTTTGCACCTTGAGGAATCACATCTTCTGGATTGACTAGGGTATTATTTGAGCCAGTGCTGCAATTACTAAAAGTGATATCTAATGGTAAAGAATTCACTAAATTGACCAAAAAAATCAATGACGTTAAAACGAATGAAGTCAACATGATAATGTTGGGAGCAGTGTTGAAGTTATCAATGCATTTTATTTGAATTGAATCAAGTGACAAGTGCCCTAGTATTTATAAAGCATTCAGAGTATGGGAATTGTTGAAGGTTTGTGAGTGAAGATTGTTTAATCATGATTAATGATAAACACATAAGTATTGGTAGCAGCAGTATACAGTATACATCCTGTATGATGTACATTGAATTGATGGAGCTTGTATACCCAAGCTTTACGAACCATCCAATTGATTTTTAGGGTCAACGAATTCTCCAAGTGTAGTCAACATTTAGCATGAGTTACATTTGTTCAGCTGGAGCATGATACGTCTTTGTTTGGCTTTTAGGCAGTGAATTGATATCTTTCCTTAAACTAAAGTGAATATTTCAACTGCTGAGATACACCTTCTCGAAGGTTTACCCGTGTGTTGATTGATTGTTCTTCGTTCGTTAGCAACAACTTAATTTCAGCTGGAAAGTTGAAATATTGAAGATCTTGACTGTTTTGATGGAAACAAACGCAAATCAACTAACTTTGTAGCGACATGTCAAATGCCAGAGATCCTGACTAATGGCAATGGAATTGACACGGGCATGAGCAGCTTTTGCTAGTTTGCGTTACTCAAAACGATTTTGAGGTGGAAATTGAAAATTTTCAACAGTGCTAACCATCAACGCAGACTACATCATAAGGTTCAACCAACTGACTTGAAACCAATTAAGGAAATCAACTGGATATGAATTTGCCGTGACTTGATTCGTTACCAGGAAAAAAAGCTCACTGACGGCTGGTAATGCCGCTGTCCACTGTACTGTTGATCTTGAGCTCTGTGCGTTTTACCTGTGCATATAATTCTACTTTTGGTTAAAAAAAAACTGGTTTGTAATTGAAAAAACAAAAACAAACACTCTCTCTATTTACAGATTATTAACAAGTATTCATTTGAATCCACCAGTGGAAACTTTATAAGGATAGTCAATGGTTCTATCTTTTCTCTTCCAAATCTTTCTAATCTTCTTTGTGGTGGCATGTTCAACAAATTTATCTTCACAATACTTTGCTTTGAAATCTTTGATGAAATATGGATCCCAAAGTTCAGAAGCAATCCCTAAATCTTTACAACATCTCATCAATGCATTTGATTTACAACCTTCTGTAGCTGTTGGAATGTTCCCTGGTGAAAAATAATCTTGTTCACCTCTTGCAATACCAACTAAACGACCCAGGCAAACCAAACCATATTCCCTTGTAACTAAAGCATCTGTAACTATAGTTTCAGATCTTGGAACCAAACCCCAACCACCAGCACCAAATGCCTTACTCAAAATTCTACGATATTTGATTTCTGGTAAATAGATTAATCCATCTGGTTTAATTTCAATATCTTTTGGATCAATAGGTTGAGCTAAAACTTCTTGGGAATGACTTGGAAATGGTGCTGAACCTAAACCTGAAAATGAGGTTGACCAATTGACTTCACTTTCATCTTTCAAGGCATAGTCTGGTGAATCTCCAAGTGTAGAAGGGAAAATTTGGTTGAAAGTTTTAGGGTTTTCAAATGGGTTTGAATTTGATGAATTCAATGAAGAAGAATAAGATGAAGAAGTTGAAAATGAACCAGGCTCTGAAAAGTCATTGGATGAAGGTGAAGAGTCGGATGACCCTGCCGAAGGGGTTGAAGATGAAGATGTTGCTGTCTTTCTATACCTTGTAGATGTGGCTGTTGCTGGCTTTCTAGTATAAGATGATGCATTTGCCTTTGGAACAAAAGTCTTCTTTAAAGGGACAGAACTATAGCATCTGCGTCCTAAAGAAGCAATGTTTTTAAGATTCTGTGACATTATTGTGGAATATTGATAATGGGAAGAAAGAAATGAATGAAAATTATTGTTCTTTTTTTATATGTTGAACATGTCACATTTTGTTATCAACTTCTTTTCTTTCCTCAAGCAAAAGCAAAAACAAAACGAATTCGCGGTGGATCGCGAAAACAAATTAATTCGAAAATTCAAATCTTGAGCATTTCCACCATTTAATCGATTCACAGATCTTTGTTCCTGAGAATGTCACTGCTTGAAATCGTTAAGAAAGTGGATAATTTCACTTATGGCCAGCCACCAAGTGAACTGTACACGTTGGTATCACACAATGGGGCCCAATCCTTGGGGTATATTGTTCCCCTTGTTGCTCAGGAATTGTCAAGATTCAAAGATGTCTTTGTCTTTACTTCAAAGACTATCACAATACATCACAATCTAGACACAATAGACAAAAGAAATCAAGCATTTGCTCGAGTCGCGAGCGATTTAAAACAAAATGGGTTTATCAAAGGCTGGAGAGATGAATTGTTTACAATATATTATCCAACCCATGAGCCATATTTGTTAGTTGAGAGAGCTTTCAGTCCACTTTTAGGAATAGTGATGTATGGTATTCATGTGAATGGTTATATTCCTCCACATTTGTCAAGTGATGGTGAGATTAAGTTTTGGATCCCAAAAAGATCAAAGACAAAAAGTACTTATCCAGGAATGTTGGATAACACTATTGGTGGTGGAATTGGTTATCCTTATGGTGTATTTGAAACAGTTGTTAAAGAAAGTTATGAAGAAGCAGGATTTGATGAAAGTTTCATAATAAAAAATACAAAAGCTGCTGGTACAGTTTCTTATATTTTTTGTGACTTGGAAACAGAGTATGATCAATCCATAGGTCTGGTTCAACCTGAAGTGCAGTATATTTATGACCTAGTTTGTGATGAAACAGTGGCACCAAAACCAATTGATAACGAAGCAGAATCATTTCATTTAATGACTTTTAAGCAAGTGTGGGAAAATGTTGTGAATGGCCAGTTTAAACCAAACTGTGCACTAATCATCATCGACTTTCTCATCAGACACGGCTACATCACCAGCCAAACAGAACCGGACTATATCGAGATCCTATCCAGGCTCCATCGACTGCCACCTTTCCCTTTGATATAGAAGACCAAGATAGATACTTTCTATAAATCTTGTAGAATTTCAATTCACATACAAAATAAAAAAAGTCGCGAAACGCGTTCACGCCAAAAGCAAAAAAAAAAAAAAAAAAAAAAAAAAAAAAAAAAAAAAGAAAAAAGTGAACACGTCAAAAGTGAAAAAAAGTGTACACAACTTTGAACAATGTTAATATAACCGACTTTTCAACCACATTTTAAGACTTATAAAGTTCGCCAACTTTTGTCAGCAACAATGTCGAATCTTAGAAAGAGAAACACAAAGTCCTCTGGCAAAAAAGATCAAATTGCTACTGCTTCTGCTGGTTCAGATTCAATTGATGATGTCAAATTATTGGATTCCATTGTTACAAAGAAATCAACAAATGTTGAGAATCCAATCTATAATCAAGTAACATTGGCAGTTATCACTGCAATTGCATTCTTTACAAGATTTTACAGAATTGACTACCCAAATGAAGTTGTGTTTGATGAAGTTCATTTCGGAAAATTTGCATCTTATTATTTACAACGTACTTATTTTTTTGATCTTCATCCACCTTTTGCTAAATTATTGATTGCATTCGTTGGTTATTTGGTCGGTTATGATGGTAGTTTTAAATTTGACAACATTGGTGACTCTTATATTGAAAATCATGTCCCATATATTGCTTATCGTTCATTATCTGCCATTTTGGGGTCATTAACAGTTCCTGTTGTTTATTTAACCATCAAAGAATTAAATTATTCAATTCCAACTGCAGTCTTTGGATCATTTTTAGTCTTGTTTGATAATGCACACCTTGGTGAAACAAGATTGATCTTGTTGGATGCAACCTTAATCTTTTCCGTTTCATTATCAATCTATACCTATATTAGATTTTATAAAGAACAAGCAAAACAACCATATACTTTCAACTGGTGGAAATGGTTGGTATTAACTGGTATCTCATTATCTTGTGTCATCTCAACAAAATATGTTGGTGTTTTCACTTTTATCACTATTGGGTTTGCAGTTGCCATTGATTTATGGAACTTATTGGATATCAGATCAGGTTTAACAGTTAGACAATTCACTAGACATTTCGTTGCAAGATTTTATGGATTAATCGTCTTACCATTTGTTATCTATTTGTTTTGGTTTTATGTTCATTTTGGAATCCTAACAAAATCTGGGCCTGGTGATGGATTCATGAGTTCTGAATTCCAAGAAACTTTGGGTGATTCACCACTAGCAAAAGAAGCTAAAGAATTGAATTACTACGATGTTGTTACTTTCAAACATAAGGCCACTAATGCTTTATTACACTCTCATGGTTACCGTTATCCATTACGTTATGAAGATGGTCGTGTTTCCTCCCAAGGTCAACAAGTTACTGGGTTTATTGGTGAAGACATAAACAACCAATGGAAGATCTTACCTGTTACTGATTTCCCAGAAGGTGATAGATTAGGTAAACCTGTTCGCATTGATGATATTGTTAGATTTTACCATGTTAATACTGATAGCTATTTATTGGCACATGATGTTGCTTCACCGTTATATCCTACAAATGAAGAGTTCACAACTGTTGATTTCGAAACATCTCAAACAAGATTCAATGAAACTTTGTTCAAATTACCAGCTGCAGATAAAGCAAATAAGGGATCTATTGTTAAAACAAAAGCATCTTTATTACGTGTTCTACATGTTGATACCACTGTCGCATTATGGACTCATGATGACGTTACTTTACCAGACTGGGCCTTCAACCAATTAGAAGTTAATGGTAACAAAAAAATCCCAGATTCAACAAATACTTGGTTCTTTGATGAAATAGTCAATTTATCTGATAGCCGTCAATTTTATGTACCAAAACCTGTTAAGAAAGTTCCATTCTTCAAAAAATGGTGGGAGTTACAATTCACAATGTTTTATCAAAATAACCAATTATCAAGTGAACATCCTTTTGCATCTGATCCTATCACTTGGCCTGGATCACTTTCCGGAGTCAGTTTCTGGACTAAAAATGAAACAAAAGAACAAATTTACTTCATCGGTAACTTGTTTGGGTGGTGGTTAGAAGTTATAGCCCTAGCTGCATTTGCAGGGTTTTTTGTTGCAGTGAAAATTGTTAATCAAAGAAACATTGAAATTTTTACTCCTGTTCATAAAAAGCAACTTTTCAATATTGGATTTCTATACATTGGTTATTTATCTCACTATGTGTTTTTCTTTTTAATGGCTAGACAAAAATTTTTACACCATTATTTACCTGCTCATTTGATTGCCGCTATCTTAACAGCTGCAATCTTAGAATTTTTGATTGGGAAAGGAAAATATTTGAACATAGTGTTAATTGTATTAAGTGTTTTCTTGATTACTTCATTTTATTTCTTTGCTCCAATTACTTATGGTAACGTTGGTTTAAACCCAGAGCAAGTCAAAGCAAGAGAATTTTTGAATATTAAATTACACTTTTCCAAATGATTACATTTTTCATTACAAATATATAATAAATAAATGACAATATTTTCTTTTGTTTTGTTCATCATTAATCATCAATTATTTCGAATACCGCTGTGCTTGTTGGTGTGTGGAACTCATCCTCACTTTCTGGATTACTCTTGATAGATAATACTTCATCATCTTTTTCTGGTGTTTTTAATGAGCTCTGTTGATTCTTTGAACTTGGTGTTGACAGATTGAAATCATGTAAATGATTCTTATTATCTAGTGATCGATGCTCTTTGTCTATGTTATTTTTTGCCTCACTTAAATGGGTCATTTTGATATCTTCAGGAACATCAATTCCAATTTCATCTGTGACTTTGAAATCTTTAATTTTTGGTTCAATAACTTTCACAAGAGCAGTTGCACAAGCTAAAATATCACGTCTTGCAACTTTTGTTTTAATGTTAGCACCATTCGGTTTAACCAGGGACATTGTTTGTTGGTTGACAAATGTTTTTTTAGATTCCTCTGTGACATTTTTCAAATAAATTTTTAGATACAATGTGTTAAAAGTATCATCGAGTTGTGAAGTAGAGCCAAATCCGTTATTCATTCTTCTAATTTCTGAAATTTCATAAAGTAAAATCATTACTTGAACTTCTTCTTCTTTAAGGCTCTCAGATTTATACTTTGCTGTCAATGATTGGGAAGCCTGAATAAACTCTGAATAAATCAGCTTTGGAACTTCAATGTCAGTGAACCCTGGTTCTGCACGCACTATTTCTTTCGTTAGATAACATAATGTTGAGCAAGCGAAATCCCAGGCCTCATTCAGATTCACCATTCCAGACCCGTAACGACGTAACTTCTTGGTGAAAAGCAAAAGCTTATGAAAATCAGCTAAGGAATTAACAAGCTTCACATAGTAAAGGATGTAATTATAGGTGTAGACAAAATGCTTTCCCGGTGGTTCCAAATCTGGCTTCCAGATGTTGACCAAATTTTTGTTTGTAGATTTGAGAATGATTAGTGGTTCAATTTCTTCATAGGCCTTCTCAAAATCTTGCAAATCATAATATATGGTAGATAACCTAAAACGATGTTTATGATGCCACTTTTTTTTATCAACATGATTTATTTTTTTCAAAGCTTGTATGATGATGTACTGAAACTTGCTGTGAGTTAACGCCGATGAATCTAATTGTGTGGATAACTCACCAAAAAACGATTCTGTCTTATGGAGGTACTCAATAGTTTCATTTTCTGACAAATGACCAAGCTTGACGTATTTGTATAAAAAGGAGCACAGCTGATAATGAGGTTCTATACTCGAAGGGCTTAATTGACAAGCCTGTAATGAGGATTCAAGAACTATTCTTACATCACTTCCAATTTTATGGGAAACTTGTGCCAAATAGAAGAAGTTCAACCAGTCATTTCCGTCCACACTGATGCTCATATTCAAAAGGTGTTTTGTGATTAGCAGCATCTGCCTTATGTACGGCTTTGACAACATTGATGATAGAACTGATACACCATCGGTAGTAAGAACCTTTTTCTTTAATTGATTTTGAAAACACAGCCCTTCCATTGGTTTTGACAATCCATGATAGAGCTCTTTATAAAGCGATGAAAGGCATAGTAAAAACACCGAAGGATTGTTTTGTATCCCGTTGATCTCTTTGTTGATCATGATACTCAATGACATCAAAAGAGATAATATAGCTTTTCGTTGAGTTAAAGCAGTGGTTGTTTTCTTTTCCATCACATTTAACTTATCGGATGTCCATATCAAATCATCTTCAACTTGAAAAGAGTAAGTTTGGCCCAACAACAGCCATGACTCAGCTTTGTTGGCTCCATAAAGCAAGTCTGACTTTATCATTTTTAGTATATCTTCAAGATCAGTTACCTTTGCTTGCATTGCCTTCTTGCGTGCTTTGTAAACGTTCAAATTGGTGGCAGCCTCTGTATAAAACAACCCTTTATCTGCAACAGCTTGTTCTTGTAATGCGGTCTTCCTCAATCCAATATCCAGTGATCCCAGAAGTGCATGCTTAAAAAGTCGAGGTTCAAGCTCTGAATCAAGGTATTGCTTTATATTTGCATCATTCTTTTGAACAACTGTAGAGGTGAAAGTTGGATCTCCAACAGCTTTGAAAAAAACATCCAATGCCGACTTCAAATCTGGCTTCAATATGTTGAATAAAGGGTCCCTTTTTCTGGTAATCAAGTTCAACAAGGAGGGAGCAAAAGTGACAGCTGAGTCTTTGTCAAGTGGTCTTTCTAGAGTATGGTGATCAAATGGACTAAATCTTTCATTGCTGATGAAAACATGGAAGCGACAGTTCAGATGCTGTAAAATATCACATTCATAAGCTTCTGGATCAGCATTTTCTAATAAAAATTGAGCTAACCTTAAAAATCTACCTGATGCTGAGTCACACACCCCATGTCTCCCAATTTCTTCATGAATCAAACTGAAAAAATCATACCTAGTACTGCTCAGCTCATCATTTTCAACAATTGCACTATAAAAGCAAAGTAAAACAACTAGACTATTAGCAATTATGTCACGTATTTTAGTTGCTGACTTAAGGGCAAGTTCATGGAACGGCTTGTTGGTTGAATGATAATTATGAAGATTGAAACAAAACAATACTCTCAAAAATTCAACCACATTTTGGAAAAGAGCTGTGAATCCATCACTATTAGCAACCCAATTGTTTTGTTCTATAATCTGCGCGAACCCATTAATATAATCACCGTAAAATCCAATAGTATTCAGAAGTATTTGGTAACGCTGTAATTCAGGTTGGCAATTGTAAGCGTCTGACCTGATTTGATCGAGAAGCAAAGAAAGCACCATTGTCAATGCTTTCTGGTACTTTTCAATATCTGAATTAGCGATATAAGCATCTAAAAGTAGTTTCCAGAGTTTGAGTTTCAAGCTGATAGAGCTACCACTCAAAAATTCTTCCATTGAACGTTCCTCATCACTAAATTGTTTTGTGTCTTCAGCAAAAAGTACAGTCTCAAGCAAAATGTTGACTTTTGAAGTATTTGTTATTCCTTCACTCAATGTTTTTTCAAACGTTGTCAAGACGTTCAATTTATCACTTTGGTTTTTAATCATTTTGATACTCAGGGATGGTAAAGACTCATAATTTGGAAATTCAATTGTTAAATCTTTGTATCTCGAACCAAATTCATCTAAAAGTTCATGCAGTAATTTCTTCAAATGATTGACGGGAATTTTTTGTTCATGCTGTAGGAAAAGTATAGTACACCATCTTAGTCTCACTGATAATAGCTCATCCTGGCATGTTGATATCATTGTGCTTGCAAGTTTCCTCCATCTAAGAATTAGTTTATGGATATGATCACTCTTATTGTGTAACTCATTAAGTGCTTTTGTACTTAGGCCTTTGACTTTTGCTTTTTGTTTGAGGTTTATCCAATAGTTGATTAATATTTCTAGAACAGACACACTAACAGCCATACTTTGCCAGCCATTAGTTTCGTGGTAAACATTGAAAAGGTCATTTTCTGACGCAATCACTAAATCTTCAATCTTGTTGTAAAAATCTCTTCCCAAATAGCAATCGATAAGTGGGTATTTTGATTGAGCTGGAACCATTAATGTAGTTAAAAATAATGACCTTACTTCACAGAAATGGTAATTTCCAGAGTTGACTTTTTTCAAATACTCCACAACCATTTCATCACTAAACTCAGTTTCAGACAACTCTGTACTGATCAATGAGCTGTTAACATTTGCATTGATAAGCTCATTCAAAGCTAATCCAGTCTGGCCCTTTGAAGAATTGAATGATAGGAATTCTGAGTGTCTGGATGTCCAATTATTAAGGCAATTATAGAAATCCTTTAGATATGATTCATTTTCATCATTAACAAAACTGGTTATTTCCTCAAAATTCAAACCAATGTTTCTCATGTAGGATGTAAATTTTTCAGAAAAGGATTCAAACTCATCTGTGCGATTTGCATCTGGTTCAATATCAGTTTGTTGACGGAACCTTTTGCTAGCCCTTTGTGCTTGGTGGCCATCAGAAGCGGTTCTTTTCAACGATATATTGTCAGCGTCCTTTTCTACATCAGGAATTGGTACATCATTGGTTTCGATCGCCTTTGTAGAGTCGGCTTGGGTTTCAGATATCACAACCTCATGATTTTCAGCAATTTGATCCAATTTCGGTTCTTCGTCATCATCAATCATCATGTCTGAATCCGACGGAAGTGTAAATTCAACAACAAAATAAGGTAAATCTTGTAACTGATAACCATCTTTAAACTTGTGACTCTTCAGCTTAGATCGATATATAACTTGATGCAGTTTTTCAGCGACTGATTTCCAACTCACTTGATCCAAGATGATATTTTTCTTTCTTTCATTTTGAAACTTCAAGTGCCGCGCTTCCAGTATTGATTTTAATGGCTTCAAAAACTCAAGATCCGTAAGACTTGAATCATGAGACGAATCAGATTGACAGCTTATTTTGTCCAAAAGTTTTTTCTCCTCGTTGAGGTAAGCAAGAAAGTTTGGAGATAGCATTTTTGATGTCTGGTGAATATACATATCATCATTCTCATCTTTTGTTAGCTCATACTCTATCAAGAATCTAGACAGGCGGTCATTATCAAAAAGCTTGAAAACATCTAGCAACAAATTTATGACTATGATATCTCCTTCCGAATGTTGCAAGGCCTCAATCAACTCATCTAATGATTCTAGAAGCTGTTCAAGGGCTTCATTGTGAGTCAGCTCTGATATTCTAGACCTGAGCTCATCAAAACGTAATAAACCACGATTTCTATGGGCCAAATATCTAAGTGTTTTTACGGTTGGGGAGGCCGAGTGTGAATCATTTGTAATAACATCAATCTCAAAAAGTTCTTCATAAAGTAAGTTTGAGGCTTCATATTCTTTAGCTTTTTGTAGCTTCAGAGCTCTTTGGAAAACTTTAAATGCTTCTTCGATCTGTTGATTTGTTAGCTAGTTTAAGATCTTATTGATAGACTTCGATACTAACCTGAAGTTCCCTAGTGTGTTCTTCTGCATCAAACGCGATATCCTCTGCGCTCAGGTTTAAAGCTGTGAACGATGACATTTACCAATTGACCAAAATGTCATTGACTTTATAATATCATTGAATGTAATTTAAACACGCTTTTGTTGTTCTTTTTTTTTTTCTTTACCTTATACAAAATTCAGTTTGGACCGGACACTACTGTGTAAGAACTTCAACAACATTTAATTTGATATAAATATACGACGAAGAGTACAAGCTGCGCTGTATATATAGTTCATATCCTTCTCCAAAATCGGACGTTCAGCTTCGTTGAAAGCGGCAATCAAGAAACCACCTGATCTCAAATAGACCTCGATTGGTTTAGATCTTGAGTTTGAGAATTTATCACTTCTAACAATTTTCTTTCTTCTGACAATTTTAGATGGGATTCTGTAAAATGGCATACAAATACCAGATCTCAATTTAATATTGGAGCTGTTGGTTGAATCATAAAATACACCAAACTCTGAGCTCAATGCACTATAATATAAACCCGAAGGAAATTGAAGATCATTTGGATCATACCCAAAAGAACCCAACACTCTAGTCATCACTTGTTCATTCTCAATCCTTGTAAGCTTGCTTGCATACTTGAAAGACTCAGCTTCAATCTTGTTCTCATTTGGAAAGAATTCTGATGAAATTTGATAACGTTGAGAAACTCTAATTTCAACAATACAAACTAGATCAAACTTGGAATGTTCCGTAATTAGTTTACCCAAATATGATGACGCAAGTTTCATATCTCTTAATGGGGACAATTTGGCCCAGATGGATTGATTAATGAGTGAATCATTGGAAGTTGAAGAATCATGTTTACTGTATCTGAAATTGTGGTTTTGTAAATATGGGCTACCTGAGCCATCCTTCTCATAAACAGTTGAAGAGTAACCCACCCCTTGACTTGTAGGTCTACCAATGATTTTAATTAAAGGAACGCTCGTTGTTGTATTTGAACGGTCTTTTTTCAAAGGAGAAGTCAATATGGTCATAACTTCATCTGCAAGTTCTCTCAATATTTCAATTTGTTTTCTTTCAAAGTCAGCACGCGGAAAAGCGTCAAACACTGAAAATGCACCTATGACAGCACCGAATTTTGTAACAAGCGGAACACCAGCATAGAATTTGATATATGGGACATTTTTAACAAATGGGTTCTTAGCTGTTCTCCAGTCTTTAGATGCATCTAATAAGACAAAATTCCCAGTAGAGAGAATTGTATGTGCATCGATTGATAATCTCCTTGGGCATTCACTTATGTTAAGGGAGACCTGATACTTCACAACTTGTCTATTATTGTCAATAATGGAAATAGCAGCACCATTTACATGAAATGCTTTTAAAGCTTTTGAAATAAGTCTTAAGAATACGTCACGTTCTTTCCATTGCTCACAGTTAATGTACTTCTTCACAACTTTCAACCGGGAAACTTCACTATAGTGTTCTGGAGGGCTGATCAAATCAACACCTTCAAAGCAAGATGGGCAAGGAACTTTGGAAAGATTCCATTTACCTTTACTATAAGCATCTAAGAAGTGAGATCTGGTTAATGGAACATTGGAAATAGTTGAAGATGATGGATCAGGTAATAAGTTTTGTCCGTGGCTCGCCTGTAAGCGTTTTGAGGAACTAGTAAAAAGTTAGTTAGATGATGACAAAAACACCAACACCAATAGTACATACGTTTCCAAAACCTGATCAATTTGGGAAGCCATAGCAGCAGGAATATAGCAAGTTGGATAATAGCAAACGCTGGACCTTGGACAACACTAGTTTTAGCACAGGTTTAACGATGATTAGGATCTGGATTGTTTTTGGCCCTATTCCCCTTTTGTGTACACCACCAAAACCAACAAAACAACAATGAAAATTAAAATGAAAACAGGAAGTATTGGTAATTCACCAGAGTGACACAAAAGAGTGTAGATGGGGTTTCTATGGCAAATTGAGAGCTATGGGTGGCAATTTTAAAAACATAGATATCCTTTAAAGTAAGCAGTCAAATGAAACAAGAAACCAATGGCTCATGGCAACTTTAAGGATTCAGCAGTGATAAGCCCTTTGTAACATGATATTAGATCACTTATTCTCTTCACATTTCGTTTTGGACTTTGTAAATTGTAAGTGTAATAATTTGTTGCAAAGAACAAAGAAACAGAGACAAAAAAAAAAAACAATCAAACCATTAACCAATCCCCTTTCCTCATAATATCAAACAACACACTCATGAACAACCTGTTGTTTTCAGCACTGAAAGGTGCCAAATCTCACCGTTTCTTCAAAAGTTCAGTAGCATTGACTTCTCTGGTGTCGTCACTATGGGCAATCAATCATTATCAAAGCACAAATCAAATTCTTCTTGATCAATCAAATGAAAACTTGAACTCAGTCCAAGTTGACAAAAACGTGGATCCAATTCCATTGTCGCTAAAGCTTTCAACAAACTATCAACTACTTGCCCAAGGAACAAGAGCTGTTACCTTTTTGAAGTTCAAAGTTTATGCCTTGGGTATTTATGTTGCGAATGATGATCTTTACAAAATTCCTACCGTTTTGGATTCAAAATTCCTTTCTTCAACGTTTATTGATACTGATAAGTCAAAATCACACTCTGAAAACGTTACCAGTGCACTTCATGATAATGAGAAATCCAAGATCTTGATTTCCAACCTGTTGGATTCTAATATCCGTTTGGTTGCTAGAATATCTCCTATAAGAAACACCGACTTTAACCATTTGAGAGATGGATTGGTTAAGTCTATTTTGGCAGCAGGTGTACAAGATGAAAGTCTGGCCGATGGTTTACAGGAATTGAAAGATGCATTTAATCGCAAAGGTTCAGTTCCTAAAAACAATAACTTGTTTATAGAAAGACTCTCTGATGGCCAACTTCAATTGATTTATGAAAACACAAGGAATGGTGAAGTTGTTGAATTGGGAAATGTCAAAAACCCTATAGTGAGTAAATTGTTGTTTTTACAGTACTTGAGTGGAGGTTTAAGTAATGATACAAGGGAGAACGCAATTCAAAGAATCTCTCAATTAGTTTAGTGTAAATAGCAAAATCTACATAGTTAGTTAATCAGTATAAATCACATTAATTTTCAGAAGGACGTTTTAGGCAAAAAAAAAAAAGAGAGACTAATATCAATTTTTTTAAGGGAATGAACCAAACTCTGGACCGAAATAACCTCTATCAGTTGCACTAATGTTCAATAATGATGGTTGACCGGCACCACCGTCAACACCTTCAGATGTAACATTGTTACCCCACCAGTCAACATATTTAGGATGATATTGGACAGTGAAGAAAATGATAACAGCTGAAAAGGCAACACCTGCATCGAAAGCAGCTGAAAGAACATAATTGTATTTTTCAAACCAAGCAATATATCTTCTTTTGATATGGTACATGAATGCATAAGCAGCATAGACACTTGGAATGATATAGGACAAGTTAAGAGGTGCATAATTAATCATACCAACAATAAAGACTGATGGTTCAAAGTTATTTGGCATAGCTTTTGGAGCATATCTTCTAATGGCAATAAATAACAAAGCAACCAAGAACCCAATCAAGAAACCATACTTCATAGTTGGGTATAAACCATTGAAAACTCTCTTTGGACCAATAACACCCCATAAAACAGAAGCACTGTAAAATGTTCTATCGGAAGCACAAGTAAATCTTTGTTTTTGATGAATATCACACATATCTTCGATATTGGACATTGACCAGTTGATAACACCTAAGAAAACAAAAGCTTGAACGAAAACACCAATGATTTGACCTCTAAATAATGCTCTTGTTGGAATTCTGGCGTAATGTGCAACTTTTTGACATGAAATAAAGTTATCAGCTTGACCATCGATATTATAACCAAGAGCTTTCAAAGTCATCAAGGCAACACCATTACCTGGTAAGGCATAACCAACAATCAATTCAACCAACACATTTAAACCCATTTGAATACCAGTAACTGAAAGTAACAAACATAATGGAATTAAAAACACAAAATTGATACCAACAGTGAAAAAAATACCCCAAACTGGAGTTTTGGATTCTGGATAAACTTTAACACAAACAATAGCTAGGACCAAAGAAATAACCAAGATCGAATAGAAACACCAATCTGGAACTTCTTTATATCTGGACATCATTTTAGAATGTGGATCATCATATTTAGACAATGTTGATTTGGCATCTTTACTAATAAAGACTTGTTTAAAGTTACCACTTTTGATTGCTTGAAATGTTTCTTTGAAATTTGAAAAGATAAAAGAAGTGGCAAACTTAATGGTATCCCATTCTTTGTAACTGTTGTATAGAAAACCAAATGGATAAAACATAAAGAAACAACTATAGACAACAATGTTGGCAGCACTGTAAAATGGAGCAGAGTAAGCTTGATATTTTGTGTCATCCAACAAACCATTAGTTAAGACTTTATCGACTTGGAAACGAGTACCTTGATTTGTAAAAATAGCGTTTGAATTGATTGGCAAGTAACCAGTCCATTTATAATTAGACCAATAGATCCCAACAATAACAAAGAAACTTAAACAAAGACCAGCAAACATATTCATGGTCACATAGAATGGAACAACTAATGGATTAACAATACCAGTGATAATATTCCAATCAAAAGTTGGAATTGGATTCAAACCTAAACCAGATTGACTTCCAGTAATAGCAGCTAAATTGAAGTTATCTGGAGCAATCCAGGTAATCCAACTGAAATATGACAAGGCTTGGAATACGAAATCTGGGAGCCAAAAGTAAACAAACATTGAACCAAAGCAAAACCAGAAAAAGTTATATCTTGTAATGGACCAGCCATTGATTTTTTCTTTTCTTTCAGGTTTCAATAAAGCACGATTCAAAGCAAGATTTGGTAAAATTGTTGGCCACATAGATCTAACAGGATAAACAACATATTTTCTTAAAATACCAGCAAATGAAAACCCCATGAATTGAGTTGAAAGTGTTAATAATAATTGAAAACCAAAAGTTAACCATTTTTGATCATAAAATTTAACTTGAGTAACAATGTTATAAGAAACATAAACATTAGCAGAAGCAACACTAACCAATTGAACAGCAAACATTTGTTCTTTGTAAGAATAAGGACCAGGGTTCAAAGGTAATCTACCGATATTAATATTTGGCATAACATATTCCCAAGCTTTACCACAAGCATACATTAACATTGAGTTAACGGTTAAAGACAAGGAAATTGAAGGGAATCTATGGGCAAAGAATTCTTTGATACCACTAGCAATAATGACCCAGATCAAAGCAATGGTATAAGATCTAATTGTTTCAACAGGTTCATTTGGATCATTGACTAAATCAGTAACAGATCTAACTTCAGGATAAGGAGAATGGTAATAAATTAAAACAGCAGTTAATTTTGCCTTAAAATTGGCAGATGAATTTTCAGAAATTTTCACATCACCGGCCAAAACTGATTGCATATAATTCCAATCATCAATTGGGAAATTAGCATCACCATCATGATCTTTAATGGTTCTTTCAAAGATCTCCAAGGTTCTTTCATCACTGATATCAATAATCTTGTCCAAAATATATTTCAAGTCAAAAGTTAAATCATCCTTGTTATCATGATGAACATCATTACCATGACCAGTTTTAGTCAATAAAAATTGAGCATCATCATCATTTAATCTACCAAAATACTCTTTGATTTTTTCCTCATCAAATGACATTTGGTTTTTGTCCAAATCGGACCAATTATCCAAAGATATCTCATCATGAGAACTCACACGAGTGAGGTTGACTGCAACACCTTTTGATACATCTGAATCATATTCTTTAAGATTTTTTAATTCAGTCATCTTTGATATACCACCAAACAGATCCAATAATAATAGATGAACTTGGTTGAGGAATTATGTTCTTTCAAAAACGGTGCTGATCAATGTATTTCAAAGTGTACTTTGCAAAGGTATTTATACAAAGAGGTGATTTAATGACATTATTTCAATTAAAGATTACGAGATCAGCGATAAGGTTGTGCTTTGGCATATAGATAGTGGTTTACACAAGATTTTTGCAGCAGGTTGGCGTATTTGCTAGGTTGTATGAGTGGTATACCGATCTTACATTTCCCTTGCACAAGGTGCTGATTTCCTATCTTGATCAAGAAAAAAAAAAGTTGGATCATGAGAATAAAAGAAACATGGAAATAAAAGAAACTATATGGAGGAAACCAAAAGTCTTTGCACAAGTGATTGTTGTTTGATGTTAGCATAGGTTGTTATGTTGTTATCATTGTGTTGTATTTATGCGTTTCTTTTGGATATTAGAAGGTTCTCATAGCTGGTATTGCCTATCGTTAAAGTGACTGAAGCAACAATGCACTCAGATATGAACATTTTGGAAAGTTTCTCGTGAGAAGACGAAGATGCACATGAGTGAAACAATGTCACAGCTCTTGAAAATGATATCCGAAGGGTTTATGGGATATTGTGTGAGGAGTCAGGAGGAAGTGTGATCCATAAAGCTAGCTGCCTTGTGTCAAATTAAGCGTCTTGTGGTATCGATATTATTCACGGTCTAAAATGATGTTACACCAAGCTACAGTAGGTGATTATCGCCTATGGACTCTGAGACAGTGAGACGGTAGACCTTTTCTCAATACAGTAAACCTTGAATCACGTTAGAACGTACTTGGATTCATGATTCAAGATCAATGTAGATATCGAGATTCGGATTAAGCTGTGTATGCTGGCGTTACTCATTCGTTTCAGCTTCGACATTTAAATGTGCCAAGTAAACTCATCGATTAGAGTTGGCCGAAGATACAAGTCGCGGTCGCGATCGCCCTTAAAAATCCACAATTCCCATTTGACAGCGAAAGACAATTATGTAAAGTACTTGAGATTCATAAATCACATTGTATCTGATTCTCGGATACCTTTAATAAGTTGTAAGCTTTGATACATGAAAGTGGTTGCTTTAGATCGAAAATAGATCAGTCAAGCCAATTAACAAATAAGCATTTGTGCTTGCTGATTTTTTCCAAGAGCTGATAACTTAAAAGCTGTCACATCGTACAATCACCGAGGCCTAATTTCGGTCTCTTCAGCCTATCATCGTCCTTGATTTTGAACCCTTTCAAATCATTGTTTGAAGCCCTGGATTGAAGTTTCGCTTTTTCGTGGAAAGGGTTGTTCAAACACCGCTCGCCTATCTGAGAGACAGCCATTTTGGTAGCTCTGATGTACACAGTGGAAAGGAAATGGAAACTTGAAAGCTACTGGTAACGTAGTCACGAGCCATGAGCTACCAATCTTCAAAGCTCAAACAGAATACAGAGTTTCAATGAAAACATTTAGGACGTTTGGATCTGGTGGGAAAGACAAGAGTCAAAACAAATCAATTTCAAGCGTAATTTGCAAGAGCTTAACAATTCAACAAGTGAAAGTGATCACAGTATTACGTATACTTTTTTAAAAGCTTCAACACATTCATCACCTTTAAGAGAGATGAGTATTTCACAGGGTACTATGTGTACGCATCTTCAGCTCAGGAATTTTACCCCTGTGATGAGCCACAGGCTTTAAAGGTTCACTCAACAAACGATTTATAAAGCCATAAGTCTGGATTGTCGCAGATGACTTAAAAGAAAGAGCATTCCACACACTATTTTTATGAGGCTCACTAAAAGTTGTTATATGGACTTGAAAATGGTCTCTATAAAGTTGTCATCAAATAAAGTTGTCAAGATTAAATCTACTTTCATGAGGACTTCATGAACTAATTTTGGCTCTTTATTGAGAATCATTATGGGCTAGTTGCAAATGAGCACAATTGTGGTTTAAATTTATAAAGTCTCATCAGAGTTTGCAACAAGTTGAACGTTTTAAGTAATTGACAATTTTTTGAGTAAAAGGTTTGTTGAAGCCACAAGCTATCATTATATCCCTAATATACCACAGATTGGCTTGGACAAATTAGCCACAATTCAAATCAATGAAATATAAGACCCTTGAATTTTATTTGATCCAGTATCCATTCAGGATTATGAGTTAATTGGTATCAATAATGGGTAGCAAGAATACACCTGTTAGCAGGGTTGTTGAATATGATGTTCAAGGTGATATCGAGACAAACAAATCGAATCGAGTAGTGGAGGACATTGAATCATTATCATCAACTATAACCAATACTGATGATGATAAAAATCCTTTCAAGAACCCTGAAATTGCAAAGTATTGGTCTGGTGTCTATGAGAAAGCTCAATATGAATGCCGTCACCTTTTTGATCCTCATTTCACTTGGACAAAAGCTGAAGAACGCAAATTAGTCTGGAAGTTAGAGTATAGAGTTACATTGTTAGCTTGTTTTATGTTTGTTGGTTTACAAATTGATAGGGGTAATCTGGCTCAAGCTGTTTCTGATAATATGTTGAATGATTTAGGTTTAACTACAAAAGAATTCAATAATGGTAATACTATTTCAAGAATTTGCTTTTTAGTTGCTGAATTACCTTCTGGAATTATAAGTAAAGCTATTGGTCCTGATCTTTGGTTACCAATTCAAATGATCATATGGTCTATTGTTGCTGCTTCACAAGCTGCATTGAGTGGGAAAAAATCATTCTACACCACTAGAGCATTGATTGCCCTTTTGGAAGGGGGTTTCATCCCAGATATGGTGCTTTGGCTCTCTTATTTCTTCACCTCTAGTGAGTTATCTACAAGATTGGCTTATTTTTGGACCTCCTTGTCCTTATGTGACATATTCACCGCCCTATTGGCGTTTGCTTTGCTGAGAATGAGAGGTGTTTCAGGACTAGCAGGTTGGAGATGGTTATTTCTTATCGAAGGTTTATTCACTTTATTGATTGGTATCCTTTCTTATTTTTTAATGGTCCCTTCAGCTGTTCAAACTAAAAGACCGTGGAACAAAAAAGGTTGGTTTAGTGATCGGGAAGAGAAGATAGTTGTCAATAGAGTTTTAAGAGATGACCCTTCTAAAGGTGATATGCATAATAGACAAGCATTAACGTTGAATACATTATGGAAATCAATTACTGATTTTGACTTGTGGCCCATTTATTTGATTGGTTTACTGGCATTTATTCCTCAGGGCACTGTAAACAGTTATTTGACTTTAACTTTGAAAGGAATGGGATTCAGTACTTTTGATACAAATTTGATGACTATCCCTGCAAGTTTCCTACATATCATTACATTGTTAACAATCACCAAGCTATCAGAGGTATTCAAACATAAAAGTTACATTATATTAATAAACCCGGTTTGGACCATCCCTTGTTTAGCTGCTTTGAGATGGTGGAATGGAACATTCAATAATAAATGGGGTACATGGATATTGGTTACGGTACTTTTATCAGTTCCTTATATTCATGCTATTAATGTTTCATGGTGTTCAAGAAATTCAAATTCTATTAGAACTAGAGCAGTATCTGCTTGTTTATATAATATGTTTGTTCAATTGGGTGGTGTTTGCTCTTCTCAAATTTATCAACCATCTGATAAGCCTTATTATCACAAGGGTAATCAAAAGTTGTTAGCCATATCTTTAGCAACTTTGGTTTTGATGTTGGGTACAAAGATTTATTACGTCGCTAGAAATCGTTACAAGTCAAAGAAATGGGACAATCTCACAGATGAACAAAAAGCCAGTTATATACATACTACAAAGGATGAAGGAACAAGAAGATTAGATTTCAGATTTGCCCATTAGTTAGAAATACTCTTATTGTTAACAGAAGTAACAATATGCACTTTCCCATTTTCAATGTCATGTAGTTCACTAAATGAAGATTCATCACTATCAATAACATCCTCTTCAACATCCATAGTTTCACCGCTATTAATTCTATCTCTGTTATCCAAATAAGTCGCCAACAAGAAGAAAGATCCCAAAAGAATAGTGAAGGCTAATTGAGTTGGATACCCAACTTTCCAGCGAGGAGCTGCTCTTTCACCATATGATGCAGCTGTTGGATATAGCGCCAATGGTAACCATGTATAAACAAAATACCCAATAGACATCATAGAACCCATTACAATTGCCTTTTGTTCTTGATCTCCTCTAAGTATTCTATTGATTGAAGAATACAAGATAGGCGAACTGCAACCTGCTGTACCAGCAATATAAAATGCAAAGAATGTAGCAGCTGGTGGAACATCATAAATGATCATAATAATACCAAAAATAACTTGTCCACTAATAGAAACCAAAAAGATTTTCCACGGATCAAAAACCGCAGCTAATGCAGTACCGGTGAAACTTGAAATTATTGTAACAGCATTAGTAACTGTTGGGTAATTGTTGATCTGATACACCGTATACTTTTTTTGAGCTTTAAGCCATAAAGAAAAATAATTTGTTGGATAATATCCCATCATCATTGATATATAAGCAGCAACAAATACATACCATTTCCACTGTGTAAATGTTCTTTTCCATACAGATCTATCCAATTTGCCAGGTTTTTCAATTTTGTTTCTCTTTGTTCTTGTCAACGCTAATGAATACTCTTCTTTATTGAGATACCATGGTTTACCGGAATCTGGCAACCCAGGCCAGAATGCATATCCAACAAATGCAATTGGAATGGTTATTATCCCATCAATAATAAATAGCCATTGCCACCCTCTCATTCCTCCAACTCCTGATAGATTTCTGTAAGCTGCGGATTGTAAATATCCTGAAAACATACTTCCTAAAGAAGAACACAGAAACCAAGTACCAGCCCTCACAAACAATTCTGGTGGATTACCTTTGTAAGGACGAGATCCATACCATACTCCTAGTATTTGATGAACACCTGCAAATGAAGGAGCTTCAAATAATCCAACCAAGAACCTCAAAGCATAAAGTTGATCAATATTTGTGATTCTACTTTGACAAAATGTACAAATCCCATACAATATTTCTAATGTTGGTAACACATATTTCGAAAATTTTGGTCTTGACATGAGCAACAAAAATGGAATTTGACCCAATACATATCCAGACAAATAAGTTATATTAAGCCAGTTCAATTCATTTCCATAAAGTGATAAATCTTCTTTCATTCCTGAAACATACGCATTTGTGATATTTGTTTGATCCAAAAATTTTGCAAAAAAGGAGGTACACCCATAGACCAAGATAATGAGATCTAACTTAAATAACAGCTTTCTTTCTTGTGTTGTGTAATTAGCCGGGTACCAGATAAACATATACTTCAACCATTTGATCAATTTGTTCTCTTGAGCTTTAGATGGACTGTCAGCAGCCATATTTCAATGTATGTGAAGATGCCCAAGATGAACAAAGGTTTTGAAGAGAGCCCATTGCTTTTAATTTATAGTGTTTGATTAATGCCACAATAAAGAGAGTTCACCAAATATTGTTGGTTGCTTGACCTTTAGCGCAAATTTGAGTCTATAAACTTTCTTGATCTTGATTGAGCATATATTTGATTGACTATTCAATCTAAATTCTATTGTTTTATCTTTAAACAAGTCTTACGCTAGTCCATATGCTTGAAAGCTTGATTTTGATTGAGCTTGGTGTTGAATTGTAACAGTTTAGATTGCCGAATAAGGTGTGGCATTATATGATAAAATTATCAAGAACAAACTCTCCGAGCCGATGTGTTCCTGGTGTACAAGTGTTAGAATTGTGAGACTTGTGGAAGTTGCATAGCTCGATACATACGACTCCAATTTCCATAGGATGTACCATGTAGCATATTGTGACTTTCTTATTGAAGTTTGCCTTCATGTCAAAATTTAGAAAACAATTCGCGAACATGTGTACTTGAAGGAGAAGAAAAAATACCATCTGAACTTTAAACAGTATGTTATACAGAAAAGGACCATAGATCAAGATGCTGTTACACTCTAATTTTTTTATTTTTTCAAGCCTACTAGAAGACTGTGGCTCCTAGTCTGGTGCATACAAAGAATGAAACCATGTGTACAACAAAGAATGTATAAAACAGATCAGATTGTCTCATGTTTATATTGACAGATGAATTCAACATAAAATCAAGATAGAATGAGTGTTGAGAAAGATCAAATTGAAAACCACATCTCAGAAGATGAGAAAAGTACATCTAGTGCCCCATTAGCGGTTTTTAAACCACATCAACTTGAAGAATCAGTTTCCAAAGAGGTGGAGGAGATAATTCAAAATTATGATCTTGAAGTCTACAGGGAATTACTTAGCAGAGGCGCTTTATTGGCTAATAACCCTGACTTATTATTCACAGATAAGTACACAGAAAGTGAACAAAATGCTATCTCTAAAGAATCGACGCATCCACTTCTCTCTTTATCGCCTGCTTTAATTCTTGCTGCTTTGACAACATCATTTGCTGCTGTGAATTTTGGTATGGATGAATCAGCAGTTGGGGGAGCTCAACTTCAGTATAACAAACAATTCGGCATTACAGATGTGAATTTACAAGGCCTTGTAATAGCATCTCCATACCTTGCTGCTGCTGTTATCGGCTGCCCCTTAACAGTGTTTTTAAACAACCATCTTGGAAGAAAATGGGTTATTTTTATAAGTTGTTTTATCGGTTTTACTGGGTCTTTATGGCAAGGTTTTTCCAATGGTCTTGCTTCATTATTGGTGGGTAGATTGTATCTGGGGATTGGTATGGGCTTAAATTCAACCACCGTTCCAATATATGCTGCTGAATGTTCCCCTGCTGTTTCAAGGGGCGCAATTTTAATGTTATGGCAAACGTTCATAGCTCTTGGTGTCTGTCTAGGCTCTGTTTTCAATAGAGCTTTTGTTGAGATTGATGGTTCATTGTCTTGGAGATTGATGATTGGGTCCTCATGTGTTCCACCGTTGATTTGTGGAATTTTTGTTCTTTTCCCTCCAGAATCACCGAGATGGTTGATTGCAAATAAGAAAACACGTCAATCATTTGAAGCTTTGTTGAAACTAAGATCTTCTCGAGTGTCAGGTGCAAAAGATTTTTACATCTTGTATGAATCTTTAAAGTTTGAAAACAAATTGAGTCAAAATCTTTCACTATCCCGTCAATTTTTAGACTTATTCCTCGTTAGAAGAAATAGATTTGCTGTTTGGGTTTCATTTTTGGGTATTTTTGGACAACAATATGGTGGGGTAAACATTCTTGTTTCATATACAACCACGATTTTAACTAATGCTGGCATTGATTCGATTACAGCCATCGCAGGATCAATAGGTATTGGTGGTGGATGTTTTCTTGCAACATTTATATCTACCCAGCTAATTGATAGATATGGAAGAAAAAAAATGTTACTTTTCACTTTACCTGTGGAGGGGATTTGTTTATTCTGGTTAGGTGGTGTGTTAAATGTTACCAATGATAAGGCTAGATTGGGTGCCGGTTTGACATCAATGTATGTTTACGTTCTCTTTTATGGGCTTGGGATTGGTCCTGTGTCGTTTGCTTTGGTTGCTGAAACACCATCTATTACCGTTAGAAGTGCACATAGTGCTTTTTTAATGGCTACAAACTGGCTGTTGGATTTCTGTCTAAGTATGACCTGGCCAAAAATGAATTCAACTATGACAACATCTGGTGGCTTATATTTTTATGGTGCTTGGAATATTATTTTGGTGATTTTGGTTTTTTTTTATGTTCCAGAAACGAAAAGGTATACGTTGGAAGAATTGGATGAAGTGTTTGAAGAAGGTGCAAAATCCTTTTCCAAAAAACAGATTAAAAAGATTTTGGGGAAATGATTTTTTGTCGTTATACTCAGGTCCTTCTTGTGTACTACAGTCGCAGAAGGAAACTCTTCATTGATTGTTTTAAATGTAGATATTTATCATATTCTCAGTTATCCATAATCGCTTAATCTACCTGTCATTAATGTATTAAAATTTTTGAATCATAGGATAAAACCTTTAGCTTTCAAAAGCATCAAACGAATCTTGGAACTCAATAGGAACATTTGGAGCTCTGTTTACACGTAATTTAAACACGTCGAATCTATTATACCCACCAACTAGATCGTGAAATTGCTTTGGTATAATAGTTTTATTGAGGTCAAACACAGCATAGGCGATACCTTCCTCATCTTTTAAAAAATCACCAATCTCCATAGCAGCAGGATCCAAAAAGAAAGTAGCACCTTGTGACATATTCTCATAGAACTCTTTATTTGATGGGTCATCATCGATCAAAAATTCAAGCATTGCCTTGTCAACAAATGAGGAGCAAACAACACCAAAACATTTCCCTTCAAGACATTGAGCACCACATCTAATTTTATTGGCAACGATATTATCAAATGATTTAGCAGCACCAGGTCTTTGGAAATCTGCTGCAGGCGGCCAAATCGAAATATGAATTTGCTCGCCTTGACTCAACAATGTGAACCTTGCTAATGAATTTGTATTTTCACCACAAATCAAGGCACCAATCTTCCCAAACTTGGAATCAACGACATTGAGGCCAACACCATCACCATTAGCCCAAGATAGTTTTTCAAAAAAGTTGGAACAAGCTTTCTAATGGTGAGCACCAATTTCACCTTTCTCATCAACAA